AAGTGAAATGATTAAAAGTTACTTTGAAAAGCAACGGCGCGTCTACTTATTTTGAATGTGTTTATATTATTATTATCGAAAAGTTTAGATCTGTATCCCCATAATGTCGAATACGTTTTTTAGAATACTCAATCATAAAACCGTGTGGAAACATGCACATATATAAATATATATATACGTGTTTATTAAGAAAAAAATATGAATGAAAACGCAAGAAAAATAAGATGATTCCAAGAAAACCCCAAATATAAATTTGGATAGTTGGTAAGGAATTGGAAGGATGACAACTTGGTCCAGCGAAGACCAGATCAAACATAAAAAAATGTAATTAGATCAACTTTAATAAATTAGGATTACTTTCGATTCAAAGTACACTACCAATAGAGAACGGAGCAATGTTGTCTCTTCACTGTCTTCCAACTTCTTTTAGACAATTTAACAAATACTAATTATCTTGGTTCATAGTGTTAAATGTATCCGCTTATTATTGTATAGCCCATTGATTGGGATAGTTTTTTTCTTCTTGCTTTTTCATTTTATCTCTAAGGAGACACATTTTCATGTGCTAAAAAGCATTTATTTACGGGCGTATATCATGTTAAGAAAGTGATTTATCAGCAATGCCAATTTGTTCTATTTATAAAAGGGATTATAAAATTAATAAGTTACTATGCTAAAGAAAAAGACAGTAACCGTAACTGGTGACAGAAAAGCACATGGGACGTTTCTATTATGTGAGGATAAATTGTTACATTAAAATAAATTTATTCTATATTATTAAATTAATATCATGTATAAGAGCATTATTATAATATAAATATTGAAAGAAACGGTGGATAAATATTGAATTTTACCAGTTTGACTTACGAAGAGAATATATATGATTGCACTATGCTATGCAATACAGGCATACAGCTATACAAGTTATAAACCCCACGTGTTTACCACTTGTGTTTCTATTCACTTAATCGTATTCTCTTATGACATACTTATGATGCTAATGTGATGGTTATATATTGACCAGATTTATTTAGCAGTTGGTCTAAAACGGACTTGAACTCGTAAATGGTTATACTTCATTGTTATATGATTGAATATATCTAGCACAAATTTTCATTCACAACATTTATATTAAGCTAACATATATGGCATTACTCGAGCTACTCATTTATATTTATATTTAGCAAACAATTTTTTATGAAGAATCTTATTAGTTTCAATAACTATGAGTTTTCTTGCTAATGGGGATTCCTCTCACTTAGCACTTATTAGGTTTTGATTTCTTAATGCGTGGCCAACAAACAATTTTATGGTTCTGTATATCTGTGTTATGTTATATAATACTTTAGGAGAAACCATATATATAATTATATAATATATGTCATTAATAGAGGCACATGCTCTCTCCTCAGCACAGTCTCACTGAAGTAAGGTCTACCACATGAGAAGGCGAAGTTTTTGTATCTTCTATTCTCTCAATCATATATTCATTTAAATATGATAGTACATATATATATATATAGCTTATATAATGAATGTTTATCAATAATGCAATAAGCAGAAAACCAAAAAAAAAGATCAAAATAATTCAATAAGCAAATATAGTGACGCTTCTAAGATTTTCCAGATGCAATCGGTGGGTTCTGTTTTTAAATTATTGAAACTTATTTTCCGTCGTGAAAACAGTTTTATTTTGTGTCGTTTGAATGGTCAATTTTATCAATAAGACAATTTTTTAACTGCTTAGATGTCAAATGAGTACCTTTTTCTACTTTTGTCTACTGTTTTTTCAAACACATCATATCTACTATATATATGGAAACTCTTGAACATCTCTATGACCTATAACCCTAGACCCTATGGACATGGAATCTTCAGATCTCGATTTCTTGAATGACTCGTTAGATTCCATTACATTTTATGTAGAGTTAAATTTTCGAAACTTCTTAATGTTAAAAAGTTCCAACAAAGTAGTGGGATCATGAAAGGCAACATGCCGCTTTTAGCATTAACTGGGACTCGAACTAAATCATGAAAGATGAATCTCTCGCCAAATAATCGTCAAAAACTTCCATATAGATAGGTGCAATATTATGTAAAATGTTTATCATCTTCTGCGTACTATAATTTAATTTTTTGGAAAAAACATTCAAATCGCACTCGATAGTTCTTCATGGATATAAAACTCGCTATTTTTTGGTGTTAACACCACTCTTGTGGTAATAGTTGTCACGATCCAAGAAGTAGAAGATAGTAGCCGGTTTAAACAGAGATGAATAGTACATGTAAGAAATAAATTTGTGTTTTTGTTACTTCTAGTTTTGGACCTAAAGGAACATATGGGTCACTAGGAATTCATGTGACTGTATGTGAGTGTGCCCTAGCAACCAAGCAAATGGAAGATCAAGGAGATATTGAAGAGATAAGCCAAAGTGAACATGGGACATGTCTTCAACTCTTAAGCTAATGTTTTTAGTTTTTGTGAATTTTCATTTGCATTGTCACATGTGAAATTGTACTATATACATGTGGTATGGCCTCTCTGGCCATGATTGTATAATAATGTGTACATACATTAAAAAAACAGTCTTCGAATCATTTAATTGAGTTTTTTTTTTATTTTTAATTCTGATAATTGTGCCTGGGATTTCATGATAAAATCTCCAGGGTTCTCATAATCTAAGCTACTATACAATATATATCATAATAATTGGATCTGCATTTATGGTTTGATTTGCAATATAATCTTCTACTTAGTCAATAATACATACTCCTATATTATAATTTTCTTCTTAAATTAAAGGTTAGTATAAGTAGATGAAGTAGTTCAAAATACTCTAGATTGTTTGAACTTTGAACACATAAAATTAACTTCAAAAATATTTTGGAATTTGCAGGGAAATCTTTGATTCGGTTGTTTATCTCATCAATCCACCCAAATTTAGAGTCATGTCTAAAATAGTTTGGAAAAAAAAAAAACTTCAAAACCTAAAAGTTGTTTTAACACTCATATGTAACACTTATTTAATTAAATTTATGGAATCGAGCTAGTCATCTGTTTAGCGAACCCGATTCAAAATATAATTTCCTTCGTATCTAGTACAGTATATGATATGCATGGGGTATACATCAACGAACAGTATTCTAGGTAGCAGCAAACACCGAATACCATTCGACCCAAAAAGAAAACATGATATGGATATGACACATATAAGAATAATAAACTTTTGTTGTCTTATAACTGGAAAGATAAAAAAAAATTATTTACTTATCTTTATATTTGTCAGATAAATTGTACTTACAAATTATTGAACTTCCTTATCATCTGCTCACGAGTTGTATACAATCTTCTTATTTTGTAAAAAAAAATCTCTTAGTACAAAACTCTATATATCTTTTTTTTTTTTTTTTTTTACCGAAACATAAACTAGTTTCCCGAACCGATTGTTGTCATCAAGCTTACAAATATGAAATGTTTTTGAATAGAAAATAGTTTTGACAATGATTACCAGAATAAAACCACTAAATTACAACTGTAGTTTCAGAACATAAATTAACAATGTAAATGTTTGGAACTAGCTCTTGACCAAAAAAAAAAAAAAGTTTGAAACTAGCCACCTCTACTACACCAACTCACCAAGCACGCTCTCATCACACTTACTAAAAGCATATTGCACAACCAGTCTCTTAAAATCCTCCGACCATCTTCATATCCGACTCCACCGAACATAGTCCCGAGATCTAGGTCAGCTATTTTTCTATAGATACCTCCTTATGACTTCTAACAAGGAGGGAGAGAGAGAAAGAGATTGGATCATATGAGATGCAAAAAGTTGGACAAAACGTTTTCTTTTTCCAAGTGCAGATTCTCTGGGTGCCACCATTGGCGAATAAGTCCGTTGATCCTCTAGCCAAAGCAAGAATTCGATAAAGATGTTTGTTTCGTTTAATTACAATTGTACTCCTACAGGGTTGTGTATATAATATTTCCATTGATCAACCCCTTTGTAGGCCAAAACAAATAAAGATGCGGCATGAACCACTGGATCCATTTTGAGCCTTAAATTTTAAGGGTTCAAGGCCCATGTAACTGACATTTCATTTTCATTTTTTTAACAATTGAAAAAAAAAACACTTACCGCTTTTCCGGTCATATGAGCCTATGAGGCTGTAACCAAATGAACCGTGTGTATTGGATCACATTTTTGAGATCCTATTTATGTATAAGACACCAATCTCTCCCAAAATTTGTTCTCTTATCCATTTTGCAATATACAAATGGATTCTTTTTACTCATTCGAATTTTTATTAGACCAATTCGAGGGTTTAAAAAGAACACATTCATCAAAATTATTTACTGGATGCTTATATGTACATGTATATTACTACCTATCATCATGATCTTTCTCTTGTATTGGTTGGTGGTGAATTATAAATCTGTAATATTTGGCGCTATTAGATCACACTTTTAAATGTGGCTAGATTTCGATTCTGATATCAAATCATAAAGGGAAATACCTAGCATATAGTATATGCCAATTTTCGCCAGTTATACCAATTTCCAATTGTGGTAAAGATACTGAAAATTTCAGTTTCTTGAATTGAATATGTTTTATCGATAGGTTAATGCGAATTAAAATTATTTCCATATGTAGAATTTTGAATTTTTATCGTCAACATTGTAGTTTAGTTTATTTATTTACCAATAACCTTAAAAGATGGGAAAAAAGGTGAAGAAAGATTATAGTAGACGCATACATTAAATAAATTACACGAAAAGTGGCAACAAAATGTCTTACAAATGGAAAAAAGAGATTACGCCGTGAAATGTGCTTTAAATAATCTAATGTATAAAAATGACTCAGCCATTCACATGCAAAGCCATACATCATCGTTGCGCGCCACGTGTCATCATCTGACGGCTACCGTTACATCATCAATGAAAAGCAAGCATAAAAATAAAATAAATTTCAAACCAAAATAGTCAAAAATTCATAAATCGCCATTGTTAACTTTTTCTCCTTCCTTTCCATCTTCCTAATTTTTTTCATTTTTTACTGCCAAAATAAAAGTTTAAAGAAACAGAATATAGGAGAAATCTCTCTCCGTGTGTGTATTATAGGAAAACATATATACATATGCGTGGGTATGCTTCTTGGGATGATCGACATGCAACGATGAAATCATCATCGATTTTCCGGGAAAATCCAGAGAAAACAGAGAGATGGATGGTTACGAACATGTGGAGATTAACGCCATTACTCGTGTCTTCTCTCTGTATAACTATCTTCTTCACCGTCGTCTACCATCAGAATCCTTTTAAATCCATTTCCGATCGAAATTTTCTTTCCCTCCAACCTCAAATCGGTAACGTAAACCCAAAGCTAATATACAATATGATCATCAGATTCTTGCATTTCCTACGATTTTGTAAAGTTTTGTTTTCTCCACGAGCTCATAGATTATTTATACCTTTAAACTTAGAAAAACCATGGTTCTGTGTTATTCCCACGTTTTTGCTGCTGTTTGAAATCTCTCAACTTTGTAAAGAATTGAACTTTTTTTTGTTCTTGTGATATTGTCAGAAAATTTTATTGATTTATTTTTATCTTTTGCTTTTTGTTGTTTGGGGGTTATGGTTAGATCCTGAATGTGATTTGTTCAAGGGACATTGGGTTCGAGACAAAAGAGGATCTTTGTACACGAACTCAAGCTGTTCTACGATTCCTGACTCGAAGAACTGCTTTAAACATGGGAGACAAGACAGAGATTTCTTGTTCTGGAGATGGAAACCCGACGGCTGCGATCTTCCGAGGTTTAACCCGAAGGCATTTCTCGGTCTGGTTCGAGGCAAGAAGATGAATTTTATTGGTGATTCTGTAGCAAGGAACCACATGGAATCTCTTCTTTGCTTGTTGTCAACGGTGAAGTTGAATCTTTTTTCCGGAGGATATGTAATATACATGTTGCTTTGTTTACAAGAAAGGTTTTAAAGAATAATAGTTTTTTGCTTGTGCAGGAAGAAACTCCTAAGGATATCTACACAGACGGAGAAGACAGAAACAGGATTTGGTACTTTCCAAACCACGACTTCACTCTATCGACCTCTTGGACTAAGTTTCTTGTATCGGAACAAGAGAGGGTTGACGGTAACAAGAAGGGAACCGGAGTGTTTGATTTAGATATTGGCAAGATCGATGAGAAGTGGTTTAAGGATCTGCCAAATACAGACATTGCTATTGTCTCGGCTGCTCATTGGTTCTTCAGACCAATATTCATACACAGAGGAGACGAGACAGTTGGTTGCATCTACTGTAACTCACCGAACATGACGCAAATCACCCCAGAAGAAGGGTTTAAGCTTGTTTACTCTGCGCTCTTTAAGCACATCTTGGAGTGTGAGAAGTGCAAAGAAGATCTAGTGACGGTCCTGAGGACTATTTCGCCTGCCCATTTCGAGAACGGGACTTGGGATACGGGAGGAGCGTGCAGCAGGACGAACCCATTCGGAGAAAGCCAGATCGACCTGCAGAGCAACGAGATGAAGATCAGGACAGCTCAGATAAAACAGCTTGAAGGTGTAACAAAAAGACACAAAAAGGCAAAGCAGTTTGCGGTTTTGGATGTGACTAAGGTTATGCTGATGAGACCAGATGGGCATCCGAATGGGAACTGGGGAAATAAATGGATGAAAGGTTACAATGATTGCGTCCACTGGTGCTTGCCCGGTCCTGTTGATGCGTGGAGCGAGTTCCTAATGGCGATTATTAGACGATTCAGTTGAGATTAATTTTTTGTGGATAAACAAACACACACAAATTCAAAACATTCTTTTTTATAATCATTCCTTATGAATAAGTATCACACAGATGTGGCTTTTTACTGCGGCTTGCAAAGAGATTATACAATACTCATAAGACTTTTGCTTACCTCATAGACTTGGCCCTAGATTTTCTGCAGAGAGTACTGATTCATGTATTCACCCGAGTTCTTCGCCTTTAAAATCTGCAAGATATTAATAGAGAAATGGCTTCGAGCGATGTGTATTCATGCAAAGACATGAAACACAAATGAAGAATCTCAAAATCAATGATATAACATTGGTTTAGCTAAAACCCTCATAAAGTAGATGTAACAGAAACACCTATAACATATGGAGAAGTTCTGCAGAACAAAATAGAATCAATCTTCTACAGGAGACTTGATCCGGCACAATTCGAATCAGAAACATATAAATAAGTACATTGCTTCTGTGTACTGTTACATCAAGAGTAACTTTACACTCCAGCAACTACAAGATCGATCTGAGATAGAAAACTTTCTCATCCAAGAAAACAAGCTTTATAAATAGCAATTCTCCAAACTCTTCCTCAGGAATCCATTGTTTCAACAGTTTTAACATTCATACTCTTCTACTATGGGAATTACATAAACCCAATAAGCTAAAATCATCAAACCAAAAACATTTAGAAACAAAATGATATCAAGATTCCAAATTGTTACCAAGAGCAAAAGAGAAGACTTCACGAACCGGAGAAAACTCAACGAGACCAACATCCATGGCGTAACCATTCACCGGAAACTTCAAATCCCTCAAAACCGAGAAAGCCTCAGCCATGCGAGACCTTGGCACCTCAAGAGCCACGGGACAGAACGGGACCCACGAATCGGGACGATATTCCTCGCCGATCTCAACACCTTCTTTCTTCAACGCGTCGCATAGCTGAACCTGAAGCTGGAGAAGCGAGAGCGACGGTGTCGGCGAAAAGAACAGTACGTTGTTGTCGCTGCAGAAGCTCCCGATTGAAGAGAAAGAGATCGAGAGAGGCTCCTGCCTCGACGCGAAGGTTTTGATGATGGGTTCGAGCTTCGTGGAGTCGACGAAGGCGGTGGAGAATAGGGTTATGTGTGGGCGAGACTCGGTGTTGATCAGTTTCGTGCTGATTTGACGGCGAGCGAAGACGTTCCACGCTTTCAAGACTTGGTTCTCGAGCGCTGGGTCGAAGTAGAGCTCGATCGCGTAGCCTTTCGACATTTGATTTCGTGGAAAAAATCGAAGATTCGAGGGAAAATTTGAGAAAGGGGAACACAGAGAATCTGAGACGGAGATTTGGTCAGAGAGAAACCTTGGAGAGATTGAGAAGAAAGAAGAGAGATCGGGAGTGATAGTGATGCTTTGATTGACAGCGAGAAAACGAAGAAAAGGGGAAACTTTTTTGCGGGCTGGATCGAAAGGGGAAGATGATGAGATTGAGTAATTGAATTAATCAAATAATTTTGAAATTAATTACAGATCTAAACCAAAACATATAATAATAGTAGAAAAGAAAATAGTCCTCATATATTTTCTTACAATATTAAATTATACTACTCCAGTATTTTGTTTTAGCAAATGACATCATGTACTGGAGATAATATTCATTACTTATTGACATGTTCAGGTTACTTTTAAGATTTGTGCTTTGAAACATGTTTTCAAGATAAAGTTAGAAAAAAAAACAAATCATGTGTTCAAGAATAATTTTGGGTATATCATTTAGTGGATGCACTTAGTTACATACAAATCCTATTGTCACCGGAATAAGTGCATTCAGTGGAGTTTTCTCCATCTCTATTCTCAATCAATATAAACAAAATCTACACACAACCTAACTATAATGGAATATACGTTGAAAATCTATTTTTAGTAGATATATCACGTTTTTTTTTTAATTATATTTTTAAACATTAGTAGAATCATGTTTTAAAAAGATGAAAAAACTTAAAAATATGGAAATATGAAAATGTGATGAATAACATGAAGGTAAAAAATAACAAAATCAATTTTTTAAAACGTGTAAACATGAAAAAAACTGCATACTATTTAAATTCTTAATTTTTTCTTCTATTTATTTCCAAATTTTCTTAAATAATTATATTTTGGTCATCTTTAGTTTTTGTTTAGAAGAGGAGCTTCCTCTGAAAGTGACAACAATTGAGTCTTCTCTTCTTTTGCTTTCCCCCACATCACAGTGTAAAACCCTAATGATATCAAAATTCCTCCGACTAAACTGCACCATTAATCACAAAATACATAATTAGTGAGATGCTTTACGCTACAAACAAGTGTGTGTGTGTGTCCGAAGATTATTGATTTAATACCTTCCGAGATAAAGAGAATCGCCAAGAAAAATCGCTCCCATGATCACTGCTATTAATATCGATAAAGGCCTAAATATCGCTAAGTAAACAGGTCCTTTATTACGTACCGCCCACAAATGGATTGTGTAGTATCCTGGATTAAATATCCCCTGGAAAAAGAAATTTGTATAGAGATTATTTTACTATGAAAACGAGAAAAAAATATATATATGATGAACTTTCAAGAAACTTCAAAATTTACGTACCCCGACAAGAATGCAAAGCAATGTAATATCGAATCGAATGATCCATACACTTGGACTATTCTTTTCTGCTACGATTCCCATCAGCGAGGTGAAAATTGAAGCAAAGAGAAAATAGAAGAAAGAGACTGTGAATGCTGCTGGATATTCATTCATTATGTGCGCCTGTCCATATCAAAACGTATATATAATGGATAAGAGTATTATCCTTGACGCTTCCGCAACGTCAAAATTGTATAAACAATATAAATTTGTATTATGTACAAATACAAAGGAATACGTATGCATCATGCATGGTATTGGGTACCTGGAGGATGAAAGCAACAGAAATGAGGGTATCCTTGATGGCTAAAAGACATCCACCTATGATCCAATCGGAGTTTGATGATGATAACGTTGGAGAAAGCTGTCGGAGTTGTGGCCACGACGGCGAAGTTACGGCGAAGATACGTGGACCGTGGTAGAGCACCACCACAAGTGCTCCAATTAATGACACTATTGTCCCCATCATTTTGGCAACACTGCTCCTTTCTTTTAAAGATACTTTTTCCATTCTTTATTCACAAATTAAAATACTAGTGAGTATTTAAAATTCGAGAGATGTCTTTCATTAAAAATTGTATTAAAAAAATATTCTGGCATCTTGAGTCTTAGACAACAAGAAATCTACATATGTATATGTAACTTTATTCAGCCATTGCTAAACCATTATCATCATAGCTTAAATAAATATTAATTTCTTTAATCCTTCTATTATAATTAATGGCCAAGGTCCCATATAATGGTGCCAACATGAGTGTCACGTGTGGGACAGCACAATTTATGTCCGTCCTACTACGTAAATAATGAACGTGGTAATTGTGTAATATTGTCGAGGCATAGTTATGTACGATCATCTTACTAAACTTGATGTACGTGTAGACCTAACAATGCCTAGTTTTAGTAATACACTAAATAATAGACTGGATTTATATAAACCTCCATAATTAAACGAACATCTATCAAATATCTCCAAACCTCCATAATTGGAAGAAAAAATATGAAAGGAAAATGTATAAAAATAAAACCTGAAAATAACAGCGAGGATGAAGGTAATAGCAGGATTGATATTGCTAATGGCGGATGCTAAGATTGGGTTGCTGTATTCGATGCCAATGAATCCTGTGATCAGATACGTTGATCTGCTTATTTGTATACACATTTTTAAAAAATGAAAATATGTTAGCTACCATTTTAATGGTAAAAAGAAAACACTTCAAGAAAATTTAGAAGAATAAGAAGAGTATATATAGTTGGATATACCCTAGCAGCCCAAGAAGTCCTATTTTACAAAGTATTGAGAAACTCAGTGGAGGAAGTGATCTCGACCTGCAAAAAATTATACAAATTATCCATTGAAAATTTTGCGACACAGAAAAAAGAAAAACATGTTAATTAGTAACGGTCCAGTAGATTTTAAAAAATGCATCGCTATTCAGAAAACCTGTAAGAGAAGAAGTGAGAAGGAAGAAGAAGAAGAAGAGAGCCAATGAGATAAGAATAGACGAGGAAGGTATAAGAGTTAAGGCCTTTCGAAGTCGCTGCTTTAAATAGAGTATTCATTGCAACATTTCCAGTTTCAGTCGCCAACATTGCCGTTAATAACACGGTGTCTCTCCGACGGAGATTTACGGAGGCCATTGTCGGTAAAGACAAGTGTGTTGAAATGAGATCCAGCGGAGAGTTCTTTTTTATATTTCCTCTTTTAATTTGGAGCAAAAAGTTGATTCAATATATATATTTCGTGTTTTTTTTTTAATTAGTAATTTAGACTATAGATTGTGACATTTAGAGGCTGATGCACGCTATACAGGGGTACCAGCTGCCCCCATTAATTTATTACTCTTTGCCCCCACACTTTCATTTTTTGGACCAATATGATTTTCATAGCCAATTGGACTGAGGCCCAAAAAGGATTAAGGCCCAATCTTTCAAATCAATGAATTATTACGTAATTTTAACATCGTTGCAAACCCTAAATACTACTATTCTCGGTCACAAATTTTATATATGGTTTCCCTACCGCATTATTTTAAATGGAGTTTTGAAATTTTTGCTACTTCAAATTATTGTTTCTGTTGATATGTACATTTATAACCGATAGACTACTAATCCTATATCTATTTTTAATCACAAATCTTCATTTGGTTGATTATGAGAGTGGCGTTGTTAGTCCAAATTTCGTGTTATATAGTTTAACTTGTGAGGAAACTTAACACTTTTCTACGGTCGCCACAATTCATGTCATTCTTCGACAAGATTATCTCCACAGCACCTTCAACAAACTCAAACAGTCTTCAATTTTTTGTTTCCCTTATGGATCTAGTTAACATGGAATTAAGCTAGCTTGCTTGTGGTGTCAATTTAAGAAACTAAGGTTTCGCCTTAAGTAGTACTTATCTTCCAATGGACGGACCGGCTCGGAGCAATACGATGCATGCATGTACATATTCTAATACAAGAGTGTATGTAAACCTTTTCTCATTGGTTCCAATTTTTCGTTTGTTTAAATTTGGTCCTCGTTGTGGTTCAATAGAAGAGGGATCTTCTCTTTTTCTAAAACTGACAATAACCGAGTCTTCTCTTCGTTTGCTTTCCCCCACATCACAGCGTAAAACCCTATCGTTATCAAAACTCCTCCCATCAAACTGCGCAACATTAAGCACAAAAATAAAAGATGGTTAGTTTTTTTTTTTTCTTTACAAATAATTAAGAGAATGATCAAGACTTTTGATGAAAATATACCATCCGAGATAGAGAGAATAGCCGAGGAAAATCGCGCTCATAACCACTGCTATTAAAATCGACAATGGCTTAAATATCGCCAAGTAAAGAGGCCCTTTGTAACGAACTGTCCATGAATGAATCACGTAGTATACTGGAGTGAATATTCCCTGAAATGTTTAACAAGAAAACGATGTTAAGATCAAAACGAAGGAGGTTTGATTTAATTAACTTTTACGAACGTACCATAGTTACAATGCTTATCAAAGTAATATCGAATGCAATGATCCAAATGCTTGGATTGTTCTTCTCGACTACGAGTCCAGTCACCGACGTCAAGATTGAAACACACAGAGTATAGAAAAAGGAGACTGTGAATGCTGCTGGATATATAGTCATTATATGTGCCTGCCCAAAACCATTGGTAGTACATTTATATATAAAAACATTGGAATGATTGATATTTGATATATAAACATATCAACCGATCTTTAGTTAGATCAAGTTGAACATATTTATTTCGTATAGGATTAACCGATCATCATAGTTGATTCAAGTTTCATAGTTTCGTTGGCTATGTATATGCACTCACTTAATGGTAATTAAGACTATTTTATAATAATAGTTTTATCCTTTTGGCCATAATTTGTTATTGTTTACTAAAGTAAATGTTGTTTAGAACATACTTTAATACAAGATTTTCTTAAAAATTGATATTATGGAAGGAGTCATCATTCCAACCACCGTACGTTTACATTGAATTGGTCATGATTGCTATAAAGAAAAGACTTTTCCATTATGTATGAGAATCGATAATGATACCTGTAGGATGAAAGAAACAGAAACGAAGATGTCTTTAATGGTAAGAAGACATCCACCGATGATCCAATCCGAGTTTGAAGATGATAACGGCGAAGAAAGGTGACGGAGGTTTAGATACGGCGGAGAAGATGCGACGAAGACACGTGGACCGTGGTAGAGAACCACCACAAGTGCGCCTACTAATGACAATATTGTCCCCATCACTTTGGCTACACTGCTTCTTTCTTTGAAAGCTACTTTTTCCATTCTTTTTTCACAAATAAAAAACGACTCTCTCACGTTTTTCTCCAATTAATTCGAAACCATAATAGTATTATTATTATTTTATTTTATTTGGTGTGGTGAAATGCCAAAGACACAAGATAAAAAATGAAAAGCCTAGCTAGCTAGCTGCCAAAGAATATAATGAAAGAAAGAGCGATTAATACGCATCTTGTCTAAATTCTAATAATGCAAGCAACATTGTTACGTATGGGACCAATATGTACTTGCTACGAGTTAACCACTAATTACGATGGTGATCTATTTTGTCTCATTGATCGTGATTGTGTGATATTTCAATAAACTTATCATCATACTCAAAACCTGAATAAATGAATGCTTTAAGAGGGAAAAAAATCAAATAAATGTAGACATGAATGAAAACCAATTACGAAAAACTTGGTTTCCAAATAGTGACCAAGTAAAAACTAAAAAATAAAGACAACCCAACATGATATAACTTTAAGATAATTAACTTGTCAAGCTAAATAAAACCATCAGAGAAGATCGCGTTAATTGTTTTTAAGTTGCTTGTTACGCCAATTAAGCCAAAAACACTAGTTAATCATTTAGACCCATCAACTAGGATAATGAAAATCTTTAAAAAAAAATTGTTTAAAAAAATTGTTTAAAAAATCTCTAAACTCCCCATTATTAGCAAATCAGTAAAGAGAACGAGAAAATTAATAAACCTGAAGATAACGGCGAGGATGAAGGTAAGAGCAGGAGTGATATTGCTAATGGCGGAGGCTAAGGTGGGGTTGCTGTAATTAAGTCCTATGTATCCCGTGATCACATACATTGATCTGCTCATTATTTTTTGAATTTTTACAGCCAAAATTAATAAAACAAAAATGGTATATTAGTAACACGTAAGTGGGAGATAATTCCATATTCAAAATCTGAAAAAGAAGAAGAATAATTGTGTAGTTGGATTTACCCTACCCTACTAGTCCAAGAAGTCCTATCTTACAGAGTATTGAGAAACTTAGTGGAGGAAGTGATCTTGACCTACAAAAGAAAAAAACAAAAAAATTAAATGAAATCAATAAAAGAAAAAAATCGTCCTGAACGGTCCAAAAGATTAAGGTTATTAATTAGAACCTGTTGGAGAAGAAAGGAGAAGGAAGAAGGAGAAGAGAAGCAAGAAGATAAGAATAGCCGAGGAAAGCGTAAGAGTTGAGTCCCTTTGAAGTCGCTGCTTTGAACAGAGTATTTATTCCGACAATACCGGTTTCGGACGCAAGCATCGCCGTCAAGAACATGGCCTCTCTCCGCCAGAGACTTACGGCTCCGGCCATTGTTGGAAATGATAGAAAGCTTAGTGTGTTGAAATGAATGAGAGAGTCTGTAATTTATTATCCATTCGTTGTTGCTTTCCCTTTCTGTTACGAGTTAAACAGGAAATGTCGTTGTTGTGGTCCATATTGTTGATTTTAAAATTATTCTGTCGTCAAGTACCATTCTACATAATGGACGAATCAAAAATACGCGGCAGTAAAACATTTATACTAAATTCTAGCTCCAATATGGAAAAAAATACAGTAATTATCCAAAATCATAAACAAACAAGATTGTACACTTTGAAACTTTTTATCTGGTCTAAACTTCTTGGCCCGGTTCGGCCAGTAGATTGGTCATGTACCATTGGATGGGACTAACCACTAAAGCCAAAAACTGAATTATGGACCGTTAAATGTTACTACACCGGCTCAATATGTTTGTTACTTTTTTTTGTTAAGACTTGTTTCTCTACGGCGTAATTCAACAAAAGAGGAACTCTCATCGAATGCGAGGATGATGACGCAACATGAGTGTCGATATCCACCTTCTCCTCCTTTGCTTTTCCCCACATAACCGTGTAAAAACCGATCGATATCAACGTTCCACCGATCACACTGCCAAGTACAAGAACAAGAACTGAAAGTGAATATACAAAGGTAAATAAAACTACATCTTTTGAGGTTTTCGATTTTCTTCACCTTCCGAGATAGAGAGAGTCGCCAAGAAAAATCGCTCCTAGTACCACGGCGGTTAATATAGACAACGGCCTGAACATTGCTAGGAACAATGGCCCTTTATGTCGAACCGTCCATGACTCGACAACATACCCCGTCGAATTTACCATCCCCTAATTAAGTATAACATTTTAACAAAATCCAAACGTAATAAGCTAATCAAGTAATCTTTTCTTTCTGCTCATTTTTGAAATTAATAACATTGAATACTAAAGAGACATTTTATATATACCGTTGCAACGATGCATATCAACATTATATTCGATCTCATAATCCACGCGCTTGGATTGTTCTTCTCCGCGAAAATACTAACAAACGCACAAGAGATTGAAACGCAGACACTGTGGGAAAGTGCCAAGGCGAATTCCGACGGATACTCCCTCATTATATGCGTCTACGTAGTACGTACCACCACCAAAAGCGTTAAGAAAAATATGAACGTATATATTTTAATTTTTGGCTATATAAATCAATATATAATATTTTGCATAAATCAATAGAAAAATATGAACATATATATTTTAAACTTTGGCTATATAAATCAATAGATAATATTTTGCATGGCCTACGTGTAACAATGTTTATTTTATTCATACCTGGATGATGTAAGAGATGGCGATGAGAGTGTATTCGAGGGCCAAGAGACCTCCGCCGATGACCCAATTAGAATTTGACGGTGGTGATGGAGGTGGCGAGAGAGGCTGAGGGAGATAAACGGACGGCTGAGATGCGGCGAACATGATGGGACCATGGTAGAGAGTGGCTACGAGTGCACCACCTATCGAAACTGCTGTGCCCACTACTTTGGCTAAGCTGCTGTTTTTCTTTATAGATACCTTCTCCATTCTTATAATACAAAATCGAAATATAACTATCAACCACACACACACAAAAACAGCTTTTACAGAGAAAAACAAAACGGTTCAAAATTAAAAAAAAAAAAAAGTAGACCAAAACCTAACTAAAATTTGATTATAACCTAACTGCGACTACTGAACAAACCAAGATTACCTAACTGGTCTAGTCCGATTTCCAATGTACCGAATGAAACAAAATTTAATAATTTTGCATGTTTAAAGTTTTCATATACAGAGTCTTAAAATTAAAACAATTCGGTCATGAGTTATTCAAACCGATTTAAACGAGTAACCGAAATGTCTTAACCGAACGGAATAATAGAATGTTAATTCGGTTCAGTTAAGAAGATTAGATAACCGAAAATGAGTCAAAGTCATATTTGGTGTTGATAGGACTTTGCAGAGAGGGGAAGGGAGAAGAGAGTACCCGAAGAGAACAGCGAAGAGGAAAGTGAAAGCAGGAGTGAGATTGCTCATAGCTGAAGCCAAAGTAGGAGAGCTGTATTTGATTCCTGTGTAACCTAACATCAAATACACACATCTTCTCTCATTTTGATCCAACAAGAGTGACGTCATCATCATCATCATCTCTAATTAGTAAACAACAAACTCAAAATCTTGATCGGAGAATAAAAGATGAAAACAGAGGAAAAAAAGATCTTACCCAAGTAGCCCAAGAAGTCCCATTTTACAGAGTACTGAGAATTTTAATGGTGGGAGAGATCTTGACCTGAGATTTTTAGTTTCACAGATTTTAGAATTTGGAGATTGAAAAAGAATCAAGAGAGAGAAAGAAGGAGACCTGTGAGTGAGGAAAGGAGAAGGAAGGAGAAGAAGAGCTCCGATTCCATAAGAATAGACGAGGAAGACGTAAGAGCTCATTCCCTTTGAGCTCGCCGCTTTAAACAGAGTATTCATTCCGACGTCGGAGACCACAACCGCCACCATCGCCGTCATGATCCAGCCGTTTCTCTGACATAATCTCCCAGGCATCGTTGTCTCTTCGTTTGTTTCGAGGATCTGTCTGAACCTTGAACTCTGTCCCTGAGGGTTTGACCAATCTTGAGCTTCGTTTTTCTAAAGTAATTATTATATTAACAAAAGATTTATAAATAAAAATGAACCTCGACTAATTGGAAATTACCGCTAAATGCAGGCTTAATCCATAATACTAGTATACACTCACCCATTAGTTAATTAGTAAGCTCATTACAATTTATTATTACATAAATTTTTGTGCCTAATTATGTTACAGACAAATGATAATTAAAGATACAGACTTCAGAACCATGTATACTAGATTATAAAAATTTTGATTAGAAGAAACTTGATTTTTAAAATCAAAGATCATCATTTGTCTCGTCAAATAAATTACATTCACATAAGAAAATTTCACATATATATATATATATATATATAGAGAGAGAGAGAGAGAGCTATCTTGACTGGTTGATGATGTACTTAGACATGTTCATCGTTCTTGTAACCTTCCAAGAGAGGAGCCTTCTGTGAGCCAGATGGAGAGTCGAGGTCAGCTTCTTCGGCCTCCTCTTGGTTACTCTTTTTTTCATCTTCGACCATAGCTACTTCCTTGGCTTTCCCCCACATCACCGTGTAAAACCCTATCGTTATTACCGTTGCCCCTATCAAGCTGAGATCAACATTCAAGAACATAAATGGAAAGTTAATAAAAGCTGAAAATTAAGAGATTGATGACACATGAACATTACTAGCTATTCTTGATTTGGATGTACTCATGTACATGTAGTGTAAAGAGTGAGTTTTTGTTTTTTTTTTTATCACCTGCCAATGTAGAGAGAATCTCGGAGGAAGATAACTCCCATTGCAACAGCAATCGCAATAGACAAAGGCTTGAACATTGCAACGAATAAAGGCCCCTTGATCCGCAACGCCCATGTGTGGATAGTATTGTTTATGCAAGATCCAAACAATCCCTAACACATGAACAAAGTAGTTAAAAACGAATTACACTCAAAAGGAAAAAAACACACATGAACAAAGTAGTTATGTTATGTTCTCACCGAGCAAACGATTGACACAAGAGCTATATTTGGTTTTATCTTCCATACACTCAAGTCACTTCCTACGGTTAACAACGTGACAAGCGAGGTCCAAAAGCTGACGCCTAAGCTATAATAGCAAACAACTGTGAACTCGGATGGATACTCTCTCATGATTTGAGTCTACAAAATGAAAAATTAAGATCATAAGAATGTTATAAACCAAAACCATATATACACATTAGAGAGTGTTAATTTACTGACTAGACCTGAACAATGTACCACAATGGAACCATGAAATACTCAACCGAGAGGAAAGCTGCACCGATGATCCAATTATGGTTTGGAGATTGTGATCGCATAGAAACAGATGGTGGTGACATTGCGATCACAACAGGACCATTGTAAAGAGTCACAATAAAAGCTCCTCCTATGGAAACTACAGTTCCCAACATTTTAGCCACACTACTTGTTCTCGTGAAAGATACACTCTCCATCCTGCAATCAAACTCCAGAACATTGAGGCCCAAATAGAGGTAGTTTCATGGGCCGAGGGTATATTTGGAAATTGATAGTGTAAAAGGAATATAAAAGAGGATAATGAACCTGAAAAGGACGGCGAGCAAGAAGGTAAACGCAGGAGTGAGGTTGCTGATTGCAGAAGCAAGTGTTGGAGAGCTGTAATTAATCCCTGTGTATCCCATTATGTTCGAGCAGCATCTATATTTAATTTAACTACATTTTTATTAGTTATTTTATTTTATATTACAAAAATAAATAATGATTCCGGTTATTACGAAGAAGATGAAAGCAACCCCTCCCAAAATAAATTAAAGAATTTTGTTAGAAAATAAAACTAAAAAACAATGATGTTTAGATTTTTGCAGTGAAGTTTGCAGCTTTTGGAAGCAACTCTTAGCCAAGTGTCTCTAATAATAATTGGGTAAGAACAAACTGAGAATTTTAAAAACTCTGATGCAAATAACTTGCATAGTTTCTGGATCTAACCCGACCCGAATTGAAGAAGCTTTCGTGTGATTAAAGCTGGATATTGCTTTTTAAAAGTTGAAGTATCAAAAGAAATGAAAGTTTACCCAATTAACCCTAGAAGCACGATTTTGTAGAGAATTGAGAAATTCATCGGAGGAAGCGTTCTTGATCTGTCAAGAAAAAAAAGCAAGAATCAACAAAAAAAAAAAATGATAACTTTAGCTCAAATTTATAAAGATCGGATGAGTTTTAGGCAAGGGAAAAAAAAGTCAATTCAAACCTGAAGGAGAAGCAAAGAGAAGGGAGGAGAAGAAGAGCAGCGAGACCGTAAGAGTAAACGATGAAGGCATGAAAGTTCATGCCTTGCAAAGTCGCTGCCTTGAACAGAGTGTTTAGCCCAACGTTCGCACACTCCATTATTACCAGCGCCGTTACCGGCAACACCTCTCTCTGAAAGTATTTTCCGGTCATCTTCTCTCTCGATCTACCTCTGTCACTTGTAGATGTGGAGATTCGAAGGAGTGATTTTCTTAAACGAAGTATGATGAAAGATGATGAGAAACAGAGTCGTTCTGTTTGTTTGGGGAGAAAAAAAGAAAGAAAATAGTGTGAGTGGGTGAAAGTTAGATTTTCAGCGAGTGTGTAGTCACACCTGTGAGAGATGAGAAGTAGACAAAAAAGGCCGAGAAGGCCATGTAACATGCTTGACTTATTTAATGTTTTTCTTATGACATATACATGGAATTTACTCCGGTCCAATTTTTTGGTCAAGATATGTCGAGAACTTTTTTTTTTTAACATAAGCTATTAAAAATATAGAGTGTTGAGTTAGAGCATCTTCATCTTTGAAATAGTTACAAAGTATGTTAAACAAAAATAATATTATTATTTCAATATAATTATATTTTATAATCAAATTTAATATTTTTAAAAAAATTGAACCAAAAATTAAAAAGACAAATGTGATTTGGAGTTTTCATCAATATTTTAAAAGTTCTCATTTGAGAACTTCTTTTTATTCTTTTTCTTTTTATTCACTAGATATCCTTATGAAATACCCTTGATGAAGATGTTCTTAGAAAAATCACTGAACTGGCCAATCTTTAATGTATGTATGAGATTCAAACTCCATAACATAGAAATTACTAGCTAGCCTGTGGATTTAATTTTTAAGAAATTCTAAAAGCTACTCGCCTCGATGTGTTTTTTCTTTTTCTTTACAACCGTTTAAAAATATATATTAGCAGGTGCATACACTATTTTATATTTGGTTAACGGTAAGGATTTTCTTGCGAGAAAGAGTATTGGTAAGAGAAGACAAAAATAATGTAAATGATAGAAGAAAATATTACAGAATTCTTATCAATTTTATGATTTGTAACAAAAGGAGCAGAGTATATGATAATCACAAAGCTTTGGGGCAAGAAGAGGCTATACAGATCGAAGCTTTGGGGTTATATATCATAATCACAAAAAGCAACCAAGTCCTAACAAATTGTCTATATATGTTATAATTCGATACCAAAACACATGGTTTTGGCTGTTGGTCTATAATAAATTATAAATCCATGCATCTTCCACACGCCGGCCATAAAATAAAGGGTATATAGTTAGGTCACTAAAAGTTTATATAGTCAAATAAAAACAGTATTCTATTTGAAAATATGAAACTGATAATTGTAAGAAATCTTTGATTCGTGGAATTTTGTTGTTTCTATTTTAAAATTGTTTATATCTTTTTTGTACACTTACGTGTGTATTAGAGCACTATATGCAATTTTGCTCTTTATATGTATAAATGTTTTAAATTTCACACTTTTGGTATATAATCTCTTTCAGGACAACCGTTAATAACATCATTTTTTTTAACATTAATAACATCATATTTTAGGCATAAATTCTCTTTTTTTTTTACATAGAGTTAAACTTGTAATCTTTAAAAACTCTCAAGTCTCTCGAGTAACAGTAAACTATCTTTCCTTTTAAAAAAACACTAAACTATCAGATGTTAAAAAAACGCTGATAGTAATGACTTTGAGAGATTTGTTAAATTAAACTATCAATTATTTGGGTAATGACTTTTACGTCACTTATATCGGAAAATATGAAAATGTAAAAGAAACAATATACAGTAGTAGTCGTGATGCGTTTGTGTTTGTCATATCAACTTGATAGAAAACTACGGCGTAAAGTAGCAGTTAGTGATAAAAACTGATAAGAGTTTTTGCCCCACAAGTAATATAAAGAATACGAAACTTTTTTAATCAAGTGATGGAAAACGACGTCGAAAAACAAAAATAGTTAAACAACCTTTCACAATAATATGCCACATTATTGTGTTTGTCTTTCGTACCCGATTCTAGTCACTTGATGATAAATTTTTATTTCAATGTCAGTAATTTATATTTATTGTGCATCTGTATTGTATATTGCTAAATAAGAAACACATGTAGAATTCTCAGAAAAAAAAGCAACTGATGAATGATGATAACAATGGTCAATGATCGTTATGATTATGATGACATAGCGATGAAGAGAAAACGTTGCATTGTGAAAGAAAGCAATCTCTACAAAAAAAGCCGGAAAAAACAGACAGAAAAATTGCAAAAATCTAATTGAAAATTAAACTAGCAGAAAGGTTTTTAGAAACTATCCAACATCCGGTGAGGGACAGGAGAATTTATGACCTGCAAGATCTGAACAATCTCCGCCATTGTAGGCCGATTCGAAGGTATCTGAGAAGTACAGACAAGAGCAAGTTTCAGAACAGGCAAAACCTCATCCTCAGAGTATTCTTCCTCCATTACAGGATCAATACACTCCAACACGTTCCCCTGTTCCAGCAAAACTCGAACATGGTCGCTAAGTATCACAAAGCTGTCTTCACCGTACTCAACGGGTCTCCGACCAGTCACGAGTTCGAGTATCAAAACTCCAAACCCGTAAACATCGCATTTCTCGTTGACCCTCAAGTTCTGACACTCTAATTCAGGCGCTACGTAACCTAAAGCGTTCTGAAACCTGTTGTTGTTCATCGTGCTCCCGTCTTGTGTTGTTAGAAGACGGGATAGTCCGAAATCAGAAATTTTCGGGTTGTATTTCTCGTCGAGGAGGATGTTGGTCGGTTTCAGGTTGAAGTGGACGGTTGTTGGGCGGCATGTGTGGTGGAGATAAGCGAGTCCTTTGGCTGTACCGAGGATGATTCTGTATCTTACGTCCCAAGAAAGAGGCGGTGTTGAGGGCTCTCTTTCGTGTAACTTGGACTGCAAGTTTCCATTTGGGATGTATTCCGATACCAGAAGCTGCATCTCCGGTGTCCAGAAATACCCTTTGATCGATACTAGATTAGGGTGCTTCGCTTTCGCCAAGACCCGGACTTCTCGATCGAAATCTTCTAGGTTTTGAAGAATTGGCGATGGGACGAGTTTCTTAACCGCCAAGTTTCTCCCATGTTCCCCTAAAGGTGCCTTGTAGACTGTTCCAAAGACTCCTTCACCGATTCTTGAAGCTTTGTTGAGAAGAGACTCCGGGTTTCTAGCGAACTCTTGTGACGACGAAGATGAACGCGACGTTCTTGAGTTCAACAGAACAAGTTTACCGGTCACTAAGCTTCTTCCCGATCTTGAAGACCCCGAGAACATACTCTCCAACGCGTTGTCTACAAACGCTAGCCGTCTTCTCACAGACGCGTTAAGCAGCGTTATGATTATGATTCCAGTGAAGATGAGTATTGCAGCTGATATAGCTACAATCACTGAAACGCTAAGGAACATTCCACGGTGGAATTTTCTTGAGCCATTGCTTTCTCGGTTTCCTGGCATTTCCCGGTTGTTGTTATTCCCTTTCCCATAGGATTTCGGATCGATGACAAGAGGCTTTGGAACATTCAGTGTGCAAGGTCCTCTTAACAATGGTGAACAAATACCTAAGTTTCCTTGGAGAGCACTCTGGTCTAAGCTCTGGAACACACCTCCATAGGGTAACCTTCCGATGAGCCGGTTAAACGAAATGTTAACCAATAACAGATTCTGCAATTCACCGAGCTCTTTCGGTATTTCGCCGCTAAGTTTATTGGCCTCTAGCTTTAGAATCTTGAGCTGTTGTAATTTTGAAAGTGATTTAGGAATTTGACCGGTAAGCTTGTTATGTGACAAACTCCTGCAAAAAGAAGCTTATAAATTATAATGTGGAAACATATACAATTTCAGCAAAATGGATACATAAGAAACAGAGAGACTTACAGCAGTTTAAGAGAAGAGCAGTTTCCAATTCCTTCCGGTATAGAACCGGTTAGTGAGTTACCATCCAACTGAAGGATCTGTAGACTCTGAGACTCGCATATATCAGCTGGAACCGAACCGATCAACGCGCCGTTCCTGAGATCCAAGACTGTTAGTTTCTGTAGAAACTCGATTTCAGGAGGAACTCTTGTGTTGAAGTTGTTCCATGACAAGTTTAGGTATCTCAAGCTGCTGAATAGCCCTACTTCACCAGGTATGTTTCCACTGAGACTATTGCGCGAAAGATCGAGCATTACGAGTGACTCGAACATTCTGCTCGAGCCTCTCGGGATCGAACCGGTTAAACCGTTACCGGAAAAGTCCATTTCTTGAAGACCAAGATCAAATAAACCATCGGGAATGCTACCGGCGAAGCCATTGCCTTTGAGCTGAACGGTCTTAAGCTCTTGGCAGGATTCCAAAGATTCTGGAATCTCGCCGGAGAGTTTGTTCTCAGACAAGATTAGATCCTTCAGAGATCTCAAGTTACCAATTGAAGAAGGAAGCTTTCCGGTTAACTCATTGCCGGAGAAATCCAAGTGTACTAAACCGGTCATGTCACCAATCCATGCCGGGAAATCACCGGAGAGCAGATTGTTGGATAGATCGAAGCGACTTAAATATCTCAGCCTCTGAAGAGTTCTCGGAAGTTCGCCGGAGAAACGATTGAAACTCATATCAACTCTGTTTAAATGAGGACAGAGTCCAATATCTGAAGGTAATGATCCTGAGAACTGATTCCTTTGTAGCTGCAACTCTTTCAAGTTATGCACAGAGAACATCCCCAGTGGAATCGATCCAGAAAGTGTGTTAAACGATAGATCTAATGTTCTTAGCCTCTCGAGTTTCCAGAATCCAGAGACGAAACTAGGGTTTCCCGAAAAACGGTTGCTTGAGAGATTGAGACTGTTTAAAACAGAGCATCGAAACAGAGTACTAGGGATTTGACCTTCGAGATGGTTGCGAGACAGAGAGAGATGCCTAAGAGATGAACAGTTGTTGAACAAATCATCAGGGAGTGTGCCGGAGAAGGAGTTTCCGGTTAAGTCGAGGTATCTCAAGGAGCTGCTTGAGCCGAGAGAAGGTGGGATTTGACCGGAGAGATTGTTGTGGCTAAGATCCAGCTTATGGAGACTGTTGGTGTTTGAGAGAGCGTTGATGTTTCCGGTGAAGTTGTTGTTGGAAAGTGAGAGTACCTTTAAATGCTGAAGCTTTTGGATGCCACGACCGATTTTCCCGGTTAAGGATAAACCGTCGAGGGTAAGCTCGGTGACTCGAGATGTTCTGGGGTTGCATTTGACGTAGCTCCATGAGCAAGGAGAGTCATCGTCTTCGTTCCACGACTCGAGGTGCGAAGATGGGTCGTCGAGGTCTGATTTGAAGACGATGAGGCCCAAGACGTCGTCGTTTAGCTGGATTGAGTCGATATCACCATTGATGAGTGATATCAATGTCATTGCGAGAAACAGAGTACATGAGATCCATTTTCTCCTGTGATCGCCCATGATGATGGATTGTGAAACACTCTCTCTCTTGATGGGTAGAGAGGTGAAGCTAATTTGGTAGGGGAAGAGAGAAAAGAGAGAGAGAGATGGGAGAGTTATGGCATTTTGATGACAGAGAGAAAAGAGAGAGAAAGAGTGAGAAAGAGAGAAGTTGAGTTTTGTGCCAATGAGAAGAAACTCGAAGTGTTTGTGAGTGTAAGATTCTGAAGTTAGCTAGAAGACAACAGCTAGATCGAGTTGCATATGATCCTTAAGGCCAAATGGACCACATGTTCTACTCCGGTCTAACCAAAAATGACCGGTTTATTCGAATCTCTGTGAATGGATGTGGCTTCACGTGTTAAATAGTTACATGAAGATAAGCCATACCAGTAAGGCAGTAACTAATAGCATGTTACGAGGTTTTAGGTGGTAATTATACTAAACATCTATATGATCAAAATTTTAGGGTACACAAACTGTAAAAGAAAACACCAATCACAACCATTTAACAAAAATGAATAAAATCCTTTTGTAGATAGTAATAATCATAAATATATACCATGAATGATACCTTAAATAATAGAAGTTCATTTTATAATTTGAAAGTTTACATAGAAAAATAACATGTTTTTAACATTAAACATGAATACATGGGAAACTCCAGCTCTAGTCCTTCAACACTATCATACATCATTTAACCTCTTAATTACCATAAATTAGTTATCATTTATGATTTGCAGATTGGAATCAAAACTAATTCAGTGTTTACAACCGTCGATTAAATGTTATAGTTGTCAAGTGTGTGTCCAGTAAAAATAGATATTTAAAGATATACAATTGTGAATTGCCCCGACTTGCACGTAATAATAGAGTAGAAAGCTATATCACGAGAAAAGGAACAGATGAGATTAAAAAAAAAAAAAAGGGTATGGTCAATAGAGATAGAGACATATGAATTTGAGAATCCAAATAAAATATGATGAAACAAAAGAAAATTAAAAAAGGGAAGAAGAAAAGAACAAAAGTAGGGTTTGGTGCCATTAGAACAAGAAAGACTCGTGACTGACAAAGTTATGTGTAAAATCCACCGCACAATTAGCTTATCTGTCTTTTTGTCCCGACACTCTCTCTCTCTCTCTCTCTCTCTCTTCTCCATCTCTTAATTAGATACAAATTACGAAATAAACATATTAAGCTCTTCAGAATTATACCTACCTATTATAGGGTGATCGGTATGTTTCTTAGTTAAGGACATTTTCTTTTAAAACACCGTTGACTACTATTTCTAATCGTGTTTAGTTTTGTTACATATTGTTTAGATTAGACAGCACAATCACAATAGAGTTTTAAACAAGTATAAGCCTAGAAAAAAATTATAGGTAAAAATCTATCGATGAATATTTTTGTATTTACAAGAAAAATGTTTGTTAAAACAAAATGACGAATCTAATGATGATATTATGCGTAAATAAATTATAGTTTTGAAGATATTTTTTTAAAAAACCAGTAAGTAGTACTCACTATACAAAGTGCAACAAGACTACAAGAAAAATGCTTCAATGATGTGATGTGATAAAATGTCTATAACTTTATATACACATTAACAGAGGTTATATCCAATCACACATCTCTTTTTGTTATTTTTTGCTCCTCAGTGTTTATGTATTTATCAAATTCATTCCGTTATATTTTTTTAATATTCGTTTCACGCGAATCCATTGTTACACAATAATAGCAAACCAAGCCGATAAGATATTCAAGATTGAAGCTGGTGTCTGATGCTTGGGAACGGAGCATGTTCTCAAATCTTGGTCGTTTTTCAATAATTATTGTTTTTACCTCTTTCAATATATTCTTCCTACCCGATACAGCCGTGTTACATAGGGGAGAACTCATTTGAATTCAAATTATAAAATTTGAACTTTGAGTTACAATGGCACTGTAACTATTTTCATTTTTCAATGAAGGAAAACAATATAATAACTAATAATAGACATCAACGGTCACCCGAAGGATTTGAGCCCAACCTATTCTAACATTTCATTGTTCGTGGTTCTTCATACTTCTCTGCCTATTTTTATTTCATATTTTTTATTGTCACCAATAAAATTTAATAATTTATCGATTGATCTTATAGATCAATACAACACCTTATGCATTTTAATCTATTTATTATGGGTTTGACTGATATGTCAGTTTAATAGCTGAATAACAGAATAATAAATTAGCGGAATCAATAAGACGGGTAAATTGAAAAATGAATAAACTTAAAATGCTAAAAAGCTAATATCTATTAAATGAATAAGTTTTTTTTAAAACTAGTTATAAATTTAAAATGTGTAGGATGATATGAAAAATAGCGTGTTAATTTTCATGTTTTATCATTCAGTGTTTAATATTGTGAATGATATGTATTTAGTGGAATCACGTTTTCAAAACGTGAAAAAGTTGCATACCATTCAACCTCTATATATTAAATATTTTAATAGTTTAATAATATAACCCAATATAAGGTTTTCAACATATATAAAATGAAGTTAATGAGTTTTCAGGAAAGTTCTCATATTAAATATAGTTGAATCAAGTTTTTAAAAATCTCTTCGTATATCTCTTACAAGGGTTGTGCCTGGGAGATATATGAAGTTTACTTGTTACAGAACTAGAAAATAGTGCATATTAATCAAATTAATGTAAACCAAAGTTTCAAACACTACATAGAACAAAAACTCATGAAAATTGTGTTTTGAAAAATAAAATTGAGTCCTCAAACTTTAAATAAATTGAGTACAGCCGCTGCTATTTGTTTCTATTGGCATGCTTCAAACATAGCTCTTTTTCTCAGTATTATCTATATCCAAGAAACGATCATATGTTTTTGGCAGAGTTATATATAATATATGGTATTTTTTTAATCAATTTTTGTATATAACTCTATACTCTAAACAGTTTTGAAATTTGGAGATCAAATATAGAGATGTTAAAATGAGATGAATAGATAGGGAAACAAAGTATGACATATCTATACTATAAAAGATGGCCAACTCTCTCTATATGAGTGACACTTCATCATTTTGGTTTATTGTGGAAATGACATGTGTCATTTTTTAAAATTTAATGATACAAATTATGTAAAATACAGTTAATACATAAATTTAATGTATTATTAATCATACTATAAAAGATGACCAACTCTCTCCATATGAGTGCCACCTCATCATTTTAGTTTATTGTAGAAATGACATGTGTTATTTTTTAAAATTTAATGATACAAATTATGTAGTTAATACATAAATTTAATGTATTATTAATCATAATACTAAAAGAATATGAAAAATATGAAGAATTAGATAATATATTTTAATAACAATATATACATAATATCCGAAAACAATTATTGAATATCTATTTTGTAGTAGTTTTTAAAAATCATTAACAAAATTTATGTTTTATATTTAAGAGTGTTTTCTTATTTTTAATTAATATTATAAGATATTATTATAAAAACAATTATACAAATATAAAACTAACAATTATTTGATATTTTGAACCTTAAAAAGTTAGAAGGAAAATTTATACAATATTATAATAAACTTTAAAATAATTTCTTTATAAACTAATAATTATTTGATTATTTATTTTATTCAAACTTGATCCATTAATAATTTTAAAATTAATAAGATATCAAAATCCTAATATATATATTTATAAAATATTTAATGCAGTTGTATAAATTAGAATTATAAATCAATTATTTAAGCTCATAAAAATATAAAACGACGGTATTGCTATTGTGTAAATCTACGCCGTGAACAAATATGACCTGTTAAAAACAGTCGTCTCTATATATGTTGTGCTTGAAGAGATTTCTAATTAATTTTTGTTATATAGTACTTTTCTGATTTGCATTATATCCATTTAATATATTATATATATACAAGATATAATATATTTTATATTTTTTTATCAATAAACCATTAATCACATATATACTTAATATCCACATAATATGTAAATATGTATTGTATGTTTATTCAAATACACAATATCTTTTAAAAAATTTTAAATATACGATAAAATAAATTTTAACTATATTTTTTAATAAATTATATTGTAAAAAAAATCCGTGCATCGCGCGGGTACTCATCTAGTTTATATAATAAAACAAGTAGTGAAAATGTGGAGAACTCTTTATTTCTTTTGTACATTTTATTATGTGTAGCACTCTTTAAACAGAGTTTTGTGGAGAAAGTCCATAGAAAAAGCAAATGGGAAAGTAGGGAGGCAAAAACGAGAGGGTATTTTCTCGATAAACAAAGAGAAAGAGGTAAAGAAGATCGTCAACGAATACACACATACACTCGTCTGAAGTTTGATTCTCGATTTCTTCACAAATTCTTTCTGCTGTTTCCCTTTATTGTTTGCCAACTTTCTTCCTTTTTTAAAAGTTAGACCTTCAAGATTCTCTATTCACATCATTATCATTTGTTAATTATGTCAAATCAATAACAAAAAGAAACCATCTCAAAATCATACATTACTTCCTACTTAATAAATGTTAGTTCTCTCTTAGCTCTTCCTCTTCTTCCTCTTCAAGAAAGGCATAGCACTTAATCCTCCAGCCGAAGAACTTCCAGTTTCAATCTCAACATTCTTCTCCAATGATGATGCATCCTCTTCATTTCGACGTTTAGCTTTGTTTCGATGTTCTTCATTCTCCTCCGGCTCTACCATCTCTGCATCCATTGCATCGTCTTCCTCACCTGTTTCATCTTCATCGACACAGAATCCGCCACCCATCACTCTGTAATCATCAGTAGCTTTATCACCCAAGTGAGCTTCTTCAATCTCAGCTTCATCTGTACAGAACCCACCTCCCATTTGGATATAGTCTTCAGAAGGACAATCGTTTGTTTCGTTATGTGTTCTTTCCGCAGAGACGGTTCCTACTCTGCCTTCTTCTGTGAGGAATTCATCATCTTCCAAATTCTCAATAAGGGATTCTCCATTGTTTCTTGACTCGTCGATTTCATCATCTTCTTTCAGATCGTACTTCACAGGGTTCCGAGATCGCGTTGACTGGAAAATAACAGATAACAAAAGTGAACACACCACATAATCAATCAAAATACACCGTACGAAAGCTATATTAAAGGCTTACCCTTCGCATTTTTTGAAGATTGCTCGGTTCTGCATCATGAGGTGCCTGCAATTCAACCACCTTATCATCATCAGAGCTGCCGTCAGATAGCTCAGGGAGGAGATTGCTTCGGCCCCTTCCTCTTCCTCTTCCTCTTCCTCTTTTTGGAGTTCTACCTCTGCCTCTACTACCAGATGATTTTTCTAAGCGATTCCTTTTGTTTTTCTCCTTCTCATCAGCTTTATTTGAATCTTTCTCTGAAGTGTTATCTTCAGTGTCATGGGGAGCAAGTCTTTTCTTATTTCTTGGACCTTCTTGGGAAGGATGATCATTCACTTCTGATGATAGACCTCCGCCAATTCCTTTGACAGCCTTTTTGATTCTTTTACTACGGATCTTTGCGAATCTTTCACTGAAGGAGTAGAAAGCTTCCATTCGAAGTTGCGTCTTCATGGAAACAAAGGAAAAGGAAACAAAGCTGTCACATATATACATATCAATCATATCCATACGTAAAATAAAAGATCAAATCTAGATGAAGACCTCGCGTTTTTCATACTCCTTCAACACAGGTAGTAGCAGATCATCTGTCTTCTTACTGTTCCAACCAAACTTTTCCCAGCATAGCCTTCACCAAAAAGAAAAACGATACTACAGAATCAGAACTCAGGATAATGCCTTCTGCAGAAACCTAGTCCATGGGCCAAATCATTCGATCTATCTCATATTCACTGGAACCCTTATCCCCTAGGTGACTTGACAAAACATGTCAAGCTATGCCATATTGTTTTAAGGACACTAGAAGGTAATCAGTTTGCAAACCTGGTAATGAGAAAGGATTATCATACACATACCCAATAATGGTGATATGTGAAGTAAAGAAACGACTTACTTTTTAAGAACTAAGAGATCAGGTTTGCCCCATGAGAAAATCTCAGTCGACCGATCCACTTGTGGATTTATGTAGGCTGAAGTAACAGCTTCACTAGGGAAAGTAGATGGAATATGCCAGTTCTTGCTTACCTTTCTCTGTAATTTTAAATGGTTAATCAGATTAGAAAAAAAGTTTAAGTCAATCTTTGGTGAGTTTGACCATATCAAAAATGTTCAGGAAAAAAATAGCAGTACATGCTTATCCATGAAGATTTTCTTTATTTCTTCTGTGTCATCAGTCGAGGCACCTGAGCTGCTTCCTTTATTATCTACAGAGTCAGATCCACGCTTCTTTACATTTGAACCTGTTTTTGCATCAGTCTTTCCTAAAATGGTTGGATCAGGTGATTCAACCCATTCACGAAATTTCTGAAGCCCATCCTCCTCGGGAAACGCAGTCACAACTTCAATAGCGTTGACAATACCAATTCCACTGCATGTCAAACCAATTACGATGTCAAGTACATAAAGAACGGGACTTTGTCCCTACGCAGTCAAAAACTCTTCTAACCTGATTCCTTCTGTGTAATCACTTCCTAGCAGCATTGCCATGCGGATTATTTTATCTCTGCTCAAACCAAGCTCCTTCTCAATGTCCTGAAATTCAAAAGAGTTTAGATGTGTAATCACCAAACTTTGAAACTGTATGCAAACGACTAGAGATGTAATTGGGAACAGATCGTTAAAAACAACAGAGTTTGAGGACGGATGTGCACACCTTCATAAAGTATGTCTCCACATATTTGCGATCATCAAATATATTTTTGTACACACTCCTAGCTCCAAACAAGAATACATCTGAATCGTCAGTGACAATGCCATCAACAAGGTTTGATTGTTCCATAAATGCACACTGTGCCTCCGCTTCCATGGGAGCTATGATGTATGGTACGCCAAATATGTGGAGTAGCTCCTGAGGAAATCCAAAATCAACAAAACATTATAAGTTTGCTGTCATACTAAACAAAACAGAAACTTCGATAAGTTTGCAAAACGACCGCATAAAAGGACACTGATTCATATGTATTAAAAGACAATAGGCAAACCTGGCATTCTGCAAACATCTCACTGCTAACAGATTCGGCATTCCGCTCAAGTTTCCTCTGTTCATCACCTAAACTTACATATTCTTGGTCGAGTACTCGCATTTCCTCCTCCAAATTTGCCTCTGAAAATTCAACAGGCACCTCTTTCTCCTCTAAATCTATTGAACTCTCAATATTGAAAGCGCGGTCGTTAGAGTTATTTTCCTCCCTTGTTTCTTGCTGTGAATCTGTTTCATACAGTATCCCTATGCTTGATCTGATATCACCACGAGAAGGGTCCACTGATTCAGTGACAGGACTCTGGGGTTTATCTCTTCTATATTCTCTCTTATCATCCATCATGAAAGATAAGTCACTATCATTACCTTTTTCCACACTACCGCGAATAGGTGCCTCGCCCAAGAAAACAGTTCTGTCCTCATCAGCTACGGACATAGCAGACACATTGACAGATTCCTCACCTATACTTTCAGAACCCTCTTCATTTTGCTGTTTAGCCATGGTGGACAGCATGCTGCTCTCACTAGCAATAATAATTTTTTTGTCGGGTGAGATAACTGACTTAACCTGTGGAATTTTCTTATCAGAACTGGAAGAAGGCTGTGTACCAAATTGTTTGGTTATCCCTCTCTGACCATCTACATTGTCCGTTACAGAAGCGTTGGACTGCTCTTGTATAGCACCACTAGTTTTCAAGATTGTTATTTCGTCCAGATTTCCCTCTCGATCAGCTTCACCAACGGTATCACTAGAACACACACTATTTTGAGTCGGCTTGTCAAGAACTAGATTTACCCCTACCGTTTGATTTTCTTCAAAAAAGATATCCCCGGATTCCTTATCACCTAAGTCAAGAAGACTTTTCTTGATAGCCTCCTGCAGATCAGCTTCTTCTTCCAGGTAGCCTTTTGAGAACTGTGTTACTGTATCATTCTCCATGGAGTTGCTGGCATTTTCACAAGTAGTTGCTGCATCCTCATCAGTACTAATATCCTCGGGGATATGCTGATTGCTTGAATTCACTTCAAGCTTAGAGGCAACATTATTCTGTCCAGCCGGCATTTCTTCCCAGTCACTGTCAGAAGCCCACGGTGAAGAGTCTTCTTCTTTAGAATCGTTTTCTTTAGAATTAAATGTCACTGGTCCTCCCGCTGCCAACTGAAGAAACATATCATCTTCATCATTCAGATCTTTCCCCCCACCATCATCTTCAAATGATATCTCTATCGCAGATGGATTTCGTAGCATGGAATCATCATTCTGGTTATCCAGATTCACAACATCACCTTCCTTAACAGGTAAATTTTCAAGAAACTGGTCCTCAGAAGGAAAGTTTTCCCAGGCGCTGAGTGTTTCATCATTGTTAGACACTGAACCAAAAGCTGTTTTCTCCTTTTCTTTCATCAAATGTAAGTTCCTCTGGATATCACGAGTCATTTGGATCCCCATGTGTCTGTTCCTTATTCTTAAGCGGCCCCTTTCATCTATATATACTTCAATATTTTCATCAGGATTCGCGGGTTCATCTCTATCCAAATCAATAGTAGCATCTGATTTCTTCCGAGAAGAAACATTCTTAAAAGGGACTGGCAAAGACTGTTGTGGCGTATTTTTCTTATTTTCATCATTTCTTCCTTCTCTGGCAGACGCAAGTACACTAGACAACATAAAAAACATCAGTCATTTTCTAATACGACAGACCCTTATTCTTTAAAAGACTTCAAATTGCAACTCACTCTTTATCCCCAGAAAAGGAAGATGAGAAGATAAACTCTCTGTTCGCTTCAGAAGCTATCCTAGAAGTTTGAACACCACCGACAGCCCTTCCACCGGCAGATCTCTGAACTTCGTTTATTTCTCGACGAAAGGCTACTGTTTTAAGGTATGCTTCTATTTGCAGCTCGGAAAATTTTTCAGGGGCCTATACAGACATAAAATAAAATAACAAATTCCATATCTCTTCATACAGAAAGATTCATATACATTATGGAGAAAGAATGAGTCAGTGATTTATGTGACTCACCTTCTTGACCTTTTGGTACTTTTGCCGGTTTTCTGCCATCAATTTTTCTCTCATCTACAAATAAAGAAATTATCAAACAAACTGAAAGGTCCATCAAAATCAACATATGCTGTCAATATAGTTAGTTACCTGAGCAAGGAGATCAAGTTGCATGGATGTAGGAAGAGAAGCCAAAACAGCTGGGTCGACATTTCCGTCCATTACTGGCTAAAGTAGACAAAATATTATTAGCAGATGGAGACGATAAAGTGTCAGATAACTCCTTAATAAAGAACATAATTCTAACAACAGTGTCATGATTCTTCATTACAGCAATGAAGATTTCACTCAGATGAAAAAAAAAATTCCCCTTTCAGAAACTGGTCCAGCCAACTTGAAGACTGGTACTGATGCTTAACTAACAAATCTTTGACCTAACAACTATATATCCCCTAAATAATAGTGATCTGTAAGTTAAGCATCAGTAAATAAAACAAGAGAAAGATGCAGAACATAGACTAATAATTACCAAAAGAATTTGCTCATCTTCTTCGCTGCCCTCTTCCTCAGATGGGATAGCTGCAGCTGAAGACGATGCTTCGTTAGTAAAATTTCCGTCTTCTTCTGCTGCAAGGGATGCCGCTAACCTATATTAAACCAAGACAGGAAAACATATTATGACTATTTGCAAGTAAACATCTTTAACCAATATCTCGATCAGTGCTTACATCTCATCCAACTTTTCCTGATAATCCTTTGTCCGTGCTGAGGAATCCTGTTCAAGATTAGTCTTCATTTTGTTATCTAGGTCATCCCCATCCAGTAAAATTCTCTTTCCCTTCGGATCATAGTTCTGCGAGTCACCCACAAAATAGGCATTATATAAATCTCAGTAACCAAATCACTTGCAAATTATTGAACAAAGAGTGACGATGAAAGAATTGACAGATTAGAAACTGAACATAGAAATAACATGAACAAATCAGCACCACGTTTGCTACTAAGTGCTAAGTCGCGCAAACTAATCCCAAGATTCTATGATTATAACCACGAAAGATGCAAGGCTAAGTACATGTGAAAGCAAAAGAAATAACATAAACTGGAAATACATCACAACACAGCGTAAACAGATTTCCCAGCTTCTAATTATTAATTACCGCAAGAAGCATGATTGATGGCATAAAAAGGAACAAAAAGAATATAAACTGGACTTTCCCTGAGAACCACAGTTAACTTCAACTTAGTTTGAGTGGGTCTGTGCAGAGAAATGAACATCTTGGTGTTATAGGCCGTACCAACAAATTCTAACAACAACACTTTAAGTAATGAACAAAAAAAGCGATAAAGTAGATTCAAAACACCATCTTTGCAGTTCCATGTTTAGAATTCACTTACCGTGGACCCTTTGATGATATTGTCAACACCATTTTCTCCCACCATAGATGCGGGAGTTCTACATACTGAGGTCGTTAAAGCAATACCACCAGAAATCAATGAAATCTATGGTTAAGATAGCAAAAAACTATTAGCTTACATCTCATCTAGCTTTTCCTCCTGAAAACAACTGCTCCCCACAGCATCTTTCTCCACAGAGTCTCGCAAAGGTTCTTGCACAGATTCTGAAGTTACACGTTTCTTCTTCTCTCCAGCACTAACATTCTGCTGCAACCTTTGGTTCTTAAGATCTTTGGCTTGTTCCTTAAGCCTCATATCCTTGAGCTGTAACAACAAATCCCAAAACCGAGCAAGGCAATATAATCAAAAGTAGATAAATTTCGTGAAAGCTTCTAAATTTCTTAATTAAGGAACTGAAAAAAAAAAAAAAACAGTTACTGACCCGATTAAGCAGCAATTTCTCAGCCGTCTTTCGGATTTTCGTCTGGGCGTTCTCACGCTGACGACGGCGCGCAATGACAGTGCGGCGTTTCAATGCCGGAGTGCCTCCGTCAAAGACGAAAACGGGCTTAGTCCTTAGGAACAGAAGCTTGCAAATCCTCCGGAAAAAACCGATCAAGTGAGCGTTCTGAACCATATCTCCCTTTTCGTCCCGCATCGCCTTTATAAACTGTACCATCCATATACTCGCATCTGCAATCGAAGAGAAGCAACATCGTCGATTTCGTAAAGTAACAAACTAAATAAGAAATACACTGAAGTTGTCCAAGTGATCGCCGGAAATCGTACCGATGGCCAATCGTTTTCCGGATAGTGTTTCAACAGAGACGCGGCGACCGACGGGAGCGAGCAGCTCCCAAAGCCCTTGCACTCCCATATTTTCTCAGTTTCTTAATTTCTTCACCGCCTGAGCAAACGACTTTGCCGGTAAACGCTGCCGCCAAGAGCACTTTATTAGTATACGATAAACCGCCGATCCACAGCTATACGGGGTCGTTTTACGCTCCCAGGCGTAATTTTGACCCAGCGGTTACACATACATACAAATTGTCCAGGCCCACCTTTACCGGCTCAATATTGGCCCATACAATCCAAAAAGTCAAAAAAATTTAGCAATAATTCGGATTTCGGTTACGGTTCTGTCTTAAGTTTTCACCTTTTCTTTTCTTCATTTTTTCATTTAATAAAGCCCAAACGCAAACGGGTCAGCCCAACATCTGTATAGTGGGTGGGTTTTAAATCGCGTAACCGGCTCACTGAAGATCCGACCAACACGAAGGCAAACAAAACAATGAAAAATGGCCGACCAGAATAGAAAAGCAAGAACAAGATCAAAAAGCAAAAAAGCAAAAGCCAAAGTTGAGGCTTGCATAGTTGCATAAAGGTAAAATAGATGCTTCTATCCGTTAAAAATAATAGATTTTTTTGTTATATTATTTTTTTAAAATAGAAAATATATTATTTCATTCATGAATATTTTAATGCAAACTATCTTTCATTGTTTGTCAGCCGCAAAAATAATTTTTCCTTACTGTTTGGAAACAATAAACTAGATACTAAGAAAAACTCGTATTAATTTATTTTATTAATAATTCTAGAAAAATGATCCATTCAACCCACAATTCGTTTTTTCTTTGTCAATAGCCTAGACAAATAGTTAGGCTTTTTTATTAGCAGTCTAGATTATTTTGGCATTGTGGTTTATATTATTATTGCCATTGTGTTATCATACATAGTTAAACACGAATGTTCGTTATAGACAAAAAAAAGAGTTGGAACCGAAATCATTTTGCCATATGAAAATTTAAAATCAAGCAAATTAAACCAAGGGGTGCAAATCCAAATGAATGTTTTCAAATAGTGAAATGAAAAAGACCAAGACTATTAATCCAATATATAAGTAGTATGTTAGTCTATTATTTTGGGTTAATAAACTTAGGCACTTTAAAAAAAAAAAACATAGTGTACCAAACACGATGGAATTGAATTCTAACAAGGAACAACAATTCCAAACCGTCCATATAAAAAATAGCCTAAATAAAGAAAAGCAAAAGCTTTGCAGTACATCTCTCCTCTTCAAGACGGAGACATAAAGTTCGAATTATTGCGTTATGTTATTATACATATACTATTGAAACAAAGGAAGTTGCACCAGCCAAGATCGTTAACTCTTTCTGGTTGAAAAGTTGTCATATCTCAAAACAAATTAAGAGGGGCACAACATTTGATGTGTGTGATACCGATTTTGTCCTACTTCAACTCTCAGTGATAGTGGAAATGAGAGTGACATATATTGTGGTGTCTTAGGCATGAGAATATGTCATTTCAATAGCTTGACAACAATTTTTTGCTTCCTATTTTGTTTGTTTCAATATTCTTTCTCTCCACCGATTAGTCTCCTCTGTGTCACCACCATTGGTTCTTCTTCCGATTTTTTTGCACAGCCTATCAGTTTAGCCAACTCAACATTTGTCATTTTTGATGATATAAATTAGTTTAGATGTCATTTTTGTTGCTTTAAATTTTCCATGTCTTATACATCTTCATTGGTGATAAATTAAGAACGCAGTGAATTACGTAATTGAGTTATGCTAGTTAGTGACACTACTATTAGAAAATTGATTTGTTTTTTTTTTTACTTGGTTACAAATTCTTAGTAGATTCTAAAAATAAATTAAGCATGTTTTAAAGTGGTTGGAGGCATTGTGTTGTCCATTAAATGTGTGTGACACTTTGTCAAGCGATCACCCTAAAGAAGAAGGTCTTATCCATGAAAAATCTCTGTTCTTTTTTGGTTTCCAGTGCCCATTTCAAGAGTATTCATATGCCTTGAATACTAGAAAACAATTAACGTAGCGTTAAAAAGTTCAGTCACTTGGATAAATAATCAAACATTCTAATGAAGAGAGCACTGATGATGCGTAATATCATTCTCTATTGCATATAAAACTTTATAAATCTATAGGACGAAAACAAATAATACAACGACACGTGATAGCCACATTGACATAGGTAAGGGAATATGACTAATTAAGCTTAAACAATCGTGTACAACCAAACTGACGACGAGAGGAAACAAACAAGACATTAATGAAGAGAGCATTGATGATGCGTAACACCAAAATACATTTACCATTAGATCCAGCTATACTAATTGATATTAGGGATTCTTTCAAAAATGACGTAAAATTTGATTTGAATTGCAAATCTAACTAACAAAAATCACTTTCCCAATATTTGCTATTTTGTGTCCAAACAATCTTTCATAGTTTCAATTATTTACCAAATTGTTATTATTTTTAATTAATTTCTTTTATTTTCGGAAATCCAAATGACCAATTAATCCTCATCTTCCTCACGTATTTACGAAAATGCTCTGAAAGTAGACTTCTCTCGGTCCGAATGAAGAAGTCTACTAGTCAACGCCCACGTTAGTTTTGCAATTGACCGCATGAAAAAATAGACTTCTTTTGGTCCAAATAAAGTCTACTCCATTTCCTTTGATAACAAAAAAAATGAAGTAGACTTCTCGAATAGACTTCTTTAGAAGCAGGTCATTTTTGCAATTGACCAACCTTTGACTTTGTAGAGTAGACTTCTCTATGCAAAGTAGACTTCTCTATGCAAAGTAGACTTTCGTAAGTAGACTTCTTCCAGGTCATTTTTGCAATTGACCAAAAAGTCAAATATTTTGCAATTGCAAAAATGACCTGCGAGAAGTCTACTTACGAAAGTAGACTTCTCTGAGAAGTCTATTTTTCATAGAGAAGTCTACTAATATTTTGGCAATTGCAAAACTAACCTGCGAGAAGTCTACTTTTATCCGAGAAGTCTACTTTTCTTGTTTTTAAAAAAAAATCATTTTTATACAATATATAACGAATTTTTAAGATTTTCGTGATCCTAAGCTTTTGTTATTAAGTTTTCTTGCTTATGTATAAGTTTTTCATATTTATATATTATAGGTATAGTCGAATGAGTTTTCACGTTTTATATGATACTTAGCTTAAGAAGTCTACTCTAGAAGTCTACTATATAGACTTCATCCGACTTTCAGAGAAGTCTACTTATGCAATTTTGATGTCTAATGTGGTTTGGATTTTGTTCTTTTTTCACAGAGAATGGCTCACATACCCGCTGTTTATGGAGAATGGGTTAAGAGTGAATCAATGTGGCAGTTCGAGGTGGATAATAGCAAAGAAGGGCGAATGTTGTTCTTAAGAGATGGTTGCACACATGGTGAGCTTCTTGGTGAATGTTGGCAAAGGAGGGCGAATAGCAAAGGAGGGCGAATGTTGTCACCTTTAAGTTATGTAAAATTAATGTCTTTAAGAAGTCTACTCGAGACAATGAGAAGTCTACTTCAGAAGTCTACTCGAGACAAGAGAAGTCTACTCGGTTGACAAGTTACATGATATAAATGAGAGAAATGTCCCTCTGAATCACTTTTAAGTTATGTAAAATTCATGTCTTTTAGAAGTCTACTCGAGACAGGAGAAGTCTACTCGAGATAATTAATGTCTTTTAGAAGTCTACTCGAGACAGGAGAAGTCTACTCGAGACAAGAGAAGTCTACCCGGTACAATTAATGTCTTTTAGAAGTCTACTCGAGACAGGAGAAGTCTACTCGAGATAAGAGAAGTCTACTCGGTTGACAAGTTATATGATATAAATGGGAGAAATGTCCCTCTGAATCACTTATAAGTTATGTAAAATTAATGTCTTTAAGAAGTCTACTCGAGACAGGAGAAGTCTATTTTGTAGAATAGATAAACATAGATAAATTAGGAATTTGATACAAAACATTTAATGCAATTCAATATTACATAGAAAATAACCCTCTAAACAAACAAACATTTAAGGATCACTAATTATAAATCTTAAAAATGACATAAAAAATTACTAGTAAACTAAAATCTCTGAAAATTATGTATGCAACTGAAGTCTGCTCGAGATCGAGAAGTCTACTCTAGAAGTCTGCTCGAGATCGAGAAGTCTACATTCAGATCTGCAAAAAAATCAACAAAATTCAGCTCTGCAACAATAACACAAAATTTAGATCTAGAACAAAATCTATAAAATTTATACAACAATAAACTCAGATCTACAAATATAAACTTAGATCTACAACAATAAGCTCAAATCTAAACTAATAAGCTCGGATCTATAATAATAATCTATTATATTTATAACATTCAGACCTGTACAAAAATCAAAAAAATTCAGCTCTGCAATAATAACAAAAAATTAACAAAATCTACAAAATTTATACAACAATAAACTCAGATCTACAAAAATAAACTTAGATCTACAACAATAAGCTCAAATCTATAATAATAAGCTCAGATTTGCAATATGAACACAAAGCAAACAAAAGGAGAAACACAAAATCTCAGATTTGCTTACCACTACCATAACCTGGAAGTGAGAGGAGGTTGAATGCAAAATAGAGAGGATGGAGAGGATATTGATAGCAAGAGAGGAAGGAGAAGAAATTCATGGCCAGAGAGAAGGGAGAAGAGAGAGAGGCGTTTTTTAGATAGAGAGAGACTTTATTGTTAATACAATTAGGTTAAACTCTCCTTATATATGTAGAAAAAAATTCGTGTAAGTAGACTTCTCCAAGAAGTCTACTCGAGAAACCGTAGAAGCCTACTCGAGAATTCTACTTAGTATTCATTTCTAACCTAATTTGTTCATGATGATTTAAATTTATTTTGTGTCAATTTTTATTTTTAATAGGTGTAAAAATATATATATTTATGTTATAGATCTAATCTTTTTATCAAAATATTTTTCATAATCTTTAAAATTAATTGTAAACAAACTATTATAGAGTAGACTTCTCGGGGATAAAACAGTAATTACGGCAGGCGTTTTTTTGTTTGGTCAGAAGGGTTAATGTTGTAATTTCACAACCTTTGTGAGTTATTTTTGTCAAACATGCAATAAGGGGTCTAGTTTTGTATTTAAACTCAAATTTTGAATCATATTCAGCAATTTCCTCTTGATATTAATCAAAAGTTTCATACAAATTGATATTAGATTAAAAATCGAAAGTTTGATATTACGTCCTCATTCTCTTTGAAGAGAAGAGCCTTTTACTGACTTAATCATTGAAGTGTATATTATTAACATTGATAAAATAATAAGCTATCAAATCTAAGCAAACCTAGTTCGATATATCTACTCTAAGAAACTAAAATTCACATTCTAGGTTAGGATCAATCTCATCCTTACACAGAACTTAACCACTCAATACTCTTCCGATTTCTCATTTCTTCCAATTAGCCACCTTGTCTAAAATTGCTGACATAATCATTGAAGTGTCTTTACAACTGTTTTAAGAAAATCAATCTATGGTTGACTTGCTTATAAATGTGATATCTTATAAATGCTAATAATACATTTCAAAAAGATTACTTTCATTTACAAGGTAAACTCTTGAACTACTGGATCACCATGCAATTGAATTGTTGTTTTGATACATTTTTATACATATTATTTTAAAATAGAAAACTATGTGAATAAATTAGTATTTAGAAATTTTGTTTTGTAGCAATCTTGTTTTTCCAAAAAAAAATCTCCCTTTCAACATGTATATTCTCAGAAAAACTATATTTGTGTCTAAACAAACATTGATCTAATTGTTGGTATACCTTACCCATCACTAAGAATTCCTTTTATATATATAAATTTTAGAAAAAAGTTGGCTAAAAAAATCTACTGGACGAAAACAAATGAAATAACAACACGTGATAGGTTGATAGCCACATTGATATAGGTATGGAAATGTGACTAAGCTATATATTCAACAACTTCAAAGCATATGTATTGCGATTTGTATCATTCATAGAGTTCAAACAAAGAAGAAGAAACAAAAGTTAAAAATCGTTAGAAGAATGGTTACATCGATCGGAATCCAAATTTGAGATCGACATAGTCGCATGCTTACTTTATTTCTATATTGATTTTTATTACAAAAACCATTGCTTTGTACCTTCTAACAACACCTGTAAAGGCATATTTCCCTTTTGGTTCAAATTATTATTTATCATTTGAAACAAATTTCTCCACAAGGCCATTTCCCTAACTCTTAATCATTATGTCTCATCCATTAGAATTTATATTCATTGTCATTTTTCAGGACATTAAATCTTGGAATCAATTTTTTTTTTGTTAGTCAAACACTTAATATCTTTTAGACAAAAACTAAAAGTAACTTTTTTGTAAGTAGTCAATTCTCCATCATCATAATTCAAAAAATTTATACCAATTATATATATATATATCGCATTTAAACTTGTATATATCAATATATGGTTAATCAGATATGCAATTTTAAAAGTTCTTTTCTTTTATAGATTCTGCGAAATTCGACCCCCTAAAACAAATTATTGCAAAGTTATATATACGTACATTACGTTGGTTCCATAGAATAAACTAGTTAATATTGGACTACGAAATTGCTTAACCATTGGCAAAAAAATGAGATGTCTCAAGAAAGAGAAATGAAGAAAAAGATACTCATGAAATCCATGAAGATTAAAATCATTTACCTTTCCAATCATATGATATACTATAATTTATTTTAATATATGACAACGCAAACTTAGAAGTCTTTAATGTTAAAAAAATAAAAATAAAAATCAGAAGTCGTTCAAAAAGTTCGAAAAAGAGAAGAAAATAAATGTTGCGTGATTTGATTTTCTATCAGCTGCAGTTGCTCCCTTACACTCACGTGGATCTCTTTGAATAGACTTATTTTTGTAAATCAACTATGGCCGTGAATAAGATTATTACAAATAACTTACATTCAGTGCACATGCATGTGATATATACACACGTATATGATAGAGGGTAGGCATAGTTATAATCATGGCTCCAAAAACAATAAGCCGACGAGAAAGTGTTGCAAGATAATCAGATATTTGTCAATGATTGTTTCCTCAAACCGGAAAGAAAATTCAAGGTCGTTTTCAGTTCAATTCCTTACACTTCTTGAGTTTCGCTTCGTCATCACAATACAAATACACATACTGATATGTACGCAATACATGAGTACCTATATTTATACTAACATCTCATCGTGTATCTATAAATCTACCTATATAAGCAAGAACCACACACACATATTCAACATACCTAATTACATCTCTCTCTCTCTCTCTCTCACTCTCTTCTCTCTCTCTCTCTTGTTCTTGCTTATTGATCTTGTTCGGATTCTGCTTTTCAAGAGAAATGGTTAGCGCGACAGTTGCGAGAAACATTGCCGGCATTTTCGGTAATTAAACACCAAATACATATAGATATGGGTTTTGTATTGTGTATGAACATTTTTCAAGAATCTTTTAACTTTTTTTTACTAATATTTTATAATTTATTAACTGTCGCAGGAAATGTCATCTCCTTGTTCTTGTTCCTATCTCCCATGTAATCATTGATCTTTCTGAAATCTTGCTTTGACCTTATTCTTTTTGGTCCAACAACTTAGATCTCTCTCGCACATACATACCAAAAATTTATATTGGTTAATTAATTAATGACTACAGAAAAAAAAAAATATATATATATAATTGATGCAGACCAACATTCATGAAAATATACAAGATGAAGAAGGTGGAGGAGTACAAAGCCGACCCTTACTTAGCCACGGTGCTAAATTGCGCACTATGGGTCTTTTATGGCTTACCAATAGTTCATCCAGATAGTCTCCTCGTGATCACAATTAATGCCACAGGTCTTGCCATTGAGCTCTTCTATCTCGCTATCTTCTTCTACTTTTCTCCCACCCCTCGCAAGGTATGTGATTGTCATCTCTCTTCCTTTTACTTCATTTTTCTAACATGTTTATCCGATCATTCGATTGTTGCGCCAAATGATGAACTAAAAATCTATAAACATGATCAAATTAGTGGGTTTGGTTTTGGTTTTCATCTGGATTCTAGTTACTTTTTGTAGTTGTAAATAGGTTTAGTTTTAATCATATGTTTTCCTAGAGATATATAACAAGGTCGACATACAATTTTTTTCATTTTCAGTTTGATATCTTTTTTTTTTGTTTAATAGTTTAATTTTGGTGTGATAATTCAATTTTTCAAAAATGTTATTTAATATTTTGGCCTAGTTATATATAGTTAGCCGGGAAATTCTAAAAGAATTTAAACGAGATAATAATGTTTTTTTTTGGGTTCAAATAAACGAGATAATAATGTTATAATCGATTTTTGTGAACCATAAATATGTAGCAACTAACAAGATCTATATTATGTATTGACAAAATTTGAGATTTGGTTTAATGATAATTAAATCGAGATTAACCAAAACTAAACTCAAGTCGATTCGATTCTTGTCTTCTGACTTAAAATAAACGCTAAAACACCACATAAACTAATAGTAGGCAATAGTGTGGACAATGATTGATTATGGTTTAGGATGGTGATAGATGAAACAAAGCTTTATGCAATTTTATTCTGAATTAATTTAATTAAACTGAATGATGGTGCAGATGAAAGTGGGGCTATGGCTGATAGGAGAGATGGTGTTTGTAGGAATAGTAGCCACATGCACATTGCTATTGTTCCACACACATAACCAGAGATCCTCTTTTGTTGGAATCATTTGTGTCATTTTTGTTAGCCTCATGTACATTGCTCCTCTCACCATCATGGTACTATTTTTTTTTTCTCTTTTCTACAACTTTTATTTGTATTTTACCTTTTTAAAATAAATAAAAAATACAACAATTTTGTTGTGAATGAAACAGAGTAAAGTGATCAAGACCAAAAGTGTGAAGTACATGCCGTTCTCTCTCTCACTTGCCAACTTTCTCAACGGAGTCATTTGGGTTATTTATGCCCTTATTAAATTCGATCTTTTCATTTTGGTAAAAACTTCAATTAATTTTATATATTATTACTATTACTTTCTATATATTTACCTGTTTCACTAATCATCTTTATTCCATTCTTATATCATAGATTGGAAATGGACTAGGAACAGTATCAGGAATAGTACAACTTATAATCTATGCTTGTTATTACAAGACAACACCAAAAGATGATGAAGAAGAGGAAAATGTTTCTAAGGCCAACTCTCAGTTACAACTCAGTGGCAACCATGGACAAGCTAAACGAGTTTCAGCGTGATTATATCTTGGATCTAATATTCAATTAGCTTTTTATCCTTTTTTTTATTTCTACTTTCAAGCTTCCGGATGATTTAACTAAAGCGTTAAGTAACGATATCACATTTCTTGTGTACGTTATCTGTGAAATTGAAACTGTTTTTTCGTCAAAGAAAGATATTAACGAATATATGCTACAAATACACTTACAATTTTGAGGAGAGTATGCTGAGTTAATATGCACGATCAAAGTTAATTAGTCGTAAACAGGTACTCCCTCTGTCTTATAGTATAGAATGTTGAAGGAAACAAAAATTGTTAATTTTATAAGATCTTTTATAAGTTTTCATATGCAAATTTTAATGTTATTTCATATTTTTGACATTTCAAATTCTACATTATTTTCCATGATTGATTGAATTATGCTTTTAATTATTTATTAAAAAATGTTTTCTATAAAAATTATTTTTTGTATTTTTGCTTTTAACTATAACATTTTATATTTTGCAACTGAAGAAGTATCATTGTTAAATCAGTATCATTAATTCCGCGGGAAGACATTTTATATTACAGACTATTTAAAAGAATCCAGAAATTGTGTGCAACTATTAAAATATAATAACACTGGTTTACAATTTTCTTTAAAAAAAATCAGACTGAATAAATACATGCTATATATATATATATATATATGCACAACTTAGTTAACTACAAAAAGTTAAACATGTGTCAAAATCAGAGAAAGTTCGAGTTACTGTAGAAAGAAAAACAATCAAAGGAGAAATTTCCATGCATCTCTTTGGTGAATGCAGAAATTGTAGGCACCTTATTAATCTTATTGCAAATAATTTTAAAATTCCATTATTTATTTTTTCTCTAAAGAAAAACCATTATATTATTGTCTCTGTTTTTTCTGGTCATCATGTACCATTCAGTAGCCATTTGGTCGGACAAATGGTAATTAATTTTAATCGATTTGGAAAGTTATTTTTGTGATCTGGAAACTTTATAAAGATTGATACATATTATTGTATTACACAGTTCAGTGAAGAGATCAGACCTTTCGGTTTGCGTTTTCGTAATTTTACAAACCTTTTCAAATATTTTAGAATATTTCGTCAGGCGATTCATTGTTTTTTTTTTATAGAGGAAATCTAACGTTTTCAAGAGAAATCAATACGTGTATCGTATTATACAAAATAGTTTAATAATTCATCTTTAGCAAACAAAAAACAATAACGTAAGCCAAACTCTACATGATCGATTACCATCACATCATCAGTATTTATATTTATATTAATGATTATATAACTGACATAATGACACTTTTTGTAGTCAATCCTAACCTCTAAACATTCATATCTAAAAGATGAAACAAGAAGAAATATATTTCACCAGTTACCCCCAAAACAATTATCCTAGCTATAAATATGCTCTATTTTGGCTTTAGTAATGATGTAGCTTAATCATGCTAATAACCGTTTAGTATTTTTAATGCTAATCATGTTTGAGAAAAGAATTGATCCCTTTAATTAGATAGATAGTTTTATATTGTGTAGTAAATAAAAATATAAATTTTGCATAATACCTTTCATATGTATTAAAATTCTAGAACAAATAGAGATACATTTCCAGACCAAAAGCTAGCAATTAACAATAATTAAGAGCCATGCTTTATTAAGTATAACAACAATGTATACTTCTCATACGACACAGTCACACATACTATAAAATTTAGAGGCTATTAGAAATCAGAACAAATGTTTTTTTTTTAATAGAAATCAGAACTAATGCTTATTTGACGTTACGCTACTAAATTAAAAATCGAAGTAGTTGTAATCGATTACTCAAATTAACTCCATAGTGTGAGAAATCAAGCGAAGGAGTCCAAGCACCAGCAGTAGTAGTCGGAGCGAGAGATGGCGAGCATTTCATTGGGAGACATCCTCTCGACCTCGCTCTGCCTCCAAGCCACCTGGTTGCTACGGTTCTGCGCATCGGCGGCTAAAGGATAAGCTTCAATCTTGTGTTTCTGATATCTCATTCTCGTGTAGAGCCTCATCGTCGCTACACAATCTTCGTATGGGTCTTGTATCCCAACATGAACATCATACCTGAAAGCACATCAGTAATCATCATTAGTAGGTTTAATTGATCTTAAGTGTTTTAGATTACTTAATACGGTGCGCGTACGTAGACACGAACATATATAGATTAGTTTATGGAACATATGATATTAGGCAGACACAGTCATCCCTTGATGTACTTGGAGAAAAGATTTTTACGCTTATAAGCATCTCATGTACAATAAAAATGTCTAACCACTTAAATTCTCTTTTAATTTTCTTTTGTAATGGTTTCTAGTCATACAAACTATATTATATACATATTATATATGTGTGTATGTCTGTGTGCGTGTAGATGTAGAAATGAATTTATTATAAAAATGTGAATCTTTTCACGTTTTGAATCTCTTCATTATAACTTTAAGCCCATACAAAGCATCAATACTCACAGCACCTAGAAAAAAAAAGTTCAGTGGCTAATATATGATACAAATATGTATCAATATACGTATGCATTCGTTTCCAATGCACATATGTATGCATGCATCTATATTCACTTTCCAAATTAATGTGTTAGATTCAATTACGTATTACAAAAACAAATCTAGAAATATTACCCGAGATAGGCTTGAGTTAAGTACTTGAGAGAATTGCTAAGCTTGCTTGTTTTCATCAAGGGAGGGTATTTCGCAGTATCCCTTCATCCACCAATAAAATGATATTAACATTCCCCGTTATATATTAATTAAACTCACATAAAATCATGGTTATTTCGAAAGAAATCAAGTAACGCTATGGAATCTTGTTTTATGATTATATGTAAATGTCACCTTATCATGGAAGAAGGATATTCAAGTTGAAGTCGGTCAAGATCGTGATCGAGGCCATGTCCCACGAGAATCTTCCCTTTCCCACCTCTTGGACGAATCTTCCACATGGGTTCTCCATTACAAAGAAACTCTTGAATCTTTCTTTGTACCTGTTTCAACGGCATTGCGTCCCGTAGATTCTCTGGACGTATTCCCGTCGTCTCGTACCTATAGTTCGTCACGGGCATCAACGGTTTCACATACGTGTGGAACACAACGTTGTCGCTTTCATCCGTTATGCAAACCCTCGCACATAGATCCAAAGAACCGTCGCTTCCTCCTCCTACCATCTTGCAAGAGAGTGCAACCACTTTTGGAGACCGCGACGAGGTGTAGTCGATCATGGCCTTATCTCTTAGGCCTAAGGCCGCCATACGAGTAGTCAATCCCTAAAATATGAAAAAAAAAATCGTATGATTAATATGTAAGAATATGGTTTTCTTTCGTAAAGTCGATCCTTAGTTTACAAGTTTAATGACACAAATATACATGTGAGAAGAGAAGATTACAGCATTGACGCTCGAGAATTGGCATCGCTCTTGATGAATCCTGCGAGCGTTTGGGCTTTCAAGGATGGTCAAGCAGAATCTGCATCCGCGAAGGCTGAAAATGTTCTTGCATTCTTGCTTTGGCAATGGCCCTATCGATATAAGACAGCTAAAAATGGTTATACCGATGCAGAGCGTGTGCATGAAACGGTATATTACTCATAATAGATAGTATGCCCTCATAGATAGATATACATAGCTTATTATTTACCTATGAGATGTTCCCGGAGGGACTCAAAGGATCGGCAGTGTTTCTTGCAAACGCCACAAGTCGGCTCATGGCCCGAGTGATAAGAGATCTTCATGTGCTCCACCAAATGTTCCATTTTGTTGAATTGCCTATAGCAAGCTGCACACTTGTTCCTGCACGTGTACATTATAAATACATTTTAGCAAATACTTTAATTTTAGGTTTTCATCAATTGGATATAGAATTTGGAAGTGATATAGTATGTGCCACTCCATGAGTCTTTTATGGGGGTATTATATTTCATGAAAAGGCGCGTAATGTAAATATAATAGCCATATGTCATGAAAATAGTTACCTTAGGGTTTCCGATGACTCCATCGATGATCTGTAATCCATGGAACGTATCGGAGAATGCAAACAAAAACTTAAAACCTTAAGAGTTGAGAGAGTTTAATAGCTGTTTTGATGAGATTGTTTTTGTGTTATAGCTGAGTGTGTGAAGAATGGAGAAGGTGTGAGAAGGTATTTATAGATGAAGTTATAGAAGGAGGAGGAGAAAAGCAAAGCTGACCAGTCTCTCACATATGACCTTTTAGAATTTTGATAAGATTAAAACGAAAACAGACCGACACAAATTGAAGTAGATGCCTTAATGCGGTGGGGTCGCTTCTCATTGTAAAATTTATATCATTTAGTTATTTAATTTCGCCATATTAAGGTCCAAAACATTGATTTTGTTTGCCAATGCTCGGGCCAGGTTTACTTCAAATGATTTATAACGTATGTCTTCATTCCAATGCTTCAGTAAAACCTATTATTTGTTCAAATAAGCAAAATAGAACTGCGTCGACAATGATAACTCACAAAGAAGAGATTTCCTGTAGTGATGCGCAAAAATTATGAACTGTATTATTTCTTCTTTGAGTTTTTGTCATGAACTTTCAGAGCTTATCTTTATCTTATCTTATACAGTCAGAAGATAAGGTTTACTTTCCCATAAAAGCATTTTTTTTAACTGCTGCAGTATCATGCTTATGCGTATGCATGTTGGCATGTTGCATTGGTGTGTGTCCATAGCTCGCAAGGTTTCCGTTGCATAATAATAGTAACATTTATATTCTTAGCTATTAAAAAAAAAGAGAGATTAACTAACTTAATATTAATAAGCGAAATTATCCAAAACTCAACTATCAGTCTACGTACTTAACTCTCTCTGGGGGATATTATTAATTCCACAATGGATGGCTTCTTTTTCTTTATTATGTGTGTGCACGCGTGTAGATTCACTTGAAATAACCATGTTTCTTATTGATTATAATTTTCTCTCTACAATGTAAACGCCATCAAGATAATGTCCCGAGTGTTGTTGACTGAGAAGTTATTAAATCAGACATATGTTTTAGATTCTAAAATCTTGAGTTTTGTTATTTCTCTTGAGTGTGGTGGCATTCTTGAGCTTTGAAGTTTTTGGAACATATAGAAGACCATCTTTTGACCGAGCAATGGGCCAAGTCCAAGATTCTAATTTTTAGTGTTTGATCCAAAGATATTCCAAATTCTTATAAAAAGTTTTACTCATGAACAAAATTGTGTTAAAGAACAAAAAAGATAATGGTCCTTTGGTATCAGACCATGTATATACACCTATATCTTTTCTTGCCTCAAGAATCAAATGGAGACTTTGATCTTTTTTGAAAATATTCCCTCAACACGATTTATCTATATTAATTTTTCCGATACTATATATTAATGTTTACTTTATTATTGCTGGTCAAATACATTTAAATTGTAGAGTTTCAATTATCTTTGGATTTTATTATCATTTTCTTTCCTTTGCTTTTACATGTGTTAAAAAATAATGCATTTTTGATAACACAATATTCTATATTTCAAAAAAAAGAAAGAAAAAACACAATATTCTATTGTTCGTGTCAATTATTCTTATCAAAATTTAAAGGCATATGCAGAACAAATAAAAGAAGAATTTTGCGTTTACGTATAATCTAGAAATGATGTTACTACAGTTATTATATTTTATTGTAAATGTAACATAATAATCTAATATCTAGATGCAAACGTAAACGTAAATTAAATAATGGGTCGAAAACGCGTTTTTATCAGTTTTTGTTTACGTGGGTTGATTAACTCATAGTCATATTATTAATCTACATCATCATTTCTTAATTTTGCCCTTTTTATATTAAAAACATAATTAATTTGGTTTGGAACAATCAAGTCCAACCATCCTCTTATTTTTGGGCTAAACAAATATTTTTCGCAAACAATTTCTTAAAGTCCTAACATGCTTGTTTTCATATCAAACTTTCCCGTCAATTACACCACATTATACATTTGTGATGGTACCATTTTCCACATTTCTGTTTACTGATACTGTATTTTGTTATTTAAATTCATGTTCCACGCATATATATATTTGTATATACAGACGGTATGGTTGGTAGGTCCATGCACATGTATTTAGGTAGAAAAAGTTAGTATATTCCCCCCCGTATTTCGGATGCTCTTTTGTCATGTTTCATGACTGCATCTATTCATGCATCTATTCATATTAGACTCGCAAAAGAAAACAAATTATTTAGTCAAACAAAAAAAGAACAAATTACAATATATTAAAAAGCTCTGTAAAAAATCACAGACTATTTAGCTCTTTCTAGAAATATATACACTGGTTTGTTCTAAGCATTTGTTTTCTCTATTCGTATATGCATGCTATAGCTAGTGATTTTGCGACGGTTGATCGTTTCCGTTTAAATTTGGCGTATGACAAAGACGCGAGCAGAAAAAATGGAACTCATATCATTCCAACATTCTTGTTCTGTAATGCGAAATTTAAAATTATTTTAGCAATAAAAAAATTAGGGTCAAAACTTCTTAGAAAAACATTAACTAAATTTTAAAAAAGTTGATCGGTATTTAATAAGTACATGATTATCCGTTGATAATCTTATCCATCCCCAAACATACTATTTTAGATTAGAATTCGAATTTGACATAACCAAAACAACATCATTCATTCCGGATGAGTTAAAACACTTCTAACTAAGTATGTTTAGAAGATTATTTCCTATAACAATCAACGTATAAATGTATTCGCATTATTCTGTGAAATTCTACATTATACGCTAACAAATAACTAAATACAGAGATGTACATGCAAAGAAACCCATTAACCAAACAAAGAGATACATGAATGCAAAAATGGATCGGTCATGGGAAGAACATGAAGCCATCATGGGACACTCAAACTTTTTCCATACCCATTCATAAAATTAAAGCAAATATAATGTTTTTTTGTCATCTGAAATTATATCGATGAAAATGCTTAGATGAACATAAAGTAAATATAATGCTTCAATCTTCTTTGCTTGTAAAAAGGGGAAAAGGAAAAGTAATTTTGATAAAAAACAAAGGGAAAAGAAAAAGATGTAAAATTTCAGAGAACCTTTAAAAAGATTGAAAGATGCTTATTTGACCAGGAAAATCAATAAGCTTTTTGGTTTTTAGTTTTACCATGGACTTTATTACCTATATGCGTGGGGCTATTTAATTTTGTGATTTTTACCTGAATTATATTGTCTCTTTTCAATTAGTTTTTGGGAAAGTTTGTTCATGTATGTATTGCAATATTTTTTCTTCTTAAAACAGAAGGTTTGCTACCTTTTTAAAAAATATTAGGTACAATATGTTAGTTATATAACTATATTAATAAATAAATGTATTGTTAAATGAAAAGTAAGAAAATAGATTTAAAAGATTATATCCTGACATATGTTTTAATATATAGATTGTAAATGAACTATAAAAAAAAATTAAATGATTTTCAATATTATACTTATATGGTAGGTTTTCATCATTATGAGTTAATGTTTCATAAAAGTTTAAAGTATGTTGGGTAACAACAAGATCATCAACGAGTCAAATCTATTACTGGTACAAGTATATAATGTATCATTCACATCGCCAATAATCTTATTTTTATGAACGAACAAAACTAAGCAACTTGTTGCAGATTGTTCAAATTCATTCTTGTCCGCTATTGACTTCAGTTGGCTGATTCATTCACTAAATCCTTATACCCTGCTTTGTTTCAACAACTTATAGGCAAAATGGATCATCTCAATATATTTGTCCTATTTTGAGAGAGACTATTAACGTTTCTATTGTATATAGTGAACTGGTATAAATATAAATCGAGTTAAATCAATTCTTAGACCTTTCATTTCTTTCATTTATGTATATAAACCCACATTGTAAACATTAATTAAGTAATGAAATGAATTTGTTTTCTTAATAGCTATTAAGGGTTTTCGTTTCAACTCTTACATTTTTGTAGGTTTGGCCGTCTATTAAACTTTATAAAAAAAAACGATCGAACCGATGAACTTCAGCATCCCTAATATAATGCAAGTTCTTATTAATAGAGAGGTTTATTGTGAAATTCCAATTAAGTCACTAATCCTCCTAGTTCAGCTGAAACAACTTAGCATTAAGAGATAGTTCCGACCCAAATTATAGTAGTAGGTTGACCCAAAATAACAAAAAAAAAAAAAGTACTTATCTTAACAAAAATGGCGGTTGAAGAAAAATGAAAGTGTCGGTATCTAAACGCGTAGGAGTTGATTAAACATAATAATTAGTGAACAATAGATAAGATCTGATAGGGGATTCGAGCGGCGAAAGAGTTAAAGAAAAAAGCACCGCCCAACAGTCGACAATGATAAGAATTTATTTTTCGGTCTATATGTTTAGTAGTATTAATTGGTTATGTGACTTTGATTTATGAAACATTTGAAAAATAAAGTACACATGGTTATAGAGTGTCCTCATGCAATACAAAAATACAAATAAGATGGAAATATAAAGTGGTTAGGCCTGACAATCATGAACAAACGTGTGGGTTGTCTCTGTCTCTTGTAAGAATCCAAGTCATGCATCTGACCGACCAACCAAATAACCTAATGTGATTGCAAAGTCATTTGGCTGTTCTGTTGGTTAGTAAATAGATAAGATGAATGAAATTTGCAAAATCATTTTGCTATTCTTTTGGTTAGTTAGTCAAATCCCCTCAAAAAATTATTCCGATGTGTGTAAAAATCGCCTTAGAAAAGTGATAGCAAAAGTAACCTAATTGGACAATACACGAGTCCATGATTTAGTAGACCAAGTTATGTGAATAAACATTGGATGTTGCAAAGCATCAATATAAATTATAATGTATGAACCAGAGTTTTGAACTTTTGATTGGTAACAGTTAGTAGTTATAGTGAGTATAATTAAAAGAAAAATATCGTGTCATTATATGGGATCAAGTTTTAGTAGAATGTTTGTGTATGAATTGTTGAAAACATAAAATAAAATAAGTTCAACTACAGAAAAAAAAACGATTGTAAAAAAGCATCGTTGCATTAATACGCGTCCACAGCGACGCGCAATTTGGTGTTGAAATACTTTCTTTTACATTGACAAAATAAAAATAATTTTCCCAAAAGAAAAAACATTGACAAAATAAAATATTGTCTTCTATTATATTTTTTCGATTGCAATATTTTCTCCTATAAAAACCTTCAAAATCAAACGTACATTTTGTTATCGGTATTTGAAATTGTTATCACATAAACATAACATTTTCGTGTAGGTCCCACACTGATGGCTGTAAGGGCCCATGTAGCCGTAATGGGCTTGAAGGTGGACCACTTCTCTGATTCATAAAACCAGGCTGTATAAACTGGTATGCAGCTGTAGTCCACGTGTCACATCATTTCGTCATTAAGATAAATTCTTACTACTAAATTTATTACTAACACACAAGTGACTGAATCTGGTGGTCCAATTTTCCTTTTCCCTAAAGCCTATATGGTAAATAAACAGTGCATCCATTATAGCAAAAGGCTCATTCTTAACTTACATAAAAAAAGATAATGCGATGATTAATAGATAATGAATGATTAAGTATTACACGTGGCGGGATCTCTACGAAGCGATTATACAGCTGGGAATATGAAGGGTTTGACGTAGACTTGTCATCTTTTCCCAGCATTTTAAATTTTTAATTAGCTGGCTGTTAACTAGCAAAACCCAAAACAATACTCCTTTTATTTCAAAAAGAGTAATTTTGACACTTTTCACACATATTAAAAAATTTAATAAAAAGTCTTTTATGTCAGTTATAAATATATTAAACAGTTTTCTTTTTCTAATTAATATACTAAAATAACAAGGTTAGAATTAAATTTTTAATTAAAAATTTGCATTGGAAATACAAAATGACACTTTTTATAAAACAAAAATAAAATTCTAAAACGATACTCTTTATGGAATATTTTCCTTATTTTTTTTACTCGTATAGCTTTTTATAGCTCATGAAATCTCCATAAAATTACATTTCAAAGTTTAAAGTTAACAATTTGACCCTAAAAAACAAAAATCTTACATTTCAAGGAAACGATATTTTCTTTAAAATTTTGTAAGCAACCTTGAAAGAGAGAGAGTGCGAGTAGGGGAGAAGTCATCTTCTCTTTTATTGCTTCAAGAGTCAATCTTCTTCAACCTAATGATCTTCTATTCTTTTTAGGGTTATTTATTTTGTTCACAACTCTTTTTAAAATAATAGTATTATTAAATCACATGAATAAACAAGTCAATAATCATCATCCCTATCTTTAATCTATTTCAATAATTGAATTAAAAGGTCGATTAGAATTTAATTAACTATGCCTAGTAGACCCTAGAAAAACCTAAGCTTTATTTTTGATCCTAACATAAAAGACAGTGAAGGGGTTGTGCATAAATGTTGTTGCTTCATCTCTCTCATTTATCTTTACTTTGTAGTGTGTGTGTCTATATATTTTGTATATATGTATATACTATTAGCTATGAGACAGTGAGAGGGAAGATATAAAACACCTAAAAGTGAAAAGTACAAGACACCAAATTCTCCATTTCGATTTTTATCTCTAAACCCAACTAAGAAGCCACGAAGCACACACAAGTCGGCTTCTTTTGGATTTCTTCAAGAGTTTACAGACACAGAAAAAGAAAGGTACCATCTTTATCTCCAAATTTCTTCAAAGTTTTCCTTTTTCTTTTGGCTTTCGTCCAATTCGATTACGGGGTTTGTGCTCTGTTTTCATCAGCTTATTTTTTTGTTCTCCGTTAGTAACTGAATCTATTGTCAGCTTAAATTATCTATGGTGGGTCTCAATTTTCGTCTTTAGTCATAACAAAATTTTTGTCTGGTCTTGGTTTTCTTGTTTTAACCGATTTGAATCTAAATCTCCGAGAAACGTGTTCTGTTTTGTTGTGTTCCTCTAATTTTCCCTCCGTTGATTCAGATTTATAGCTGATTTGTGTGATTCTGCTGACAAACGGAGCAGAAGCTTTGATTTGGGGCATGGACATAAGAGAGAGCAACGAGAGGGGAAAAGACGATTCTGCCCTTCAACCCTCGCCTAGGAGTCCTTTAAGCTCCATAGATCTCGCCATCGATGGTGCCATGAACGCTTCCATCGAGCAGCTTTATCACAATGTCTGCGAAATGGAGAGCTCCGATGACCAATCTCCGTCGCGTGCGAGTTTCATCTCGTACGGAGCCGAGTCAAGAATCGATTTGGAGCTGAGGCATTTAGTGGGAGGAGATGTGGGAGAAGTTGGAGAGAGAAAGAAAGAGATTACCTTGGAGAAGAAGGAAGAGAGTAATGACGGCAGTAAAAACGGAGGAGGTACCTTGAGTCAGAAGAAACCAGGCGAATCTCATTCAAACGGTAAGAAGCTTGCGAAGACGAGTCCTAATTCGAAAATCCCAGGCTCGAGGATCTCCTCGAGGAAATCCCCTAGTCCCGAGAAGAAGGAAGATGAGAATCCTGAGCTAGGACCGTTGCTGTTGAAGCAAGCTAGAGAGATGGTTTCTTCCGGTGAGAATCTGAACAGAGCTCTTGATTTAGCGATGAGAGCTGTGAAAGCGTTTGAGAAATGCTCAGAAGGAGAGAAACAACAAAGTTTGAATCTGGTGATGTCTCTGCATATCTTGGCAGCGATCTACGCCGGTTTAGGGAGATATACCGAAGCGGTTCCTGTTCTTGAACGTTCTATCGAGATACCGATGATTGAAGATGGAGAAGATCACTCCTTGGCTAAGTTCGCAGGGTGTATGCAGCTCGGTGACATGTACGGTTTAATGGGTCAGGTCGAGAACTCGATCTTGCTCTACACAGCCGGTTTAGAGATCCAAAGACAGGTTCTTGGAGAAACGGATGCAAGAGTAGGAGAAACTTGTAGGTACTTAGCAGAAGCTCATGTTCAAGCGATGCAGTTCGAGGAAGCCTCGAGGCTTTGCCAAATGGCGTTAGACATTCACAAAGAGAACGGTTCTTCTGCTACAGCTTCCATCGAAGAAGCCGCGGATAGAAGACTGATGGGGATTATCTGCGATGCGAAAGGAGATTACGAGTCCGCGCTTGAGCATTACGTCTTAGCGAGCATGGCTATGTCCTCTCAGAATCACAGAGAAGACGTTGCGTCTATAGATTGCAGTATCGGCGACGCTTACATGTCTCTAGCTCGGTTCGACGAGTCGATCTTCGCGTACCAGAAGGCCTTGGCTGTGTTTAAGCAGGCAAAAGGTGAGAACCATTCCTCTGTTGCTTCGGTTTACGTCAGGCTCGCTGATTTGTACAACAAGATTGGGAAAATCCGCGATTCGAAATCGTACTGCGAAAACGCTCTTCGGATTTACCTCAAACCTTCCCCTGGAACTCCAGTGGAAGAGGTTGCGACTGGTTTTATAGAGATCTCTGCGATATATCAGTCGATGAACGAGCTTGATCAGTCTCTCAAGTTGCTTAGAAGAGCGTTGAAGATTTACGCGAACGCTCCTGGTCAACAGAACACGATCGCTGGTATTGAAGCTCAGATGGGTGTGATCTCTTACATGATGGGGAACTATCCTGAATCTTACAACATCTTCAAGAGCGCGATATCGAAGTTCCGCAACAGCGGTGAGAAGAAAACCGCTCTTTTCGGGATTGCTTTGAATCAGATGGGACTCGCTTGCGTTCAACGTTACGCCATTAATGAAGCTGCTGATTTGTTTGAAGAAGCGAAAACCATTCTCGAGAAAGAGTATGGACCGTACCATCCGGATACATTGGCGGTTTACAGTAACCTTGCCGGGACATACGACGCAATGGGAAGGTAAAAATAGCAGCAGCCTTGACTCGTCTTCACTCTTTAGGTTATGGTTTTTTCAGGGTTTCTTGCGGTGAAAGCAATATGTTTGTTCTGTTTTACAGGTTAGATGATGCTATAGAGATACTTGAGTATGTTGTTGGGACAAGAGAGGAGAAGCTTGGGACGGCGAATCCGGAAGTGGAGGACGAGAAGCAGAGGCTAGCTGCGTTGTTGAAAGAGGCTGGAAGAGGAAGGAGCAAGAGAAACAGAGCACTTCTTACTCTTTTGGACAAAAACCCTGAGATGGCACCGACTTGTGGACATAGACCGGTTTATTGATGAACCGGGTAATAGTCCAGTCTAAAATGTATATATATATACGAAATACGAGTTCGAATACAGTCGAGAGGCAAGAAAGAAGAAAAAAGAAGAGGTTTTGTGTTTTCTGATTTTATTAGAATCTCTGATTCAGAATACTAAAAACATTCATGTTGCATTTGTTTTTGTATCTATTGGCATTTACATTTTTGTTATTAATAAAGAGAAAGTATGCAATCTTCTAGATCAAAGTTTCTCGCACGTAGAGGACTGATCTTATGTCATTAAGTGTTTGGTTACTTAAACATCTTTTGTAATCTGAAAATCTTTATTAATGGACCACCTTATCTTTTTTGTCAACAAGTGTTTTGATCAACTAGCAACCTTACAGAGAAAGATCATAGAAAGTCTGTGTCATGTTCATGAATCTCATATAAAACAGCAACCGAATACACATATCTACCCACATGTAACATGAGAACACAAGAACGACCCACCGTATCGAGAAAGTTGTCACTAAGCAAAGCAACAAAAAAAAGCTGTCACAAAGTCAATCTTCTTTCATTTTCCTAAATCACCGTTTCGAGAAGTTGTCTGATTAGTATGTTCTTGGAATTGACTCCTTCGAGTAATGATTGTTGTGACTGTTTTTTGTTTTAAGTAATCATGCTGAATTAAATGTTTTGGTTTGAAGAAACCTGATTACACTTGATAAAATAATTTGGCTTGATCAGTCTCATTAGAATCTCTTGGAGAAATAAGAACTGCTGCTCCTTTTTGTTTAATATTATGTTGTTCATCAAGCGACAATTACCGAAACTAGTAAATTAAAATTAAAATTTACTACCATACAAGTCACTAATAAATTGGTTTGGGCCGTTACATAATAAGTTCTGAAATCAATTTTTTGTTAATTATATGAAAGGACAGAACTATTGTATGCTAGTGACGTTGATTAATTCATATTTTGACAACTTAATTTTTCGTCAGCTTGCAAGCTTTCTGGATTGGGAGTGGCGGATTTGATATCGACCCATCGAGGATCCGGTTTGCGACTAGCATATTCGCGGTTTCGGAGTAATGTATGCCATCCCAACTTATGAAATTTGTGGGGTTTTTGCATGAAGAACTATAAAGTTCTGTGCCATTTGGAAATATTGTCTTTCCGCATCCCATTCCACGTCCGACCGCTCCAACGCAACAATAATCAAAAGGATCCACAAAACCTGCAATTAGATTTGATTAAACCGGAAATTAGTACATGGATTAACTGTGTGGAACTAAAGAAAACCGGAACATTTATGAAATTTTATTTTCGGTTTAGTACTTACCGAGATTCTTTGCTCTGGTGATCAAATTGTATTTAGCTGAGTAGACATCAACATAAGTAAAGAGAGAAGAAGGTAACTCTTTGTTTAGTTGAGAGATTTTGTTCTTGAGTTGCTTGTTGAACTCCATTGCCACATTGTTCAGAGGCAACAAACAACCGTACCGGTCTCGTGGTGTAGCCGGAAAAGATTTCAGAATGTACGGCAAACAGCCTGTCGGTCCGGTGTTATGAATTAAGAAGAATCTTGCTCCTTCTTTGTACAGCAACTAAATATATATTCCAAGTAATTAGGTCTAGTGTTAAGTTTTATGTGATCCTAAATAAAAAGTATACTGATAATTCAGATATACTTACTTTAATAGCAATAGTGAAGTTTTCGATGATTCCGGGTATAGTTGCTTTGAGTTGTTCCTCTGTCATGTTCTGGAACCCAATCGCGAGATCGTTCTGACCGATGTCGAATGTATAAAGAGCATTTGAGAAATCTTTAGGCCGCGCGAGGACTTCTTTGCAGAATTGAGTTTTTCCTGAGGCCAAAAAACACAAAAGTGTTCACAAAATAAAATAAGACCGGTATAAGTTTTTAGTTCCGGTTTGGTAATTTGGAATGACATATAACTGGTTGAACTTACCGTTGGTTTGGTTGTAGAGAGACAAGGTACGAGTCTTGAAGTGAATGAATTGGTTCACTTGAGTCCCAAGATGGAACTGGCTAAAACAAGCAACGGTCGGGCGGATGCAAGAGCCGCCAGTCGCAAAATTAGCGCCATGACGATAATTAGCTCCAACCGAATCCAAGTACGGTGTTAGATACGGCAACGTCAGATTCTCAGCTGCATTTACAATTTACAAATACTGTTTATATATTGTACTAAACTAAATGTTTTGGATGTTTAGTTCCCCGGCCGGATCCAAACACTAAGTATATATCTTTCCCTTTTTCCAAACATAATTTCTTGAATTACGAAAAACAAATAACAAAGAATGGAAGATTGAGAATCAAAGATACTTACTAATGAAATCTAGGATGAGACGGCCATCGGAATGTCTACCGGCAGATCTTCCAAAGAAGGCAACTCCGTTTGGTGGAGGAACTTCTCCGATAGCCGCAGAGATTGCTCCGGTGTCTGAGTTTGAATCTCCAAAGTTATAAACAGCCGGAAAATTGCAAGTCTTGTGAGACTTTGTACGCGATGCGGTTGATAAATTCTCAGTAAACACGAAAAAAAGAAAGATGGTGAAAAACGTAAATTTGGAAGTCTCCATGGAGTTAGTAGATGCAAAGAGCTTTGAATACGAAGCTTTTCTCCTCTATACGGATCATGAAGTCGTCGCTTCATGTTCGTTGGCATGTTCGTCGTATACTTTTAACGATTAAAATAAGACCATTAATATATTTGGATATTTTTGGACGACCAAGTTGATGATGGATTCATGTGGAATTTAAATCGATTGATTAGAACATTTTAAAACTTGATGAAGTCAAATTTTAATCACCTGTTTGATCACGTGGGCAAGCTAAATAGTCAAATGTCAACTTCTTCTTATATAAGAAATACTATACAGTATATACAGTATATACTATAAGCTGAAAATCTATAAAATAATAAGGGAAAATTCCATAAAAATACACCAACTAAATTTCTCTGAACTTTTTAATATCCAACTTATTTTTGTACTCAGTTTATTATTTCAACTATTTTTCTTGCCCAACTTAAAACATCAATTGTGAATCGTATACTTGATTTCTGTCATATACGAAACGGTTGTGAACAGAAATATGAACGGCGTTTGATTTCTGTCATCGATTTAATTACGATTGGACTGTAGTTAAACAATCCAAACCCGATAAACATAACCTGTAATACCCGATAAACATAACCCGTAAACCCCGCCCCATCTAATTACTCGACTTGTTTTTTTATCCCGACAAAATTCCCAAATCTAGAATCAAAACTTAAAATCCCAATTTCACCGATGAACCCTAAATCAAAAAAATCAACTGAATTACAGCAAAATCAAGCAATATGAGGTATGATTCTAGGCAATATTTTGGTTTCATGGTCTTATTTTATGGATTTCTCGGTTTCATATCTGTAATTAACTTTTTTTGTTTCACAGTTACGAAGATGAGAAGCTGAAAATGCATATTCACTACGGAGGTGTAATGTCAAAGGAAAGGGAGAAGCTATGTTATATAGGTGGATCGACTGCTCCAGATATGTTGGTGGATCCCGATTTTCTCACCTTCTCGATTTTTGAAGATTTCACCAAAAGTAAAGAAGTTGTGAGTGATGTCGAGAAAGTCTGGTATAGATTACCTGATGAAGATATGTCATTGGCAAGATCGATATGGCAGGATAAGGATAGTGAGATAATGAAGATGGCTTCAGAAGCAAACGAATGTGGAGAAGTCTACATCTACATCGAGCATAGTGTTGCTCCCTCAAATGTTGTTGAAAATGTTTCGAGTGTTGTGACTGCTATTGGTGAAAATGAAGCTACTGAAGACTGTTTGAATGATGTCGAGAAGGCTGATGATGAAAACGGTGGAGACGAAGAAAACAAAGAGGAAGAAGAAAGTGATGATGAAAACCGAGTGGAAAGTAGCGAGGACGAGAGAGAAGAAGAACGTCATGAAGAGCGAGAGGAAGAAGGTGGTCAAGAAGTAACTAGACCGGAAGAAGAAGTGCAATCTAAGGATGAGAACCAGATATTAGGTGAAGCTGGAGCTGATGACCCACGGTTTGCAAACTTGTTTGCACTAGCTGAACTAGAGACTCCTACAGTTCGTTCAAAGGGTACTCAACCTAATGTGGATGTTGAAGCTGGTTACGACAGTGAAGTCGAGGGTGAAAGAGTACTTCCTCCTGGTGAATATCCAGATTCTCCAGAAGACACTGATGAAGAGTAGTGGAATTGGGACAAGAAAGATGGCCGTGGAAGACCTCGTAAGCAAGGAAAGAGTAAAGGTGAGTATGATAAACCTCCGTACTTATGGCTGATGCAGACGTTTAACAGTGGATATGAGTTTAAGGATCAACTTCTGAGATATGTTTTGAAGACACAGTTTGATGTGAAGCTGAATAAGTGGCAACCAGACAAGCTTGCAGCAGTATGCACACACAAAGAGTGTAAATGGAGGATCTATTGCTCCGTGGAGAAACCTATACGGAAGTGGATGGTGAAAGTGTATGAGTGGCAACACAATCATTTGCCTACAGGAAGAGCGAGGATGTTGAAACAGGGAACAATTGCTAGACTATTCAAAGAGGAGGCAAGAAGACGACCTGAAATAAGGAGCTCTGATATCAAAGATGAGTTAATGCACAGGTACAACATCTCAGTTTCGATATATAAATGCAGAAAAGCAAGGAGAATTGCCTTAGATATGGTGTTAGATACTCAGAAGGAGCAATTTGCTAAGTTAAGGGACTATGAGGCTGAGTTGGTGAGAAAGAACAAAGATGTTACAACAGAAATAGTAACCGTTGAGAAGGATGGAATACAAGTGTTTGAAAGCTTCTATGTTTGTTTTGAACCTCTAAGGAGAACTTGGAAGAACTATTGTAGACCTCTGATAGGCGTTGATGGTGCATTCTTAAAATGGGAGTTAAAGGGCGAGATATTAGCAGCAGTTGGTAGAGATGCAGAGAACAGAATTTATCCTATAGCTTGGGCTGTTGTTAGAGGTGAGAACAAGGAATCTTACATGGTTCTTCGAGAAGTTGGCAACTGACTTGGGCTTGGGTGTAGGAGATGGCGTCACCTTCATATCTGATAAACAAAAGGTATGCTTCTTGTCTTTAATTTATTAAAGTTGCTTTAAGTAGTTATGCACTGTTTTAAGTAGTACTAACTGACTATTAAATTTCGCAGGATTTAAAATTAGCTCTAGCTAGTGTTCTACCAAACGCTGAGCATAGAAATTGTGCAAACCATGTCTATGGTAACTGGAAAAATAAATACAGGGATACTGACTATAAACCTTTTTTCTGGAATGTGGCCTACAGCAAAACGAAAGGAGAGTATGATTTGCACATGGAGGAGTTACGTGTATATGACCGAGAGGCTCATGATGATTTGTTGAAAGCTGATCCAACGAGTTGGAGTCTAGCTTTTTTCTCGACAAATGCAAGATCTGCTAACGTTTGTAACAGCTTATCAAAGAGCTTCAATAGGACAATTAAAGGAGCTAGAGAGTTGCATTTGATTAATATGATTGAAGCAATTAGGAGACAGGCTATGATGCGTATTTCTTGTAGATTTAAGAGAGCAAGCAGGTGCATACTGCCTTTCCCGAAGAAGATTGCAGACATTTTGGAAGCAAACAGAGCAGAGAGCAAGGATTGTTCTGTAATGACAAGTTCAGAAAACTTGTTTGAAGTTTTGTTGTACGGTTGTAGCTATGAGGTCAGTCTTCGTCTGCGTACTTGTGTTTGTAGGGAGTGAGATCTAACTGGCATACCTTGTCCACATGCAATCATTGTTATCAATGAGAACTACCAGCAGCCAGAAAAGTAAGAGTTTATCATTATGTTAAAATTTGTTTTCTCTTGTTTTGTGTTGTTTATCATTATGATCATTTAATTACAGTCATGTGGAGTACTATTACAAGACTGAAGTTTGGCAAGCGACGTATATGAACAACATAAAACCAGTTAATGGAGAGAAATTCTGGGAAAAGACTGGTAAAGAGCCCATTGGAGTGCCAGGTTTCAGGAAAATGCCAGGAAGACCTAAGAAAAAAAGGATAAAAGCAGCACATGAATCTCCTTCCAGGCCAAATAGAGTAACTCGAGGAGGCAGGACAGTAACTTGTGGTAACTGTAAGCAGAAAGGACATAACCGTGGTACTTGCAAAAATGAAACCTTCGTGGTCCAGGTTTCATCATGCAAACGTGGAAGACCTCGTAAGGTAATTCTAAGTTTAGCTATTCCTCTGTAACATGGTGCTTTCTTATGAAATGTTTCTCACATGTTAAAGAGTTTAACATATCAGGATGCTGGAGGCAGCAACCCATATCCACCAAGAAAACATAGGGCTACTAAATCACAGCCTACAATTCCACCATCTACGCCTACTCAATCCCAACCTTCTACTGCACCTCAACCCTCAATAAGGCCACAAAATGAAGCTTCATCATCAACTGTACCTGCTTCTACTGCACCTCAAGTCTCAACAGGGCCACAAACTGAAGCGGGATCATCTACTGCAGCTGCTGCAACAGGACGTCGTCGTGGACGTTCTCCTGGAAGAGGACAAGCTCGTAAGGTGACAGTTCCGAGAGGAATCGGTGTGTACATGTGCCCATTTTCTAATCGGGTGTTTGAATGCTTTGGTTCCACATCAAGAGAAGTAGGAGGTGACTCTTACAAAGGTCCAAATTCACGCAAGTAATATTTTGCAAGTACTATGTTTCTTTTGGTTTGTAAACTCCAAATGTTCATTTGGTTTTATTTTGTATCGGCTATCAAAACTCTATCTTAATCTTGATTTGCCTTTTCTTTTTGTAAACTAAGATGATGATGAATTTTTAATCTTGATTTGGCTTTTCATTTTTAATGCATCTTCTTTTGTAACATCTTTGACTTTGTGAAATTTGTCAATTCATTAATTCGGAACACAATAAAAGTCAAAATGTTAATAACAAACTCATTTATGGATTCATAACAAGAAAATTAAACATTACATAGCTAGCATACCAAAATGCAATACGGACATTACAACCATTATCAAAGCTACAACAAACAACAAAACAACTTACTTCAAAGCATTGACAATTACGGCAGTAACACCTACAAATCCTATCCATGAAATCAACACAAATTGTCGGAGAAGCTTCTCCTTTTCAATACACGACACAATTTCTTGCTTCAGCTGCTTGTTCTCATTTTCAATCTGAACCAACAACTCTGATTTCTTCTTTCCTTCTTCATCTTCATTTTCAACCTTCATATGGCCCACTAAAGCTCTGAGCTTCTTCAGCTCCTCAAATTGCTCCCGAATTAGATCTTGTGCTTCCATCAAAGCGGTTTTTTGCCAACCGTGAGGCTTCTCAACATCGAACCACCAGAAAAAATTGCAAGACTTCCAGTTTGCATCTCCACAGCCATAGAACCTTCTTCCTGGATTATCGTCTGTCCACGCCTGCTTCACGACTGATGGCTTTCCACAGTGACATCTCACTTCACCCATCATCAAGCTCATTCTTCCACTCATTGCATTTGAGTTCGACCCACTTCCAGAACCTTTGCTTCGATTCATCTTTTCCAATGTTGTTTCTCTCTCGCGTCTCTCTGTTGACAAATCTAAACCAAAATCGATTTTTTTTTTTGATTTAGGGTTATAGAATTGGGGAAAGAAGAAATGCTATATATTAAGGAAATCGAGTATAGCTTTTTAACCATGGTTAGATATTTAACAGAAATTTAGTCAGCGTTTAACTCCGTCTACAATATCGTTAAATTCTGTTAACGAGGCAACACACGGTCCACAGTTGGTGATTTAAGCTGAGCAAGAAAACTAATTGAGGTAATAAACTGGATATAAAAATAAGTTGGGTATTAAAAAGCTCAGAGAAATTTAGTTGGTGTATTTTTATGGAATTTTCCCAAATAATGATTAAGAGTAACATTATTTATCAACTTTATAAATCCAACTAAACCGTGAGAACTTTTTACCATGTTAAACTAATGATTAAATCAAAATAATTAAAAGTTGCAAATGATTTATTTTCAGTTCAAAAAATTAAAATGATGAATAATCTAAAAATAATGTCAACTTTTTACTATGTTACATTGAAAAGGAAATTTGGATTAAAACTCACTCGTCATCTAATTTACTTGCTTCTCAAGTATTGTATCTTATGAAATTTATATAAAACTTCTTATATATATATACAAGACGTTTATCACCATGAAACCTTAGTTACGAGCAAAACCCTAGTCGACATCTCGTCTCCGTCTCCACAGTGCGGTTGAAGGATTATTTTTCTGAAGTGGCCACACAGCGAGAGAGCGACACGGTCGCGTACCAAGTGCCACGTCAGCGTAAGATTAATCATTTTATCTCCTGTAAGTTTTTGTGTGTGTCAACGTTTAAGATTAATTAAGAGATCAAGCTTAATTAATTTGATTACCCAATTGGTTCTCTCTCTTTTCCTCGGTTGCGTTTGGTAATCTTATAATTAGAAGTTGAAAGATTCAAACGGGAAGGAACAGGAAGCGAGACGAGCGCCGCTCTTCATCTCCCACACTCACTAACTCTCTCTCCTTCAGCAAATTGATTCTTCGAAGCCGAGGAAGCAAGAAGAGAAGAGCTCTCGTTTTCGCTGAAAAACCAAAACTATCCGATTTTCCTCTTCTCCGTCTCGAAATGGGGAATTTTCTGGCCAAGGAACCGCCGCCTCCGGTGGTGCTTGTCCCTCCGCTCTTTGATTTCCCTCCTCTCTCCGCCCGTAGCAGGTATTCTCTTCTTCTCCGGTTCAACAAATTTCGTCTGTTTCTGTATCACTCGGGATCCTTCAAATTTCAATTTCGTCAACTTCCGATCAGTTTTGTGTGTTACCTGATCGATTAGGCGCTGGATCTTATGTATCTCTATCAATTTATGGGTTCTGATTACAGAAATTGTGTGTTGTGCTATTGATTTCCGTTTAGGCATCATATATATCTGATTTGATATAGATATGAATGAATTGGGAATGTGTGTTTTTGATTCAAATGTTGAGGTGATGCAGGATGTTGGAATCGTCATATAACTTGCTGTTTGGGAAGCTTGCATTGAAATGTCTCTTTGAGGATTACATTGAAGAAGCACGTCACTTTTCTGCAAAGTTCCTGTTGAAGCCTATTGATGACCCTCATGTGGACTTGGTTGCATCTGTATCCATTAAACTACTATTAGATTCGTTTTTTTAGCCGTACATGAATGAATACATGATGATGCAATACTTGGGGATGGTGCAAAATTAGATTTTTCCTTAATTAAGTAAAAAAGGTTTCAGGCCCTTTAGATCGAAATGTGGAAGGAGATCTTGTTGGAAATGCACAGTTTCGCTGGCAAAGGTAATATTGCATATGGATGTTAACTGTTGTTGAATTACTAGAAGTTTCTGTCGCTCAACATGTTTTTCCTTAATTGTGCAGTGATGTCGATGATCCTCATACCTTTGTGGACCTCTCTGTGTCGACCTCAAATCCGTAAACTCCGTGTTAATCTTCATGAATTCGTCTTCATTATTGCAGTTTAACGATTTGATATATATTTTTTTTGTTTTTCATTACTCTTAAGGGTTCTACTAATGAGGTCTTCGGCTTACTACCCTAAGTATGGGATCGGAGCATTTGCAGTCTACCCTTTGCTTTCGAAAAATCTGAAAAAGTAAGTTACATTTTGGGGAAGAGGCCTGTCATTTTACTTAGATTGGATGTTTTCCTATAATGCAATGTTTTGGTTATGAATGTTTCTGTAGTGAAAAACTGTCTGAAGAATACGGAATCATGGGGTTGAGATATGGCTCTACGAATTTATCTCTCGGAGCTACTGTATCTCCTTTTACTAGTAAGCAGTTCCTCTGCAATTTCCAGTTGTTTGCGTTTTGTACACAGTGCTGACCTTTTAACTCCACATTCCAGCCAAGGACGAATTGCCAAAGACTGCATGGCTGGTTAGCCAGATGGGAAGGCTTACCGTAGGAGTGCAGTATGAGCCGCTAAGTGAGTCAGTAACATTGTGTTCGTTATGTCTGCAAGATCTTACTTGTTACCCATTTATAATCGTAACGGGTTTTTATGTTAGATGAAAGCAAAGACATGGCAAAGTACAGCGACCTAAGGAACTGGAGCTGTGCTGCTGGGTATGCAGTTGGGTCAAGAAGCCCCTTAAGCCCTTCTTTCAACTTTGGCCTTGAACTAGCAAGGAGCTCTCAGGTCATACTTTTATGCACATATCTTAAGCCTAGACAATTCCTCAGCTTCTCCATATTGCTTGCTATCCAATGGAATTTCAGTATTCCATTTGCAGTTTTTAGTCTTGCTGATTTTGTTATCCTTGTTGATAATGCAGTTTATTGCTTCGTTCTATCAACATGTAGTGGTCCAAAGACGGGTATGACTCTTTCCTTTAGTCCTTCTTTCCTTTGTATCTGTTTACAAAGTCTACTGATATATAAAGTTTAGCACAACTTCTGGCTCAATATGAAACGGACTTGATGGGCTTGGAACAGGTTAAAAATCCTTTTGAAGAAAACGAAGTAGTTGGAATCACAAACTACATTGACTTAGGCTTTGAGCTACAAACGAGGTAGTGAACATCTCTGGCCCAAGACATTGCAAGCTAATGTTAGTCTATATGCATGAAAACATTTGTAGTTATATCTTGTCTCTTATTTCGAAGGGTTGATGATTCCAAGACGCCAGACAGTATCTCAGATTCTTCGTTGCAGATGGCTGCGTCTTGGCAGGCGAATAAGAACTTCTTGCTGAAGGTATATAAAGTAACTTTTTATGATCCAGAAAGCTTGATATTAATAAAAGTCAGTAGTATCTCAGTATGCATTTAATGATATTTTTGCAGGGTAAAGTCGGAGCTCTTAGCTCAACATTCACAGTAGCATTCAAGTCATGGTGGAAACCGTCTTTCACATTCAATATCTCAGGTATGTGTTCCATAAACAATCTTCCATCTAATTGAGATTATTGATGAACAGTTCGAGAAATCTATCTCTAGATGTGGTGAATATTTTAACCAAAATCCAGCAAAAAAAAGTCAAGATGAACGTTAGCTCTTTAGTCTATAAGATTCCTGGCACATAAACATGTTGGGGCTCATTTTTTTATGCAGCAACTACTAATCATTCGACTGGAGATACAGCATGTGGGTTTGGTCTCCGTGTTGATAACTTAAGGGAAGCCAGGTCAGTGCTCTTCAAGGTTTCATGGTTTCAAACCAAACGGTATCTAATGTATCATAACATCTTAATGTCACTAAGCTGGTTTTGTTTAATACTGATGTTGCAGTTACCAAAGAGCTGATCCAAACTTTGTAATGCTGACACCAAACAAAGAACATCTCGCTGAAGGGATTGTGTGGAAGATGGGGAAGAGACCAATGTTTCAATCCGATGTAGACGCAGAGAATTTCAATCAACTCCCAAAAGAACTTAGACCACCCCAGAAGATTCTCTAAACTAATATTAGTTTTTTCTTTAATTTCTATGTCACTCTTTTTTTTTTTTTTGGCTCATCTACTTAGATATCACAACAGAGTCAAGATTTTTAATTAAGTTTGACTAAGGGAAGTTATAATTATTTTTCATAGCACAGTTTATTATATTTTCTTTTTTAATTAAAAATAAAAGTTTCAATAAAACAGAGGCCACAATCCCATTTGTCTATGAAACAGAAAGAAATGGCGACGAGTTGTTCGCTTCTCCTTTCTACTCTCTTCCTTCACTCTCCTCCTTCCTCTCAATTCTCTAATGGAACCTTCTTGAATCTCTCCCAACGCTCGTCTCCGAGCTCGATTTCTCTCTACTCTATCCGATCCAAACGGTGTTTTCGGGTTCTCTCGAAGCTTTCACTAGACGACAACGAAGGCGATTGTTTTCTTACGTCTCTTGGACCTGCGTTATCCGCCGTGAAGCCTCTCTTCCTCCTCTGCACCTCCGTCGCTCTGTCGTTTTCCCTCTTCTCCGCGTCCCCCGCCGTCGAATCCGCTTCTGCGTTCGTCGTCACTACTCCGCGGAAGCTCCAGACTGATGAGCTCGCGACGGTTCGATTGTTCCAGGAGAACACTCCTTCCGTCGTATACATCACCAATCTCGCCGTCAGGTATTTTGATTCTCTCGTCTCTTCGATTGAAGTTTTGATTTCTCCGTGCTAAATCGATAATTTGAGCGCTTCTCTGGGTTTTTGAATTAGGCAGGACGCGTTCACATTGGACGTGCTTGAGGTGCCGCAAGGTTCTGGTTCAGGATTCGTGTGGGATAAGCAGGGCCACATCGTTACCAATTATCATGTCATCCGTGGTGCTTCTGATCTCAGGTTAATGTCTGTTTTGTGTTGAGTTTTGAAATCCGATACTTGAATTCACTTGTTCATTGATTCTTTGGATTGCTCAGAATCCTGTAAAATTGTTCCTTGTTTCATGTATTACGCGAGTTGTGTTGTTTTGGTGGATACATTAACCTGGAACAATATATAGTCATTGTAAAACATCTAAGATATGGAAATTAGTGGTTGTGGTGTCATGACTTTCGAAATGACTACACTGCTTCAACATTCACATGGATGTTTGTCTGTGGTTGCATGATTTTTTTTTTTGGATAAAATGTGAATTTTATACCAAAAATGAATAAGAGTTGTGGATACAAAAGCATTACAACAAATGGTGGTTGCATGATTCATAACAGGGTCACTCTTGCTGATCAAACAACATTTGATGCAAAAATCGTTGGATTCGACCAAGACAAGGATGTTGCAGTTCTACGTATAGATGCACCAAAAGACAAACTAAGACCTATACCTGTTGGAGTCTCTGCAGATCTGCTTGTCGGCCAGAAAGTCTTTGCCATTGGGAATCCTGTGAGTATACACATCCTTTGAATGATCAATATCATTGCTCTGCTTTCTATTGCTCGCTGGATCAGACTTCTGATTCCTGGACACACGCATTTAAGCAAAAGAACTCTTTGTGTATGTGTTTTGCAGTTTGGACTTGATCACACTCTTACAACTGGTGTTATAAGGTATGTTAAATTATCTCTGTCTTCTCCTCTTTAGTTTCATTCTCCTCAACTCTCGATGTGTTCTTCCCAATGTTATGCTGTAATTAAAATTAAACGCTTGCAAAAAGGTCACAGTGGAAGGAACACAAAGATAAACTATTCGTTTCCGGTCTTCTTTTTTCCTTAAAACTGTTGCATGTTTGTGTACTATGATGTGTACAGTGGTCTGCGAAGAGAAATTAGTTCAGCTGCGACGGGTCGTCCAATTCAAGATGTGATACAGACGGATGCAGCCATTAACCCTGGCAACAGCGGAGGACCGCTTCTAGATAGTTCAGGAACCCTAATTGGTATAAACACAGCCATTTATTCTCCTTCTGGTGCATCCTCTGGAGTTGGCTTTTCGATCCCAGTTGACACCGTGAGTATTTTATTTTCCCCACATTCAAGAATCCCTCCTCTGTCCTTGAATATACACTAACGAGAGAGTGAACTGGTTTCTGAGTCTCTGTTTATATGTTCAGGTTGGTGGTATCGTTGATCAGTTGGTGAGATTTGGGAAAGTCACAAGGCCTATCTTAGGTATCAAATTCGCACCGGACCAATCTGTTGAGCAATTGGGAGTGAGCGGCGTGCTCGTATTGGATGCTCCTCCAAGTGGTCCAGCTGGAAAAGCCGTAAGTTAGCCTTTCTTGTTCACATATTACAACTCTCTACGTGAATGCGTTGTTTTAGTCGGAGATGGAGAAATGTGATGGACACAAATGAAACACGACATTTCTCTCTATATTCAGCTGTATGGGTTTAGCATTGAAAACGTGTGTGTAATGATGGTTTTGCTCCACAGGGACTTCAGTCAACGAAACGTGACGGTTACGGGAGACTAATATTAGGAGACATAATCACGTCGGTGAACGGTACAAAAGTTTCTAACGGCAGTGATCTGTACCGGATTCTCGATCAATGTAAAGTCGGTGATGAGGTAAAATCGCCAGAATCCAGAATCCGCATTTTAGTTTAATTTGTTTCTGCTTCTACTTCCTACATGAGAGAGAGTTTTGACATTTCTGTGTGAGCTTGGTTTTTCTCAGGTGACCGTAGAGGTTCTAAGAGGCGATCACAAGGAGAAAATATCTGTAACTCTTGAACCAAAGTCGGACGAGACCTAGATGGATGTGGAAAGAAAGTAAATATAACGGGTAGAAAAAAGTCCGGTGGGGTTTATTTTTGTATTTTCAGTGGTTCGGAAAAATAGATCGTCCAATTGTGTACATATAAATGACAGACAAAATCTGTTTATATTGCATAGCCGGTCTTATGGTTTGGATTGGTTTCTATTTCCGTTTTAGGTTTTAAACCTTAAAACCGTTTTTCTCCAAAGTTCTTGAACTAATTGGGTCAAGGGTCAAGGGTCATTGGAGAGTGACTCTTGACTTAAACAAAAGTACAGTAACTAGAAAGGTCAAACCGGGTTTTGTGGTCTGCATGGTTCATCTGGCAATTGCAAATTTTTGGTTTAGTCTTGATTTTGCTCTTATAGATCCGCTCAAAAAAATTTATACCTTTGCGCATTTGTATTCACAAAGAAAAGAAAAAAATATAAAACCATTATATTATATTAAAAATTAATACCTTAGAGCATTTGGACCTAAAACATAACATTGTTTTGATTAGTTAAATAGGAGTGACTTAAATAGTTCACGTTAGAGAGGAATCGATCCCAAACTACCAATAGAACAACTCTTTTTAAGTGAGAACCAATAAACCAATAGCACTTGGTTAACTTTTGACGTTGCTTCGTCCAATTATGATCCGAACCGAAATTTGTCTTGTTTATTTATATAAATTGACTTTGAATTTTACAAAGTTTACTAACCAGATTGCTGATATTCGGTGGACAATTTAATCAAAATCTATTAGAATCGATTTTTGTTCCTAAAAGAAATCATAGTAAACAGGTAATTAACTGACAATGTGCAGATGAAATTCGACCAATTACATCAGATACAGTTTGTAGTTAAATACTATAATGCAGAAATGGTTTTAAACAAAAGTAATTCAGAGTCTCATGCATGCTCAAAAGGAAATTTTGTTGAAAATGGATGAGCAGTGTGCGGGTGGTTGCACTGCGCATCATTAATATTTTGTTTGGTTTTGTAGTTAATCAATCATCATGCTTGATTGATTTATCTATATATGTAGACTCTAAACATGTGTTTATTAGTTATTACTGGTGAATGGTGATCCGTTCTTGTCATGTGACAGTAGTCTCTAGCTAGAGAAATGGATCAAAAAAAACAGAAACAAGAATTTGATCCATGATCCATCAGTATCTCAAAGCCGCTGAAGACAAGCAGCTACCTTAGTTGGAGATATTAAAAATCGACAATTTTACAAAATTAAAATTAGGTTTCATTCTTGTTGTAGCTGTTTTTATGGTACCATCTGTCGTCATTATGCATATGAGTCATAGTAGTTTATGTGATTGCATGATTGAACCGCATAATCATTGTGAAACAAAATTTATGCCATTAATGTTAATTGCCTTTCATAAGTGCATTTACCTGCTTAGAAAAAGATTAAGAAAGAAGTTAAAAAGGTTAGTATTTTAAATGACATTTACCTGAGCTGCAAGAAATGGTTCAAAAGTTCTTCTCATTATCCACATAAGCTTTTTGTTTAGAATCATTCTCGGTAAGCTCCCTTTTTTACTATTTTCTCTACCTTTAACTTCTAACACATTGGACATAATGTCTCTAAGAATTAAATAAATATGATCTTTAAAAATGAAGAATATTTATTCCACCGAGTTTGTGTCTAGGCAAAAGCAAATTCTGATGCAAAAAGTTACTGCTGCTCCAAGAATGTTAAATAAAATTTTACAAGATTAAAAACAATATAAATTATGTTTTAAAAGTAAATCAAAGTAAATTTCTATCACAAATACCTAATTTACTTTCTAGTCAAATATATATATATATATATCTATCTGTTTTCACAGTTAATATTTTTTATTCATTTTTCACATATTTTTTATTAATACACTAAATAATAAATAGTTTGAATTAATAGAAACAAAAATGAGATTTATTTTGAATATTTGTATTATAGATACAAAACGATACTATTTATAAAAAATGATAAAATCGTATAAAAATATTGTATAACAAAAAAAATCGGTTATAAATTACATGTCATCATTCATGCATAACCGTTAATAAAGTTTTTTTTATGCATCAATGATGATGTGTAACCAAAGAAATTATGATTAAGAGATATGGTTTGTAAATTGCATTTATTAGATTTACCATTATCTAAAGATTAAAGATATGATGTAGTTTAATGTATTTTGTTATGAAATTTTAGATGTGAAAAGTGTCAAAAACATAGTTATATTTCACATTGAATGAGATTCAATAATTATAGACTTTTGACTAGCCAGCTATTGAATGTTTAACTGTCCGTCCATTTAAGTCATTTAACCAGTAGTGTATAGTATATATATATATAAGCTATGAACAACCAGACTCCAGTGGCAACCATCATATAGCTCATACTGCTCTATCGATTATGTCTCCCCCAGTTTCTTCAAACGCCGTAGATCCACCACCAAAACTCAAGAAAGCGATGGTGTCTTCGTCTCTTCCGTTACCAGACGATGTATCATTGATCTGTTTCGCACACGTTCCGAGACGTGACTACCCTTCACTATCTCTCGTCTCCAAGAGTTTCGGCAGCCTCATCGCTAATTCCTCCGAGCTAAATCGAATACGTTCACTCCATCAACGCACAGAAAACGTTCTTTACATTGCCTTGAGATCCAGCCATGAAGAGAACCCTACTTGGTACACTCTCAACCCAAAGCCTTACGAAAACGAGTCTAGTGACTCTCTTCACCACAAGCTGGTTCCGTTTCCTTCTTTCCCTTCTATGCCTCGTTGGGGATCTTCTGTTATTGTGATCGGTCAAGAGATCTACGTCCTCGGTGGATGCATCAACGGCGAGGTAACCACTAACGCGTTTGCTATCGATTGTATATCTCACACGTGCCGGTCTCTTCCTAGCATGCGTGTGGCACGTGGCTGCGCTGCTTCTGGTGTTGTAGGTGAGAAGATTTACGTAATCGGAGGATGCGACAAGACGAAGTCGTCGTTGAGTGATTGGGTCGAGGTTTTCGACCTCAAGAAGCAATCTTGGGAATGTTTTTCGGGTTTGTGCAACGAAGAGTTGCACGAGATAACGATCAATAGTTTCGTGATGAACAAGAAGATTTACGTGCAGGATAGTTCGAAAAGCTTTGTTTATGATCCCAAGAAAAACAGATGGGAGAAGGCAAAATCGTTGAACGGAGAGTGGCAAGTTGGTTCTTGCGTTATTGACAACATGTTGTACACTTTTGGTAATGAGAATCGAACTAGGGTTTATGATCCGAGGGTCAAGTCTTGGAGATTCTTGAATGGTGTTGAAGAAGATCTACCTGACATGCGTCGTGCTATAGGAGGGTCTAGAATGGCCAATCATGGCGGGAAACTTGCGATTTTGTTTATGGTTTATGATAATCGTGGGAGAACACAGGTTTGGTGTACAGAGATTGCATTGGAAAGGCGAAGTCGAAGAGAGATTTGGGGAAAGGTTTTGTGGTCTAATCATGTAATTAGTTTTACAGACCCTCCCACCATTGTTCGATGTCTAGATGTCCTAATCTGACTTAAAGCATGAGATGGGTTTATAATCCATATAATCCATACATATAAAAAAATGTATGCTTTGTTAGTTGAATAAAAATGGTTTTATGATAATAAAAAAAAAACCTGTCACATTTTATTTAATCCACCACTTTCGAAAACGCCGTGGGACACACATTACTTTTTAATTTATTAATAGGAAGTCGTTTGTATCTAAAATCTCTAATTTGCACTGTTTTAAAACCCCCCTAAAACATTCATGATCCAGCTATTTTGTTAACATTTTTATATGTAGTTAAAACTTTAAAAAAGGATCAAAATTAGAGTTAGTGGTCCTTTAAAGTTCAACAAAAAAGTATCAAAAATTTCAATTATTCCCTCTACTTTGGACCTTGAATTTGGTTTTTATTACCTAGCTCAAGGTTTATATGAAAGCAGAGACAAAACTAGAACAGAGTTTTAAGAAAGAGACAAAACTAGAACAGAGTTTTAAGAAAGAGAAGGTCTGCTCAAAGAAATGCCATTTTCATTGATTGATTCTCAAGAGATTACAAATTGTTCTTTTATATAGACAAAACCCCAAAACCCTAAGGGGAACTGATCCAAGGAGAACACTCATTCACTTGATTCCAAACACTCAAAGCGATTGCTGATAACCAAGTCACCAGCTGGCTTGTACGGTTTTGTCTTGTGTTTGATGCAGGATGTTGACATGTTGTACTGAACTGCAGAAGAAGCCATTGTGTTTATTGTTGGCGTGATGGGCTTCACATTTCGCTTCGGCGAGATGGGCTTTTGTGTGGAGTGGCCCAACATCTTTGGAGAAGCCTTAACATTATAGTCCAACCGAATCCGGTAACCTGAAAAACTTTTCGGTTTTGTTTCGACACTGAATTTTAAAATCATTAATTTATAAAGCTTGCGTGATCATTAGTCACTAACCAAATTATTATAAGACTTTTAAAAAGAGAGAATATTAATGAGTTTCATTGGCCCGACCCGAGCACTTAAAGACTAGTGGAATCGTCTCTTTCTCTGTTCTTTTCGCCTAATCTAATCTCATCCTTCTTCATTGGTCAACATCTTTTTTTCGTCAACAGCTCTTGTAACCGGAGAAAATGGAGGCAGTTACGGCGATGAAGCCATTGATCAGAGTCGCTGCTCTCTCCGGTTCACTCCGAAAAGGCTCTTTCAACACCGGTCTCCTCCGCGCCGGTATATTCCTTTTTCCCCTTACTCTCTCGTTCAGTCTTGTGGTTTCACTTTGCTAATTAACTCTTTGGTGATTTTTTTCCTCAGCAATCGATATGTCGAAAGAATCGGTCCCGGGGATGCAGATTGAGTATATCGACATATCTCCGTTGCCGTTGATCAACACCGATCTGGAATCCAACGGGACTTATCCTCCGGTCGTCGAAGCTTTCCGGCAGAAGATCCTTGAAGCCGATAGCATTCTGTTCGCTTCCCCTGAGTACAACTTCTCTGTCTCAGGTAACTTCAAAAGGCCCTTTCTTATCATCATCATCATACTTACTCATTGTTGGACATGAAGATTGCTTCAGTTTGATGTTTAAGCTGTGTGTATCAGAGATATGAATGGGTTTTGTTTTTCTTACGAGACAGTGTGTACTTATGAAAGACATGTGAGAGATGATGTCTTAAAGAAATTTTAGGATTATGGTTTATCAAGTATCATCAATTGGATTTGATTAGACATGTACTGAAACCTTTGTCGACTTTGGTCTTAATCATATGCAAATATCAAGAAGAAGCTTACTGTAACCGTTGATTTTGGGCTTAATGGTGTAACTCATGGGATCAAACTAATGCTCAAAATTGAAAGAGTCTCTTTGACTCTGTTGGCTTTGTGAATTCCGATTTGGGTGAAGTTGTGACATTTCTTATGCTTCTTGATGAAATGCTCTGTTTATGTTAGCTTTATAGACTTATGACTAGTTCAAGCTTTGTGACTCAAACCGTTTTTTAATACCAGCTCCTCTTAAGAACGCTATTGACTGGGCTTCAAGATCACCGAACGTTTGGGCTGACAAACCCGCCGCCGTCATAAGCACCGGTGGGGGAGCTGGTGGAGGAAGGTCGCAGTATCATCTTCGACAAATCGGAGTGTTCCTTGATCTTCACTTCATCAACAAACCCGAGTTTACTCTCAATGCGTTTCAGCCGCCTCAGAAATTCGACGCAGAAGGGAACTTGGTCGATGAAGCGGCTAGGGAGAGGCTGAAACAAGTTCTTGTCTCGTTACAAGCATTTACTCTGCGGCTTCAGGGTAAGTAAGTGAGGCAGTTCTTGATCATTTGTGTGCTGAAAATAACGCCAATTGTTGTGATAAGAAACTGTGTCACACTTATCGTATAACACATTTTCTATTTCTCATTAATATTGTATATGTATTTGAATGATACAAATATGTTTACAAGATACGAGTGATGATTTTTGTATGTATTTTTTTTTCCTCCTAAATAAGAAGAGGGGACAAATCCAGCATTGGAGATTCACAAGTGAAATAAAAAATGGTTATAGATTTCTTATTTTAAAACTCAAGATTTCAATCATTGCAAAATGCAATAATATAGGGGGCTTTAGTTAAAAATTCCACCTAATTTATCAATCCACTAAGAGAATTGCTCACCTAGAATAAGGAGACAAAGAAGTTGACTTTTTGGAGTCGCAAAGTAGATTTTGGATTCAATGATTTCAGTTAAAAACGCATGCATGAGTCCGGTTTCAATGGACTTTTGGAAGCTACTCAGAAGAAATGCCAAAGGGATTTTTAACGCTTTCGTTAATAATCTTCAAAACAAAGTTCCAACACAAGAAGATACATGATACTAGTAGCCACCTTAGCTAAAGGTATCAAAAGGAGACCAAGGACAAGAACCACTTAACTTAAGGACACTTCCGTTTAAATGGATGTGGTTTTGAGTGGTTTTGTCCCAAGCCTGCCCTTTTGTGGTTCATCATGGCAGGCCAAAGACAACACAGAACGTGTGAGATGGTGCCATAATGGTAATTGTAGTTAGGAGTAGCATGGTATTGGTGTCATGCACAATCAGGAATTAGGTGAGCAACACAAACTTGCAGCAATAATGTCACACCAAAGACCAAACGGTGTAGGGATTAGAGAGACAGCATTGAACAAGTGATCGCGAGTTTGGTCAATTCGCGATAGAGCAAAGATTCAGTGAAATTTCTGAAGTCAATACTTTAAAATAGACCCCGTACCAAAAAAATAAAATATAAATGTATGATAACTACATTACATCTATATTAATATAGTAGCCAAGTTAGGAATGTGTACTCATATGGCTACGGAATGGTGATTTGACTATAGTGTATAGTGTAGGCGACAATCATTTTATCAAGAAATTATTAAACTTTGCAGTTAGTAGATGGCATTTACGAAAACCCGGTCCATTATTATCATCCTTTTAGTAAAAGAAAAAAAAAATATAAATCTGTACAGAAATAATAAAGTTCACTTGTCACTGTATGATTTATGATGTCCATCTATAAAAGTTTAATTATATTGTCTTCATTTACATACGTGTTTGTATCCATTATCTACCTCAACAAACATAGAAAGATCAAGTACACACTTAAAAACACGCAACTTGCAACGTTTTTTTCTTCTTCTATATTTTGTCTTTTTTTTTTTTTAATATCTGCAACTATATTTACATCAAATACTGCACCCAAATTATAAAAAAAAACTACAACAGCATATAATAATGAACACGATGAAACTGAATTGTATACAAACCCAGCAAAAAAAAAGTATAATTTAAAGATATAAGATATTATACTTTATTAGATACGAATATAAGTAAAACTCGCATCTTTTTTTTTGTTTTGGAAAGAAATTGATTTATAACGAGAAAGAAACAAAAAAATAGATTTTTTTCCATCGTTGTGGATCAGATCAGAAGGGAGGAAAAGCTTTTCCGTATCGGTTAATGTTGGAGAAAAGTCCGACGAGATCTTGCTTGTACGGTAGGTATGATTTTCTCTTGTCTTCTTCCTTCATCGCTTTGTTCCTCAAGTAAAACTTCTCGTGTGCAGAGACAGAGACTTTCTCCTTCTCCTTCCTCTTCACCGTCTTCGGCGATTGCTTGCCGGTCGCTATGTTAACGGAGCTTGAATTCAGGAATTTCAGTGACTGTTTCCCGTCGCTGTGACTTCTCTTGAGCAGATCTCTGATACGCCACCGTCTCGACGACCATGACGATGTCGAAGACGAACCAGTCGATTTGCTCTTCCTACAGCCTCCCGGTGACATCTCCGTTGATCTCTCCGGCGTCCATGGACAGTAGATCTCGCTCGGGATCGTGTCCAGCTCATCTTCCTCTTCCTCATCATCGTCTGACGACGATGAATACGTCGGCTGCGGCTGATCGTTGCGCTCTCGGAGGAACAGATCTTTTAACGGAGTCACAACCGCTTCCTGAGAGACGTCGTCAGGTTCCACGGCGGAGGTTTCGGAGACGAGACTCTGATCAAAAACAGGGAACACTAATCCACCGTCGCCGGAAGAAGAAGCCATCGTAAACTCGAATTCGTCGTCTTCTTTCTCCTTGTAAACATCGTCGGCGAATTTTCGACAAACTCGTTCGGCGATCTCGGCGGTTCGATCGCCGGAGTAAGTGCTGAAGCTTGGTGAAAAAGACGCCGTGGAGGCACTATAGTCATCATCAACCTTCTCCATCTCTGAGAAGCTTTCTCTATTGTGACTCTTGTCTCTCTATCTATCTCTACTGGGTTTTACAGTTGACAAACGAAAAGAGCGTGAGAGAGAGAGAGGTTTTCTTTAATGGCGTTTTTTTTGTCTTCTTCTGTAAACAGCCGTATATATAGGAGAAGCGGTTGGGGCACATGGAAATGGCAATTTCAGTAAATATTAAGTAAAAGCTTTAATGTGTGTCATTTTTGCATCAAACTATATATTATACTATCGAGCATAAAACGTGGACTTTCTAGAAGCGTATCCCGCTACTTGATCCAGAAGTTTTAGTGTATGATTTCTTTTCTTTTTTAAAATAGTACATTCAAATCAATTTATATGGTTCAATAGCCGACAAAACTAATTAAGGAAAAACAAAACAATACACAATTAATATCTGTAATTTGATTAGGATTGGAATGTCCTTTATACTTTGGTTTTAATTGGTAATTTAAAGCTAATGGTGTATCTTATAGTTTCTGAGTTAAGCATGTGTATATATAGTATATGATAAAAAAAAACAAAGTTTCTCAATTCTTTTGATTGAGAAAGTAGTAAAAACAAATGATTTTCATCATGTTTTTGACCATTTAAAACCGTTGTACATGTACATTATATATTCATAATAAATATGGCGAATAAATAAGCAAAAATTAAGTGATATATCATATTGTATATACAGTTACTATTGATTTTCTTTTGTGATGTATTATATGATGGGTGCTTGAAAAGTCGAATTGTAGTGTAAAGCAGCCCCATTATAAGGAAGTGCATACGTAATTGCTGACAAAGAAGAATCATGAATCATGGCTGCTGCGTTGTAATCTTTAGCTTCTCGAAAACGAACGTTCTATATTGTTTCTTTTTGTTTCATTTCAACCAACTTCAAATATATATAATTGAAAGCAATAAATACGATCCTGCTATAAGAAATACGATTCACATGGGCACGTATATGATTCATGTGTATAAAATACGTATAGTACTTGTAGATGTCGTTTTCACTTTTCTTGACGTACTCTTATGAACGAAGCTAACTTGACTTGAATCGCTATCAGAATCAAATCAAAGATTTTTTTCACATTTTCTTCTTCCACCGTTAGACCAAATCGTCACACTATGCGTATTAAATGCTATTAGAATTTATAATATTAGTAATAACTAATAAACATTGTTTAGCGTCATTGTCAATGTCACATGGTATATAAGAAAATGTTACACAAGAAATAGTATGGGTGTCATAACAAAACGTATATAATATATGGTATTTGATTAATCGAGAATTAAATCCAAAATCAGCCATAAAACAATAAATAGACTAAACACACTCTATCTCAATACAGTCCACAAGAAACTAACTAGTCACACTACAATCTATATTCACTCGTATATTTACAAAATCAGAGAGAGACGAGAGCTAAAGTTGCGTAACTAAAAATAGTAAAATACGAATCAGTTCCAAGAATCTCTTCTCGACAAATTTGCCCTAAGATGATGCAAAGTAAACTCAACTTGCACCGGAAGCTCACCGGAAACCGCACTCGTCCTGGTCGCAGTCTCCGGCCGTTCTGTTCTCCTCTGTTCAACGATAATATCGTGGTACATCGGTCTGAACTTGATCTGAAACGCCCTGTAAGAGAAATACGGCAAGAGAGCAGAGAACACGACGAGGACAAGAGTGAGCCAACACATCGGACTCGGTGTTGAGGTCTCGACAAGGACTCGAAACGCGGTCGTGGAGAATGTTGGAGGAAGGGAACCGTAGATGACAAGAAACAGATACCATAACGCTATGCTTCCCCAGATGAAGCAGTGCTGAATCCAAGTGAAGTAGTTTATCGAAATCGCCATTTGGCTATTCACGGTCCATACCACGCAAGTGTACATCGTGACTCCAAGAACCGAGTAATCAACTACTTGGCCATCGATCCTGAAAGCTTGAGCCGCCATTATCTTGATTATGAGCAAGAAAATGATCATTGAGCTTATGACTCCGTTCAACATCCAACCAATAATCCGTTCCCAGCTGAATAATATGTTCTGTACTCCTTCTTGGTACAGCAACGGATACTGCGGAAAACAAAGAATCAAGAACCACAAAGTGATTTGTTTTTGAGAGAGAAAAAGAAAAAACATAAAATCTTTTTACCTTGAGACAAAGGCGAGCAGAGACGTCTTGATCAAAGACTCCAAGGGCGATGACAGGAAGTGAAGTGAAGAAGACGTTGTAGCATGACATGTACCAATCGTTATAAGCTGGTTTTCCAGAGAAGGAAGCATAGGCTTCATACCAAAACAGTGTGAATCCGAATGTGAGGTTCTTGTAGAAGAAGTAGCATATCTGAATTTCATAAATATTCACACAATCAGAAATTAAGACCAAAGATTCGAAATGTAATTTTAACCAGAAACTTGTTACCATCATTGCTATTCTTCTATAACACCAATGGCCGTGAACAAGCAACAGACGTTCCAGAAACCGAAACTGAGCAATCGCAAAATCACTAGCCATCACTGCCTGTAACAGTAAACTTTAGAGCTCTAAACATCATTTCATAGTAAACAGAAGAAGAGAAAAAGCAAATGTTGTTTACCTGCATTCCTTCTGCACCACTTATACCGACTCCAATATCAGCTTCTTGAAGCATTCCAACATCATTTGCGCCATCTCCAATGGCCAGTGTTGTTCTACCTGTCCCGCTTTTTACCAATCTTGTAACCTAACATATATATATATTCTATGCTTCTCAATCAGATTTTCTCTAATGTGAAAACAAAATGGAAAGTGGTGACATGAATCTTACGAGAGCCTTTTGTTTTGGTGAAGACCGGCAACATATAACAGAATTACATCGGCTCGCGAGCTCCAAGAACTCTTTCTCCAGATTCTTGTCCAATGCAAAAGTTAAGGACTTTCCATCAATCACTAAACCAAACGTTTCCGGATTTTCATTAGCTGAATTATCCGTTGCTGCAGCAGTTTGTGACATTCCTTCTCGTAACTGTTTTTTAATACTCTGAAAAGAAGCCTATGAACAAACAAACAAAAATTTCTTCATCATTGCCCATAAACATAGTATTTGTATGTAACAAGTTTTAAATGTTATGTCCCATGGAAAAAAACCAAACTACCTCTGCAACAGCATCTTTGTCTCCTTGTTTTTCTAATGCTTCAACGTCAGGTGAATCTAGAGTTATCATAATCTTTTTCATGCCTTCTCTTAAGAGACTACAAGCATATCTGTCAACAACCTCACAGCTTAATACATTTGAACTTTTACAGAAAAAATGATAATCAAGAGAAGATATTAGAAGTCTAAAGATACCCTATATTTATTGCGGTTTCTGTCTTATCGCCAGTTAAAACCCATATCTTAACCCCAGCCTGAGATAACTTTTCAATACAATCTGGAACCTTTTTAACAAGAAAAAAAGAAAGGTAAGTCCAAGAAGAATCAAAATCCTTCTCCAAGAAACTGGAAAAGAAAAAAAGCAACCAATATTCTGTTTTTGTAATACTTACACCCTTCTGGAGTTTGTCTTCCACTGCAGTAGAGCCAAGAAGAATCAAATCATTCTCAATTTTATCAGCAGCTGCATCGATTAAAGCATCTCTATCTTCAGTGACCAAAGTTTTAGCTTCCAGAAACTCCTCTTCCCAGATTCTGTACTCATCTTCATCAACTTCTCTGTATGTAATCACCAAGGTTCTTAAACCAGCCTCCGCATACTTCTTGATGTGTTCTTTTGTCTCTCTCTCATTTTGGCGTCCGTGTTTTGCAAGTCTTTCAAACATTACACTGAAACACATGACAGAAGAAAATATTTCCATTGAACCATATAGGGTTACTTTACTTTAAGATTTGAGCTTCTCCAGAAAGAAAAAAGTATATTAACCTGTCTGCGCCTTTTGAAAGCAACAATATCCGGTTTTCTGAATTTCGCACAATCACAGACATTCTTTTGCGTGAACTGCTGAACTCTAGGACATGAAGTAGCTCATATACTCTGAACATTTCAAGAAAAAAATGTGAAAACTTTGGAAATGTTGTGTTCTCATGTTATCCCAAAAGAAAGAGAAATGTGATAACTTTCATTCACCTGTCTGCTTTTTCACCGGTCATGTGGTCAATTTCGTGCAAGGAGATATTAGTTTGAGACCTTGCAAAGAATTCAAATCCAAGCTCTCGAGAAGCTATGACGAAAGCCGCTTCATCAGGAGACTCAGCCTCATAAGTGATCTCTCCAGTATCACTGTTTACGTCAGGAATAGCAGTGTGGCAAATAGCCAACACTCTGAAAAACTTCTGGATGAGTTCTGCGTGTGGTTGATTAATCCATTGCCCATCTACTATTCTCTCATCCCAAAAGTTAAAACCTTTAACAAACTTTGTCGAATTCGCTTTCATCTCCTTGATGGATAAAGAATCATCATCAACACCTTCTTCTTGAGGTATCATCATACCCTTTCGCTTTCTCAATGCCATTTCAACTTCCGTCATACCACGACCATAAGCAGTTCCAGCAATTGAACATTTCACAAACTCCATTGAGTTGCAAGTAAGAGTACCTGTTTTATCCGAGAGGATTGTATCGACTTGACCGAGTTCTTCATTGAGATTAGACGTTCTTGCACGAGCAGGCCTGTCTGTTTCCTCGTGGTACATCTCTTGGTCTTGGTTGATGAAAATACTCTGCAAGACCTTCACAACCTCAATAGAGACATACAGCGATATCGGTATTAAGTAACCGTACAGCATCAGAGCAGTCAAGAAATGAAAGAAAGCAGCAAGAACCGCTCTCCTTGGGTCATAGAAAACAGTAGTCTGGTCCGGTCTAAGATACCATCTAGTTAGCTTCCCATCATCACTGAGATCTCTTCTCGTTAGAATCCCAAAGAACACGGATCCAATAAAGGCTATCGCAATCAAGGTAACGAAGAGGACGTAAACGATCTTGTCCATTTTCCTCTCAATCTTGCTCCTCTTCGAAGGAGGATCAGTAGCGTTCTGCATCACTTTGGTGTCATGGCCCGTGAAGACAACCACGCCGTGGACGTAATCGGTGTTTTTCAGCTTCGAGTCTCTCAAGAGCATCTGCTGAGGAGAGAGAGGATATTGCTTCCCTTGGAAGTGAAGCGTTCCAACAAAGGAGTAGAGATGCTCATTAGGATCCTCACATTTGATAACTCCCCTGAAGTTCTTGATTGACTCTTCATCGGACGTGATCTCCAAAGCGTGCTTTAGCTTCAGATTAGTCTCCCCGTCGAGATTCATGGTTTCAACATAACAAACGCCATCTTCATAGCTAGACGAAAGAAGAAGAAGATCAGCTGGAAAGTAATCATCTTTGTGAACCTTCACAAGATCACCAACTCTGAGATTCTTCCACTTCGTTTCACCAAATGTACCGTCTTTACCACAAACTTCAACTTTCCTATTGTTAGCTTCAACGTCCTGTTACATAAAAAATGATCATAATCAAGAAAGCTCCTAATCTATATAACATGATATCCAAAATACAAAATAAAAAAGCCATACTTGTTTCCTTCTCCTCCAATCTTCAACTCCTTCTTTGACCATAGTCGCACCGATCACAATCAAGAGCGGAGCAAGAACACTCGGGGCGGTGTAAGGAGCCAAAGGGCTAAACGAAACGAAAGCGACGACGAGGAAATATATGTTTGCGACTCTTCGAAACTGCTCAAACAAGGACTTTGGGATGAAATTAGCAGCTGTGTACTTAGTGGTTGACACATAGTTCCCATTGTAATTAAGCTGAAGAGCCTCGGGATTATCGGGATCATTACAGAACACGACTCTTGAGTAACCTCTTGACCCAATCTGAGAATGATCTTCTCTAGAGAAAGGCTTAAAACACTTGAAAGAATACAATTTACTCAAACGCACACCTTTTCTCCTCTCTCCATCCATCTTCAAAAAAATTAGATCTTTCTTCCCTTAAAAAGACAATTTTTATTTTCTCTCTAGAAATCAATCCTGAGTTCTCTGTTCCACTCCTCGTTTTCTCGATTTCTCTGTTCTCAGCACGAAAAATAACATTTTCTCAAGCTCTTGAACACAAACTTCAAACAGCAATCATGAATCACCCACCAAGATCACAAATCCATCGCTTGAATGTAGTAGCTGAGGAGAATCAGCTAGAATCTAATTAAGAGAGAAAAGAAAAAGAAATCCAAATCAGGGATAAGGAATCTAGCAGCTGCACTTAACAGTAACTATCAATTCAATTAAAAAAGACATGTATATATGTTCAAAAAAAGATAAAACATTGGTCTGAAAGATCCCTTACTTGGTCCCAAAGATCTAATTCCTTGGAGAGATAGAGAGAGAGAGAGACGAAAGATAAACAAAGAAACTCTATAAAAAAGTAAAGATCCTAAAGAGAAAGAGTGTGTGCTTGCTCCGAACAGTACCCAACTTTGCCTCTTCGGTAAGTAAACGACAGTAGAGAACGACGAGACGAGAGCATTTCCCAAGTTTTTCTTAGTTATATTAATTTCGCTTTTCTTCTAACATTTTCCATTGTCTTTATCTTTATCTTTATTTTTAAATTTTGGTTTTTCTTATAAAAAATTTCGTGTGTTATTTTTGTTCTTTCCCGTACGATTCCGTGAAGACCTGCTGACATTTGTCGGTCTTCAACGAGTCCAGCGTGACGTTTTGACACGTGGCGATATCTTACGGTCTTACTGGTTTTTTTTGACTAATTAATTATTTGAATAACGTAACGTTATTATTGGATGTAGATTAGTATCTCACCGATTTCAACCTATTTCCACTTTAGTCGTTGTCACAAATTCGGTTTGGTTCATCTTTTACGATGAGATAATAATAATGGTTACAAAAAAAAAGAACCAAAAATATCAGTAGTACAGATAAAATGCAATAGCTCACGTAAGCTGCAACTATAGTAATAAAGCGAAAATATTTCTATAATAGAATTTATATTTATTAGTATAAAATGTAACACGAATTTCAACACCTACCAGCCTCCTCGGCTCGTGAACATTTAATTGCTACAACATTACTATAATTCAAGTTCAGAAAAAAAAAAAAAAAAAAAAAAAAAAATTGCTTGATTGGAAAATTGATAATTTTGAATAACAAAACAATGAAAATAAGAAGCTATTACTATTTGATGGGCTTTGGAATCTGTCAGAAGGTTTTTAAAGCCCATTAGACCCACTTGCTCTTTCTCACGTGGCTTCTCGTAGTTCGTAAATCTTCTCCTACATGATAATCATCCGTGACCGTTTTCCTAACTAATCCAATGAAAGGCTAACACGTGGAACTTTCTTAATATGGCTGTGTCACAGGCCTGTCAACTAATTATCTATCGGCACCTACCTCCCGCAGGTAGTGGTCATTCAAAAGGTAAGGCGCTACTTCATACTTGGCTCGGCTCGGTTCGGCTCAGCTTCGTTTGGATCGGCCCGAAGTTGGTTGAATTAAGTGAAGGCTTGATTTTATTTTATTTTTTAATGTTTTTGACAAGCTTATAGTATATACTATTAACTTTGAATCATGTATGTGTTAAAAAACTTAGCAGGAGTTATTGGTTCTTGTATTTTGGTGGATTTATAAATCTTTTTTGGATTTGATAAATTTATTGATTTTAAAATCAGCAAAATAGAAAAAAATCAAATCCACTCAAATACCAAGGTTAGACGTTGTATTTAAGTCTTTGTATTTTAGTCATGAAAATCTTTTTAAATCCATTCAAATTCAATTAAAACTCAAATCCTTATAATATTTAGATTCTAAAATGATAGAACCAATAACACTGTATTTCATTATGGATTTTAAAATCATAGAACCAATAACACTGTATTTCAATATAAATTTTAAAATACAAGAACCAATAACACTAAATTTGGTTTGGATTCTCAAATCCATTAAAATACAAGAACCAATAACACCTCATTAGAAAATATAAAGTTTTTGTTGACCAAACACATTATATCTCGTTTTTTCGGCTAAACGAAATATATCTCGATTTTTCAGTGGCAGAATCAGAATGATTTAATGGACTCCGTTGAAGTTTTACATGTGATTTGGATTTCATAAACCAATGTCTAAAATATACACTATTCGTCGGAAACTCTTGCATTACTTTTACGTATGGTACAAACTTTAAACATATTGAAATTAGAACCATGCAAAAATTATTAAGATTCCTGAGAAAAAGTATATATTATATTATAATTTTTTATAGTTCGGGTTCAGTAAAATAAATCACGATTCAAGATTAACATCTTTCGTTGAGTATTTCGTCTAGCTTAAGAAATGACATGTAATTCAAACATTTTATAACATCCATTTTGTTTGACTATTTCTATATACTTAGTAAATTTATGATATAATATGTATATAGAACAATATGGATCAGATCAAACATCTTAAAATTAAAAAATAGGTATTGTGATTTGGGATTTAAGCCGAAATGATTACCAAATATATAGGAACAAATATAACAAAATCATTTGTGTAAGCGTCAGAAGCCTACTTGTGGCATGCTCCACACGTACTGTCAAAACAAAGAGTTTCTCTTTTTATGCATTGTTATTAGACCGTAAAGCCCGCGGATGAAAGCCGAGCCGAACGTCCACTTGTACTGGACCGACGTAAACCCTTTTGCTCTCCTTTAAATTCGAATCATTTCCCTCAACTTCTTCACCTAAATAACTAAACAGAAACAAGAAAAAAAAACTAGCTAGTAACCTAATAATTATGAGAATTGTCCCTAAAGCAGAGAACTACGAACCGGAGCTTGCGGAGCTTAGCTCCGCAGTTGCTGTTTCCACCGTGAATAAGAGAAGAAAAGAAGATGAAAAAGGTTTCAAAAGATCAGAAAAATCTGTAAATGGTTACAATCTTGACGAAGAAAATGCTAAGGTTGTCTGTGTAACGGACGGTCTCTCATTTCTCGGTCGAGCCATTACAGAACGGCTCTTGCTTCATGGCTACACCGTCCGCATCATCGTCAATGGCCCAGGTAAAAATATATTAATAAACTCGATAGATTAACTCTTTGTAATTAATTTCATTTTTAACTAGAAAATTAATGATAAGGTTATTAAACGAGTTACGTGCTCGTAAAATACCACACTATGTTTTATACCTATCACTTATGTTGTGTTTGTTTAATATAGTTTTTGTATGAATAATTTTTTGATATCGGCTTGAACCATGTATATATGTAGATGACCTTGAGAGACTGAGGGTGATGAGGGATGAAACGCCGACGTTTCACGGGAGAATCGAAGCAGTGACTGCGAGGCTAACGGAGACAGAGAGCCTAGTCGATGCATTTGACGGGTGTAACGACATTTTCCATACTTCAGGCTTCATAGATCCCTCCGGCGTCTCTGGCTACTCCGTGAGCTCTCTTTCTTTATACCTTCCACATTTTCTAATTTACTTTGATAATAATATTACATATAGTAACACCAACAAACTGAATCTTTTTCAGAATCCAAGAGTGGCTATAGAAATATAACTTTCCAAATATATTACTTACTCGAGTCTGATTGATACGATATCTTTTTTTTTTTTTGAACATTTATAAAGTGTACAAGTTGCATATACTAAGTTGTTGCATTAAATTTGTAAATATTGGATCAGTTGGAATACAACTATCGTGGGACGTTCTTGCATTAAATTAGAGCTTTTCAATAAATTGTATAAAATGATGTTTTCAGAAATATATGGCTGAGATAGAAGCAAAGGTTTGTGAGAACGTAATGAACGCGTGTACGATGACGCGATCGGTGAGGAGATGCATTATGACTTCTTCCTTATTAGCTTGCATATGGCAAAACGGCACGCAGTTCAGCTCCCCTTCTGTGATTGATCACTCTAGTTGGAGCGACGAGTCTCTCTGCCAGAACAAGAAGGTCATTTCCCTCTTTAAAATTCTTGTTTAATTCTCACTATTATGGTTAATCAATCTTCCTATCTGTAAGAATATGCTTTCAGTGAAAATTTGACTAGAAGATATATATATATATATATATATATATATATATTTTTTTTTTTTTTTTGTTGCGTGTGAAATTGGTGGCTGATTTAAGGAATATTTGTGAAGTTGTGGTATGCATTAGGGAAGCTCAAAGCAGAGAAAACTGCATGGAAAATTGCTGAAAATAAAGGATTCAGACTCTCAACAATATGTACTGCTCTCATCACTTCCTGTTAACTTACTTCACCATAACCCTACACCTACAATTGCTTATCTCAAAGGTACAATTAGTTTTTATTTATTTTCTGACAAATAGTATTTTTACTAATTTTCTAATACTGAATATATAAGTATGTAAAATCTAATTAATTATTGAATAGGAGCCGAGGAAAAGTATGGAAATGGGGTACTAGCCACCGTGGACGTACACACGCTTGCAAAAGCGCACGTGCGAGTATATGAGGAATTGAATAAGGCAGAGCGTTAGGTAGGTACCTTTGTTTCGAAAAGGTTATAACGCGAGAATACGAAGCAGAGGAATTAGTCTACACAAGATTCGAGGGGACAACTACTACTACTACTATTGCTACAGTGACAGAACGACACCGTTTAGCTTGTCAAACAGAAGACTATCTTCTCTAATGTCGAAATCTCCGATTAGTTGTCTTGATTAAGACTTGAACAAATTGATTATTCTTTCATTATAATTATCAGTTTCCTGTGTCCCAAGTAGACAATTTGTCATTCTTATGCTTTGATAATTTGAGGGTGTTTGAAAGTGATTCTCGAGAGATTGCTTATTAGAGTGATGGATTATGCAACAAGTGAGTGATGGATTAAAGGTAAAATGTTCCAATGGGATTGACCATTCAAGAAGGCAACGATAGAACAATTCAAAACAATTACTTGATCGAAATTGAAAAAGGCTCGCCATCAATTGATATTATAAGTACTATGATCCAAAAACAATATCCAATGATCATTTTGATAAAATTACAGTAGACAAATCTTCAAAATCTAATTAAGAGATGGATTTGAAAAATACAAAACTGAAGGAAAATAGATTGGAAGAAAAGGTTTAGTGCTCATATTCTATGGGTGTAATGTGAGTCTATCAAGCCAATGGCTTTCAGTACGAGGAATTACTTTTACAATCATCGCACTAAACACAATTCCAAATCCAACTTATAACCGAAAATTAAGAAATTGTATAAAGAAACAAACAGAGGCTCAGAGTTTTGCATAATCTGCTCAAGGAAGAGTTTACGAGGCTCTTCTCATACAAGAGGTGTCAGAAATAATTAAGCATTAATCATCCTCGCCCAAAAGAAACCATTTTTTAAAATCTCTGCAACAAATCAAAAGCAATTAAAATATTGATTTTGAAAATTACAAACTGAAAGAAAACGATTAGAAGAAAAATTGGGATAGTGCTCATATTCTATGGGTGTAATGTGAGTCTATCAAGCCAACGGCTTTCAGTACGAGGAATTACTTTTACAATCATCGCACCAACCCCAGTTCCAAATCAAACTTGTAACCAAAAATTGATATAAAAAAAGTATTGAGAAACAAGTATAAGGCTCAGAGTTTTGCATAATCTGCTCAAGGAAGAGTTTACGAGGCTCTTCTCATACAAGAGGTGTCAGAAATAGTTAAGCATTAATCATCCTCGCCATCAATCAAATACCAGTAAAATCAACAGCAAGTAAAATATAAAAAAAACCAGCACAAAGATCTAAAATCGAAAACTCAATAACGAAAAAGAAAAAAAAATGTTGAAAGAAACAGAGGCTCAGAGTTTTGCGTAATCTGCTCAAAGAAGAGTTTATCAAGCTCTTCTCATACAAGAGGTGTCAGAAATAATTAAGCATTATTCATCTCCGCCATCATCAAATACTTTCAAAATCAATAACAAGAGGAAAACAAAAAACACAAAACTCACAGAGAAGTTAAATCGAAAGACTCATTAACGAAAAAGAAACGGCGGAGAAAGAGATATAAGAATTAGGGTTTTGTTTCGGTCAATGATGATTAAAAATACGGAAGCACGAAATGTATTTATAGATACTTACTGGGCTTATTCATTAAAAAGCCCATTAATTCCTCGTTTAGCGGGTTACGGTGTTAGGTTGCTTTACTTGCAGAGCTCTGTATCGTTGGTCATTACAAGATTAAGATCGAAGGGCCCATTGGGCCTGAAGTGGAATCACATAACAAACAGTTTTTAATTGATTTTTTGTTGTGTATAAATAATAAGTCTTTCAAACCTCTCGTCTCCTAAAAGCTAAGCTAGTGTGTCTTCTTCAACTAATACACAGACTTTAACAGGAACGAACAATGATCTTGCTTATCTTGTCCAGCAAGTTTCTTGATCCTTCTTCAAGTTTCATCTTCAATTCTTCCGTAATCTCTCCCTCTGATTGATCCAGCAATGCTCTCATCTCATCAAGCTTCTTTCTCAAACACTCGATTTCCATCACGCCCTTTCTGCTTTCACCTTCCTTCTTCTCATTTAGGTTTTCAAGTGAATCAGAAGAAGGGTACTTGAGCTTGAATGTAACGGTGGAAGTAGTAGCAGCGAATGGGCATTTCTCAAGTGACTTGTAAAATGCTTCTTCTCCATCAGATACATTCAAGAAGGAGACAAGTGCGGAGGAGTTATCATCGTCCAACACAAAGCTTCTCTCAATGTCCAAAGCTCCAAACTTTTGGTATGTTCTGATCAAATCATCTTTTGAAGGCAGAGTAGAACCAGCCTTGATAAATAGCTCAACACCTGAAAATTGCTGCTTCTCAACTTCTCTCTTGTTCGGCTCATTTCTGGTTTGCTCTTTCTCATCTACTACTTCCCGCTTCACTTCAGGCTTCTTATCTTCATCTGAAATGTCTCTACTGTGAACCTTCTTGTTATTGGCTCCATCGTGATACGTAAAGCTTCGATAAATGGACACAAACTCTCTTATCTTGTCACACGAGCTACTACAGTCTTTTGAATATTGTGTACCAAGAGCCGCCTCATGGAGTAGATTCAGTATTTCCTCTGGTGAAGCTCCCAAGCTCTCAAAGTCAATGGCTTTTCCAGCAGCGCTCTTCGTCATTCTCACTGCTACTCGGATCTGACTTGATTCAGATTCTATTTTGATCTTTCTCGCTCTCCAGCAAAAATCCGTCATATATTCTGGAGAAAGATACTTGCTTTTCTTCCTCTCTCTTTTACCTGTTTGCACTATAGTCTCGCCACTTCCATTGTTCATTTCAGCACTTGAAGAAACATCAAACCTGGGCCTTTTGCAGAGTGAGGCCAATGGAGTTGATAAATCAACAGTCATTTCAAGACCCGAATCCTGTTTCTTCTCACTGTCGTCTAAGTGGTTTGAGTCGTTTGATTCTTCTCTTTTCTCAATCTCGTCGTCATCATCATTATCATCCTCCAAATCCCTTTTGTTCTTCCTCTTCTTCGACGAAAAGCTTTTCCCATTACTACTAATATCTTCCACTTGCTTCAGATCAGTGTCCTTAATCTTACAAACCTCACCAAGTCTTCTCCTCAAAGTAGTAGAACCAGTGGTTGCTGCATCAGCAAGATCAACTTCATCACCATGTTTCCTCTTTTTACTAGCAGGCCCAGAGCATTTTCTTAATGATCTCTGCCAAGAAGAGTTGTCAAAATCCAACTCATTTGCATCCTCTTTGTCTTCAAGTCCTATTATATATCCATCCTCATCACATCTAGCTGAATCAAACCTTCCTTTAGACCGGTAAAAGGCGTATACTTTCCTCTTCAAAACCTCAATCTCTAGCAAATCACTAAAACTAACCGCTTTCGCAAGGCTCTGGACATCTTCAAGAATTTTTCCAGGTCTTTCAAGAACCAAAGACGATATGATCTCTCTTCTAACATCAGGCACAAGAACTCCTTCCTTTATACCAGAATTCACTGCTACACGACTAACCAGAGGCGCTTCATCACGAACCAACAGATGCTCAACATGTTCACCAATCTCTCCCACAGCTTCTTCCACAGCACTGAGAAAGCTTCTGGAACCGCTCGTCTTCGAAAACTCTCTGAAATTCTCCAGAAACGGTTGCAACTGCGATGGACTGCACCAAGCAAACCTCTGATTCCAAAAATATGCCACAAGTAATTTACCCTTCTGCATTTGCTTCAAAGCCAAGTCTGAAGCATCTGAAGAATCGTAAATCTTCCCAGGCCACCATTGATGACTATTGACTTCTTCTACCCACACAATATCTCCCACAAGGAACCCATTCTCTTCTTCTTCATCCTCTTCATCCTCTTCATCTTCTTCATCTTCATCGTCGTCATTGATCTCCTCCTCTTCTTCAAAATTAGCTCTGGAATCTTGCTTGGTGTTCAGCAACGAAGAAGCTTCACTCATCACATAATCATCGATTGGTCCAGCGTCGTTAACACTCTCCATCTTAACATCGTTCCCCTTAAAATTATCATCAGAATTCATATGACCTAAAACAGCTCCATCTTCGTTTTCAGAAACCCTTGAACCAGTCGCCACAAAATTTCCCATTGAACCCGAAGAGTCTTCTCGTTCTCTCAACACAACCTATCCTACAGTAAATGCAAACTAAACATTCAGAAATACTTCAAGGAAGAAACTTGTGCTCCGGACAATAACAAAAAAAAGAGGTTTTTTTACACGACCAAACACGCAAATTTTACACCTTGAAATCGAAATTACCTGAAGAAAAAGGAAAAGCGGGTACTTTTTCAGTTCGAGCAGCGAATCCAGAAACACCTTCTTCCTCGAATCCTGCGGCGCAAAGTTTTCGTTTTTTTTTCTCCTCTCGAGAAAATATAAGAAGGCAAAAAGGTAAATGTGTGATTTAATGCTTCGGCTTTGCTTATCTATTTTGTTCTGATCTCGTTCCAAGATTTGTTTCCTTTTTGTTTTATCGTACGTTAATATTAACAAAAACAATTTACACACTTTGTTTTCTGACATCTACAAGATACGTGCAAGAATTTGCCTACCTCTGTTTCCTTTTTCCCCTATCCGGTTTTTGCGTTTGATTTTACGATTTAGATACAAACGATTATTTAAAAAAAACATCAGATTAATATCCATTTAGCCATATTTATTTACTCCTTTGACACCAAGACCACATAAAAACTCGAACCTTGTGTTCTTCTTTTGAGCTACGCATTTCACCAAACACTTAATGTGCAGCTAAACGAAGCATACGCAGAAGGCTAAACCCGTAATGTGAAACGAAATTTGATTCAAATTACAATAATTTCTCAAAGCTGAATCAACAATTCCAAACGCAAACTATGCTAACAACAAAAGGACCCATAAATTCTGAGAAAAAAAAAGCACATTTTTTGAAAAACTTCCGTTTAAGCAATGGAAACCTTAGCACCAGCTTCTTCAAGCTGCTTCTTGGCTTCTTCAGCTTCATCCTTCGTCACGCCTTCCTTGAACTTCTTGGGCAAGCCTTCGATGAGCTCTTTAGCCTCCTTCAAGGCCAAGCTAGTCAAAGCCCTTACCGCTTTAATCACTGAAATACGCGAACTGCTGGGCACTTCGTTGATGACCACATCGAATTCGGTCTGCTCCTCCACTACAGCCGCCGCACCAGCACCGTCGCCCGGAGCAGCTACAGCCGCCGCAGCGGGAGCTAGAGAGAGTGGCGAGACGCCGAACTTGTCCTGAAGGTAATCGACGAGGATGCGGGCTTCTTCGAGGGTCAGGGACGAGATCTCGGATCCAATCTTCTCGATTTTCTCCGGAGCTTCGACGGCGGCGATGGGACGGAGGTTGATTGCTCGGTGGCTGAGCGTGGAAGAGGAAGCGCCAAAGCGAGCCGGGAATTCGACAGCGGTGGGTCGGGAAGGAAAGCAATGGGCGGAGGCGAGAGTGGGAGAAGATGAGGAACGGATTGAGGTTGCGATGGAAAGAGTCGTCGCTGCCATTTTCGCTCTTCCTCTTTGGGGATTTGCTTTGTGCGTCTCTCTGAGTGTGTTTGTAGGAGAAGATGATGAGGATAGAAAAACCAAGGATAAGGGGTAATTTCGAGAACTAAATTAATGGGTACGCTTGCTATCATGCGCCGTGTGTACACACAGAGAAGAAAATGTATGACAAAAAGTCTAAAATATAAAGGGGCGTTCCGAGAATCGAACTCGGGACCTCTCGCACCCAAAGCGAGAATCATACCACTAGACCAAACGCCCTTGTTGGTTTGTTGTGTCTCTTATATATTCAACTGCAACTTCCATTTCAAAAGTAAGCATATTATAATTGTAAATGTGATCACACTTTCCAACCTTTTTTTAGAGTTTTGTGTAATCACTATGACAAAGACGCAATTCTAAAATGTGTAACAACTAAAGACAGTTAGAAAAAAGTGTTATCTTGCCCATTTTCCATTTACACCTTCTAGGATACTTGTTGTTTGTGTTTTGGCATAGTCTTGCAAAACATTGTAAATGAGCATTCTAATTTTTTGAAAGACATGTACATTCCTAATTTTAGCTACTTTGAGCGTCTATAAAACGTTCTACCTTATAAAACAGAGAGCATTAGTAATATTCTTTTGAAACAACGTATTTTGATTGTTTGTCGTTTGACTGTTATTTTGCGTTGTTTTATACTGTATCTGGCTATCTGCTAGTGGTAGTGACCATTTTCATTAACCTTTCTATGGTTTTAGAGTTGCTCTCTTTCTTCGCGATACTATTTTGTTGTTGTATTAGTTTTGACTGATATGCTACTACAGCTCCAGTGGTTGAAACAAAGGCGCTTATGCATTATTGGTAGAATCAAACGTGTTAATCCTGTGGCCATATTCTCTTCTTGTACATATTACGTTATGTCTAAATCTCGTTCGTGAGGGTTCTAATGGTGGTTACATTGAAGAACCATGTGATCACTGGTACGTGGATGTTCATGTATGTCCCCGATGATCAAGAAAGGCTTTTTTCCGTTTTAAAAGGATGCGTCACTCAATCTTCATTCTGTTTTATATGATTGGTGAAGACAGCTACTTTAAAGGTCAACCATGTCTCACATAGCCAAAAATGTATTATGAACCAAACTATTCAGCAAAATTTAACCGGTGTTCGAACCCATTTTCCTACACCAGTTATAATTTATATGCAATATCTATAAACAAAAACACAGTTTCGATAGGATGAAATGAAACCAATCGCAGTTAAGCAGCTATATGTCTCCTAACCTCTTAGTGTGAGTTACTTCTCATTTTCAATTTCAAGCTATACGCATTTCAACAAACATATTATCTGCAGCTGAAGAAGCACGCGACAATGGCTAATTCCGTTCTTGGAATCCAAATCGATTCAAAGTACAATAATTTATCTTGGGTGAATCAACAATTTCCAGACGAGAACTATGCTAAACAACACAAAAATCAAAATGATCCATAAAATCCCACAAAAGAAGAACACTTTTACATTTTCCGATTTTTAAAAAGCTTAAGCAATGGAAACCTTGGCACCAGCTTCTTCAAGCTGCTTCTTGGCTTCTTCAGCTTCGTCCTTGGTCACGCCTTCCTTAAACTTCTTCGGCAACCCTTCGATGAGCTCCTTCGCCTCCTTCAAGGCCAAGCTAGTCAAAGCCCTTACCGCTTTGATTACTGAAATACGCGAACTACTGGGCACTTCATTGATGACCACATCGAATTCGGTCTGCTCCTCCACTACAGCCGCCGCGCCAGCACCGTCGCCCGGAGCAGCCACAGCCGCCGCAGCGGGAGCTAGAGAGAGTGGTGAGACTCCGAATTTATCCTGGAGGTAATCGACGAGGATGCGGGCTTCCTCGAGGGTAAGGGACGAGATCTCGGATCCAATCTTCTCGATTTTCTCCGGAGCTTCGACGGCGGCGATGGGACGAAGGTGGGTTGCACGGTGGGTCAATGTGGAGGAAGAAGTACCGAGGCGAAACGGAAATTCGATTGCGGTGGGTCGGGAAGGGAAGCCATGGGCTGAAGCGGTAGTGAGGTAAGAGGAGGAGCGGATTGTGGTTGCGATGGATACAGTCGTCGCTGCCATTTTCACTCTTTGGCTTCTTCGGATTTGTTATGTCTCTCTCTGTATGTGTTGCTCTAAGAGTACGAGAGACGAAGAAGATGAGGATAGAAAAACCAAGGATAAGGGGTAATTTCGACTATTCAAAAATATTTACGTTTGCTATTATGCGCCTATACACGTAAAGGAAGGTGTATCGGCTCGTGTTTTGACGAAAAGGCCCCTTGAAAAGGAGTAGAGTAGATAAAAAGATAAAAAGATAAAAAGATAAAATAAAAACGGGGCATTCCGAGAATCGAACTCGGGACCTCTCGCACCCAAAGCGAGAATCATACCACTAGACCAAATGCCCTTGTTGACAGAAATGTCCTTATTAACAAATACCTTATCATCATTTATCATTCAGAAATTTGAATCAAAGTTCCTCGTAGTGAAAACATTTTTCTTTTTGTCAACAAGTTTATAGTGGAAACATTCTCTTTTAGATCAAAAGAAGCATATAATAATAATCGTATATTAATGTAATCACATTGAGTAGTTTCGAATTATCCCTTCTATATTTTTTTTTCCCACCAATGCTACAAACAACACAGGCAAATCCCATTTCCAATGAATCCAAAACCCTCCCAGTGGTTTCAAAGCCTGCAGCAAAGAGGCTTTTCATTTTTCACCATCTACGGCGTCTCCTCCCATACCAAAACGCAAACGCAGCAACGGATGCAGCAACAACGACTCCAGTCGCCGCGTGCCATAAATGCAAAGGCTTCGCCATCACCACCACTCCTGAAGACTGCCTCGCCATCTCTGAGCTCGGAACATCCTTAACTTCCGGAACTATATGCTGACTCACCACGCTCTGAGCAAACCCGAGCCCTTCTCTTCCCAGTTCTTCCAAATCAGTCACAGCTGGTTTCAACTGTGTCGCCTTTGAGATAGTTTCATATTCTTCTTTAGTCCCTCCTTCAAGAAACGACCCAACGAGGTGACCTTTTTTAACCCAATACGCTCCAAACGCTTTGCCGTCTTCATACTCCCCAAAGTGCACAACTTCACCCACAGGGTCTCCGTAGAACTGCCACGAGAAGGCAAAGACCCTTGAGTAGAAAAACGGCAAGTAGTCAAATTCTCCGGTCTTTTCTGGCTCCATGATGGCTGAAACAGCGTGCAGTGCGGATTTCCTAGCCGAGTCCACGTGCTCAAGCCTCCTCATTTCGCCAAATATTTTCACTGGGAATGTAGCTACATCGCCTATTGCATACACCGAGCTGTCACTTGACTGCATTTTGCTGTTCACTTTGATCCCTCCTTTCTCTATCGTTAGCTGTCCTTCAAACAAGCTCGTGTTTGGTCGTATTCCAATTCCAACCACGACCAAATCTGCTGGTAACTGGCTCCCATCTTTGAGATTGACCGCCGTGACCTGCAAATCGAAATCCCAAAAAGCTCATTTCAATGCTATCGTTCTATTGGCATCTTCCAAGTTGAATCTCAAGCTTAAAAAACAAAAATCTCTAACCTTTTTATCTGAGTCAAACTCAAATGATGTCAAAACCGTTCCTTTGATGAATTTCACTCCTTTAGCTCTGTAGTATTCTTCATACAAACTTGCAATCTTGGGCGTAAAGAGACGCGCCACTGTCATAAGAAACTTAAAAAGGTCAAGCCAACACCACAGACACAAGCTTTCTCTTTTTACACGTAAGTTGAGTAATAATCGAGAGTACTTACTGCAGTGAGCCTCTGGAAAAACCATGGTCACATTGATCTTGTTGATCACTAAAGATGCAGCACACTCCATGCCGATATAGCCACCACCAATAACAACAGCATTCCCATTGGAGCTTGATTGGATCGCAGTGGCAAGCCTATTTGCGTCGCTCAGATCTCGTAAGTAACAAACGTTTTCAGCATCTGAGCCTTCCACGCCAAATTCCTCGAGCTTCAACGCCTGCTTGCACAAGCCACATGTGACAAGAATAAGGCCACGACGACTTTAGCAATTCAAAGCTCTAAGCTTTAAACTACCACAAAGTCCTTTAAAAATGTTCACAGCATCCCATAAACGTTCCAGTATTACAAAACCACTGACTTCAGTCAATTTTTTAAATCTTTAAAGATAATAAGTAATAACAGATCGTAACATCTCAAGGACGACAATAAGATGATGAGAACCAGTAATTTTATCATATACGTTAACATCATTTTCTCACCCGCACACACACTCTTACTTTTGGAAAACGATTATCATATATATTACTGTGCAATACATACCCTGGCACCTGTCGCAATGATCAAGAATTTGTAACTTATGGTTTCCCCAGTGCTCGATAAAAGAGTCTTCCTCCTCACATCAACGGACTTAACACGAGTTCCAAGGACTAATTCAATTCCTGACAAAAGCATCTCGCAAAATTTGTCAGAACTTACTCTCATAGTCAAAAAGCCTAGGTTAAGTAGTTCTTTCTCCTAAATCAAAAGTGCAAATGTAATTACCATTTTCCTTGTACCATTTCGGAGTGAGCTTCTCATCATTAGCCCCAACACAAGTGTGGAAAGAAGGAAGCCGTGCAGGAGCTGCAGATGAGATCTTGCGTTAGCCCTTACATAGCCTATTATGGGTCTATTAGCTTCCCCTAAATCCAAAAGCAGAAAAACACAAGCTACCAAGTTTCTCTTACCTTCTGGCAGCAGAAAACCTTTGCTTAACGCGGGCCTCTCATATGGTGCAACCTTGAGAAAAAAGCAAATACAGCAATCTGATTATTGATAGAGCGAAACAATCAATATGTCATAACCAAACAAGCATGAGTGAAAAAACATGAATCACAAAACAGAAAGCATTAAGTGAGACAAGGATTGTTCGAACTAATTCGATAAACCATATCCAGAGATGCATAAACCTCATAGATTACTCATCGTTGGAGGCCAGATGCTAACAATGCATTCATGTGCTTATGAGACATGACAATACAAGACACTTTTAGTCCCCATGTACTGATTCTTGCAAGCTACTCTTTAATTAGTGTAACTTTCACCATATGTCCACCATAATGCAATCAAGACTAATGTAAAGGATTTCAAAAATCTTGAGCAAAACCCTAATCTTTAAAGAAACCCACACGAAGTTAGTATAGACTCTAAAAGTAGAAAGTATCAGAAAAGCTCTGGCAATAAGGGACAAAAGAGACAGAGACAAACCTAACCAATTTCAATTTTAATAACCATCAAAGCCACCCAAATCCAAAAACGAGGTTAAAAGAAACTTTCAATCAAAAACTACTGATAGTAACGAAAACCAACTACAGAGTCACTCGAAATCAGAGTGGAGAATTCAGGTGAGAGAGAGAGAGAGAGCGCTAATTAATACTTCTTCAGATGAATCAATAAAGGACCCACCACCATGAAAGGAAAAGCAAAAAGCATAGATTCTCTCTTCTTCTCGCTATCAAAACAATAAAAATTCGAACTTGATCAAGAAAGAGAGAGAGGGAGAGATTTACGGGTTCTTCGGAAATGATGCAGAGTTCGCCCTCGGAGACACCTTTCCTCGTGAATTCGAGAGCAGCATAACCAGCAGCAACACCTCCTCCGAGAATTACATACACGAAAGCTCTTCCCATGCCGCTTCTTAGATTCTCGAGAAAATCCTAAACATCTGAATATGTGTTGTGAATGGAGATATTTTATTTTCTTCTTTTTTTAAATTTCCCGAGAAAACAATATTTTGAGGCACAGAATTAGAAATTTCTTCTGTTATCGGATCTTTTCCACCAGTGAATGATTTTCGAGGATTGTATTTGTGCATTTACAATAGTACCCTTTTGACTTCTTTGTTAAACAAACGGTGGATGTTAAGCTAAAAAACGATTTCAATAGATCTGGACCATCCATTTCCAGACAGATGATGATGATAGTGGGACCCAGCTTAGTCTTTGCTTGCACGACTTGCTTGGCCCATCGTCATTGGTAAACAATATCAAATCGTCAGAATGAAATTTGCTAAAACAGATTAATACTAATATTTTGGATGCATCTCTAAGTTCAGAACTTTGAAAACTGGTTTGTTTAATGAAACCCAACAAGGATCCAATCCAAACAAACTGTAGATTGTAGAATAGTACAGAGATGTTCAAAATTACAAATTATCCACTTATAAAAAAAAAAAGTAACAAATTATAGTTAGTCAAGTGTCAAGACCATGAGGTATTTGTATTGGGAAGTGTGGTCGAGATGAGGATATATGATGATGGCACGAGAATTAAATCCAAAGCGTTAAAATGAATAATTTTTTTTTAGTATATCGCTAGACAAAACGAGGCTTTTGATCGTAGACTTGTATTTGGAGCCACATACATTTAATTATCCTGTTTTTTATTGTATATTATAAGAACATGAAATAATATATATTAACTTGTGATTGAACGGTATGACACGTATTTGAAGTAAACAAAAACCACAATACAATGTTTTCTTTTTCGGACTTAAACTAAAAACCAAGAATCCTCTGATCCTTTGCATTAACATAAATGTTAACACACATTTATGTATTAGAAACACGTTAATGTAAGTTTTGAGCTTTTAATTATGATGAGATTGTATTGAAATTTGATTTGATGATATCTTTATTATTTAGGAACAAGAGACAAAGAAACTAAAAAATTCCTCCGATTCACAATAGAAAAATACCGAATCGGGCTTGCCCTTTGGGTTCTTTCTACCAATATATATGGGCCTTCTCTCACATACAGGCCGTAGCGGTAAAAGACAGCTCAGTGTAAAAAACAACAAAATAGTTTGTTTAAATGTAAACGTTAAAAAACTTAACAAAAGTTTTTGTTTAATATTGGCATTTACAATTTCCCAAAAAAAAAAAAAAAAAAATAGTTTAATGGTTGTTGGTTTATCTAGAAGACTAGAACAAATATGTTGCTAAACGTAAAAACTAATACAAACAAAACTGTATCATATTATATATAATAGAGTATTGTGAACTTAATTAGTAGTGATGAGTCTGATGACTAATTTTGGAGTTCCATTTTATACACAAAAGTATCAGCAATTCGGTTTGCGACCTTTGGATGTCAAACATGACGAGAAATGAAACAAATGTGCGATGGAACGTGACATGCATGCCTCTAGAGATCTTTCAAGTGCTATCATTAGTCATTAATTACTCTAACTTGCTCGGCAAAGCATGTTTCGGTAAACATATTCATTAACCTACAATCTATGTGACTCCTACAGAAAACCAAATGTTGCCAAGTATCTATATATAAAAATTATAAACTCTAGTAGAATATATATGTAAAACTTTAGTCAGTTCTTGTGAATTCCCTTTCTCTCCATCGTTTTTGTTATTCAACTACAAATAGTAGTTAGACATAACACCATTGGCCGAACATCTCTTAGAGAAAAGTCTCGAGGGTTGAGGCAACTGACAATAGTATGAACCATGAACTAATTTTACTGTCCTTTATGTATTATTTAATCATTAATTTGACAATTAATAACCCGATAATAATCAAAATCTTTTTAGACAGATGAGCCGACTTCAACATTAAATGAATAAATAAAGTTAAAAATATGTCAAACTCATCGAGACGGGAAGAAAATGGTTTATGCTATATATAGAAAGTACAGCTAAGGCATACGGCTGCCTTGAACAATGGCACAAGCAAATAAATATGTACAAAACAAAAAGAGAAGGTAAAAAAAACCCAATTCTTCCACGTTTATTTATATGTAAATTATCAACTACTTGTATGTTTGTGACAGACCCGCCATGTGATTTTTCCTTTCTAATTCACATGGGAAGTCGGCAATTCCCACATGATAAACACGTTGGCCTAATACAATAAATAAACACGTGGCCCATTTCCATATTCATTTCGAATTCGAAAGTATGGTTGAGATATAATCTAATAAGCATAGTGATAGCTTAATCTTAACTTATACTCCCTCCGTTCAAAACATAATTGATGTTTTATGATTTATTTTTGTTTCAAAAAGTTTGATTTTTTTATTATATTTAATCCGATTCTTTTTCCAAAAGCATTTATTCTTGGGGAAAGAATATATACATTAACATAATCACTATAAAAGAATATTAAAATAAAAAAAAAAGTAATTGAAAAGGATAAATTATAATTACTTCTTAAAATTTGTGAAAAAAACTAAAAAATCAAATGTGATGTAGCATGTAATCTGGATATATATAATTAAGATAGTATACAGTGCATTATTGATCGGAGACGTATAGTTGAATCATATATTGAGATTTAGAAAATATGAATGAGAAACAAAAACTTCATTTTAAGAAAACAAACTCTTGCATCAATAGTATTAGCTAGTACTACATTCATTACTTGAACTATTGAGGCTGAAAACAGTTCATGTTATGAGCATATATTCGGATACGAGTCATACGACGTTTGAATCGATATGATATTCGATCTAAAAACTCTATTTATTCAATAACATCACATCGTGCATATATACTGTATTTCAAAACTTGAATCTTTTAATATTCTGAGAGCAAGCTAAGTGATCACTTCAAGATATATCTCTCACTTGTGTTTATATTAGTTATATAAGTTTAAAACATATATTAAATAAATATTTAGTTATTTTAAAAATGTTTAGAATCTGAATGACGACGTAAAGACCAGACCGGAAAAGATAATGCATTTCCTTCCTTGCTATAGTATTTGCACTACTTTTCGTTCCGTTTCGCTTTTTTTTGTTCTCATTTTTTTATAATGCATAATTTGTAAGCGCGTTAAAAACTTTACGTATCAGAATCAATATCCAAAAAGAAAACAAATACTTATGTATTGCCCATAAAAAAAAATTTGAAATATTAAATATTCCTATTCTAGCCAATGCATAGAGAAGAGGAAGTGGAGCTTGGATTTATCCTCTACACATGCTTCATTCGGACAAAATATGTCGTTGGCTAAAGACTTAAAAGTTAAAGAAGTTCGGTAAAGCTTTAATGCTTTTGCCGTCTTGCTATAGTGCTTACACTTCCCGACCTAACATCATGTCCAATATCCAATTACTCTATCCATTTTATAAAAAAATAACAAATCTACACATATTATCAGGAGTATATGTCAAATAGTCTACCCATCTTGGCTTTATTATCACATCAATCTATATAAATAATTGCTGCTCAATTACTCATTACGTTTCCAGCTCATCGAATCTTATTTTTCATCCCATGTTGGTATCTTTTTTAGGTGTAAATATTTATGGTTTTGAAGTATGGATAGAAATATCAATGAGAATGAACCATTATATACATTGATCTTTTATTAAAACAAGGTCCATATCTTCGCCTTAAAGGTTGTGGTTTTGGTACTTAGTGGAGTTAGGCTTACGTCGGGTTCTGCATGTTGAATGGCGATGCCCAAAAATGGATAAAAATTGTTGAATAAAGGCAACGAGAACTGTACCAGAAGCTATCTATTTTTAGCCATCATGTGATATGTGTCTTATTGCAATTGGTGAGATTAGGTTCTGTATGTTTTTGTCGTGTGATATGTACATACACCAATCCACATGTATATATATACACACGCCTAACTCATGCGTATGTTTGTACATATATATGGACGAACAATCAAGGTTCGTCTCGATATCATCATACGCTTAAAAGCATTTCTCTGTTTTGACATTTTTTTTACGTCTTGCTTTGTTTTAAAATTACCGAATTTTTATTTTCTTATAATCTGTGATAGCATTATAAGTTTAAAACTATAGATTTAAATGTGGTTTGTTTAGTAGATAGTTGTATCGGTCCAGTACAACGTTTAATAGGGTACCACATCTATTATGTTTGGGGAGGGAATTAGAACAAAAAAACTCCCTTTTAATAACTTTTTTTAAAGGTACATTTACGGCAATTGACGCAATCATTTGCACTGAATCTATTGTCATATACGAACTATTACTATTAGAATACGAATACAATCATTATCCCTTATTTTTTATTGTCAATGACCCTTTCCGTTTATGAAGATTTGATCATGTTATACTTTTTTGTTTGTTTCATGAAAAATGGGAATTTGGTTGTAACTAAACACTATTTAAAATATTGGTATAAAGATAGATTATACATTTTTTCAGTGTTTGGTTTTTGTAGGGCACATTTTAATATTTGATTAGGATGAGTGAATGAGAGAATAAAGAAAGGGGCATTATATCTAAAACAGATTAATCATATGTAAAAAGGTAAGTTGTGTTCTCGTATATACATGACAGTTGAGACTCGAACAATTCACAAGACAAATATCAGAAAAGTAAATGACCCCTTTCAGTTTTATTTATGTATAACATCAAATGGGGTGTAATAAAGTTCAAAACATATACCAAGGATTTAGATAATTAATAGTATAATATGAAAGTTTATCCCCAAACCTCTAAACAACGAGGCAAAAACCATATACATGTCACATACTAATCATATCACTCCTAAAAATCACAAATTCTCATAGTAATATTCCATATTTTGTTTTCCGATATAATTGATTAATCAATTACCATTGAGTAAATGCATTGATGACCAAATATCATCCATGCCCCAATAGTTTTCACCGGGTTGATCATCAACGGTCATCGGTACCGGAAAGTCCACCGTTGCCGTTGCCCCTGCTGCCGAATAGTTACCCGCCGAATAGTTTCCGTAGTTGAATTCCATATTCGTATGTTGATACGACGTTGGTGTAGGAGAATAAGTCTCCATCGCTTGATCTTGTGTACAAAAGACATTATGGCTCGACGTGCTTGCAGCTTGATCATTGATTTCTGAGCTCTGGTGAGATCCAACGGATGACGTTGTTGTTGCTGTTACATCACTTTGTTTGATGTATTTTTGGATTCTTGTCCTCCAGAAATTCTTGATTTCGTTGTCGGTTCTTCCTGGAAGGTGTTTAGCGATTTTTGACCACCTATCATCATATAATTGAGAGTTAAATGATTAATGATACTATAAGTTTAATTAATATATATCAAGAGCTCGTTTATTAACATAATTGAATTAAGAGTTAATTGATTAATATTGCTTCATATATGATGAGCTAATGATTGTTGTGGGGTTAGAGGTCTAATCCGTGACTGCATCGGACCAAGTACGTCTAGATGAATCCAAAACATTAAGGTTTGCGTCTATTTCAGTTATGCTTTTCCTTTTCGTCACGAGACTTTTTACTTTTGTACGGTTATTACATGTACTATGTTTGGATCTTTGTCAATTTTTCTTGATAATTATTTTGTGGTAATAAAGTCTTATAAAGTTTATCGCTTATTATTTTGTTAAAAGCGTTACTTTTTGTTTGTTTGTTTGTTAAAGGGGTTTGTGAAGTGTAATTTTATGATCTAGTAAAAGCTTGCTATCAATAGAGTACATTTTACTTTATCAAAAAAAAAAGTAAATTGTTAATATTTTAGAGAAGTGACAGATATAGTTTGAAACCAACCCAAATATTCAGAAAGTCTAATTCGAGAGTTGTGAAAATTTTGAACCTAAATATCATTTGGCTGATAAAGTCTTGAGCCGTAACCTAATACCCAAAAGGAGTTGACTACAGATAAAATGATAACTAAATCGCACTTACTTGAAAGATGCGATACTTTTTTCTTTATTGAATTAGAGAATCATGTACCTTGTAATCTTGGGCCATATTTTCCAGCTCTTTACATATAAAACAAATAAAAATAGAAATCGGATAAAACAAACAGGCAAGGAAATAAATAAAGCCGCGTAAATCTTTCAGAAACGTGGGAAATCACACTTGAATCATTTATAATAAAATAAAAAATCGTAAAGATATAGGCACGAGTTTTGGGAGAAATAGGCACGAGGTTTTCATGTTGTTTTTGATTGAAAAAGCACGAGGTTTATTGTTAGTGGCTAGACAATTTCGACACGTGCAACAAACTCAGAGCTGACGGCTAAGAACAAACTTCGATCAAAGGTTGTCACAAAGGAATTAAACGCTTTGTTGCTTCAGTCACCACATATGTTGCTTTTGTCTTTTTAAAGATTGATAGGATTAAAAGAAGTAGTATTTTCAGAGATCTACATGGCATATAGCCTCAAGAGTTTATAAATATTTAAAGTTCGAAAAACTTTGCCTTTGTTCTTTCGTTACACAGTGTATATGTATGCAGTATGTGTGTGTTCATCTTTAACAAAAGAAAAAAAAAGTTGTGTATTTATAGACATTTATATACGTAACTTAAAACTAACCTGTTTCCCCACTTAGCATGAAGTTCCATGATGATAAGTTGCTCCTCCGGCGTGATGTTTCCTCGTCGCACGTCGGGGCGGAGATAGTTCAGCCACCGGAGTCGGCAACTTTTTCCGGTGCGTTTTAGACCTATACATTCACATAATCATGTTATTGATCCGTACCACATAATAATAATTAGTATGTGTTATACATCAATGCTTATCAAAAATACTGCTATCCATGTATTAAAAATAATTTTATTTATTTATTTATTTTTTTACCAAAAAAAAATTATTTTAGTTCCAAAAAAATATATTTTATCACTTGGCGTAAGATAATTTACACATGAAAACGTCTTTAATATTTAGTTTTTCTGGATTCGATCTCATTTTTTTTTCTGACCAGCGAGCGAGTATAAGAAATCATTTATTCGGTTTTTATATATTATAGAACTAAAGTTAATAGATAATAAATTATGATTTACATGTAGATATAAATATATTTATTTATACAAGAAATGAACGCGAAGAGAAAATACTATTTGCTGTATGATTATATCTTTGCATGTTATGCCGAAACCCTAGTTCAGTACATTAGCATACAACGTAAAAGAAACATATTTGTTATTATAATTGAAATTTGTTTTTTAAGAAGAAATTAAATGAACCTGCAGATTTGGCGAGAGAGTTCCAAACGCCATCGCCGTGGTTGGCGATATAGTTGATAAGAATTAGATCTTCTTCCATCGTCCATGGTCCTTTTCTCACCTCAGCTTCTCCTGAAGATCCTGAAGCTCCACTACTTATTCCACCTCTTTTCTCCATTTTATTATTGCTTATCCACACGATCGAGTTTTATATAATATATATATATATATATATCTAGAGAGAGAGGAATATAAAGGAAAGAGAGAGAGAGAGAGAGAGAGAGAGAGAGAGAGAGAGAGAGTACGAGAGAAGGTTGTGGTGAGTTGATATTGAAGGTTGTGGAAGGTGAGCTTCTGCTTTTATAGAGACTAAATTCACCGCGTGATTAGCATATTAATTAATCCAAATTCTTAATTAATTATGAATTACCATTAGCTTAAAAATCTAATTAATCATCAAACTAATTTTCTTAATTGTAAGGATATATACTATACTAATAACACATGGGACTGTATCTAATACCTTACGACCTAACCATATACGAGAACATATATAGTTTCATCATCCATGCATGTCCTTATGATATGTATATATAAATATATCATATATGTTAAATATCGAAGATAGTCTTTGATGCACTCATGCATGCTGCACACATACATGCATGCATTGCCATTTAGGTTCACATACATACGGATGCTTGTTGATGTGTAGGCATTATATTTATACCAAATCATGTTGTTTTCTAAGTATGGATGAAGTTATACTTTAGGAGTGTTTATGTGTGTGTGTGTGTATATATATCTATTTTAACGCCAATATTAGATTCCAACATTTATAAGTTAAAATCAAAGACATCAAATTTGTTAGAATTAAGCATGAAGTCAGTCAACTAAAAAATGATTATTCATTGGTTATCATATCTTTTGGTGTAGATTATCAGTCGATTTCGACTAGACTCCAATTTTTGGGATACGACGGAAAATTTACATACGAGTATAATTTCATATTAGTTTGGATTTTCAGTATCGGTTTACATCGGTTTACCTCCCGGCTTACATGATCCTGAATTCCTAAGACTTTGTGAACAAACAGCATGCCGTTCCATGATAGACTTTTATGTCAATCTATTCCTTGCCGACGTCACAGCACACACAAGCCTCGACGTTCTAAAATATTCAGTACGGGACTCCTTGTCGTTTTTTCTAAGTCAACATCAAAATCGCCCATACATTTAAATTCCCGTTGACCCAATCACCGAATAATATTTGATGGTACAACACGCGGCCGGGTAAATTAATTTGGTAGAGTAAATCGCTTTGTACTTGGACAACTTAATGATCACTATATGATTTTGTAGTCTTGTATTCTCTCTCATAAGGAAATTGACAGAGTAAATTAGTAGATAGCCTTTAATTGATCATGACGCTAATTAACTTTTTTTTTGTTTTGTTCTATTTTGTTAATGACGCTACTTAGCCTAATTAGTAATCGAACCGATACTCTATTAGTAAACAAACAAAGAACAGGACAAAGAAAGTACAAAGACGGAGACACAAGAAGATCCTGACTCTCTAAAAGTTAACTCACTCTAAAGTCTAATCCCTAACCAAATTAAAATCCACTTATCTTAAGAGTGACAAGTGACTTACTCCTAACTTAATGAAAAACCTTTAACATCTAAACTAATCAAGTGAAAGACCCTTCACACTTCATTTAGCAAGTACTTGCTTTTGTTGCCACATCCATGCTCTTTTGATGGGCGATAACATGCGTTTATCTAGATTTTTAAAAAGTTATGATTAGATGGACTTTGACGTAACCTATATATAAAGCTGCCAACATTATTGTTTTAGGCTTTTAGCCTTTGATTTTAAAAGCAGTTTAGAGAACATTTATAAACAAAATTTACACAATGAAATATAAAACATTTTAAACTTCCATAAATAACTACGTCAAGTGCAAACACTACGCTTGCGAAATCTTTCCTGTAACAAAAAAGGGTTCGTTTTCCGTTTGATTTGAATGTTTATGTTTACAATAAAAACGATTTGTTGTTTGTTTCAGATGCTCTGTGGGTTCATGTGGAAACAAAAGAAAATACAATTAAAGCAAAACGTAAGCAAAAATGCAAACAACCGATCGAGATTTAGAAGTATAAATAGTATGCGGTTTTTATGTTTACGTTAAAATTTATTTTAAATGAGAGTTATACAATGTATATAAATTTCTGTTTATGACTTCAAATTATTCTTATTATAATTTAATTAGTCATTATAATGGACAAATTTTTATACAACATACATGCAAATTTGACTTAAAACAATACCCAAAAAATGAATGACCCATTTGTATACCCGACACAGATATTCAACTTCGAGTTGATACATAGAACCAATAACATTGAATTTGAATATAAATTTTGAAATCATAGAACCAATAACTGAATTTGAATATGAATTTTAAAATTATAGATTCAATAGCACTAGATTTCCAAATTAATTAAAATATAAAAACCAATAACACTCTCTTAACATTTGAGAATTTGAGATCAGATAAATGATTTATCTACCTAATTCACAATATTTACAAAGAAAAATTAATAAATAATAATGGAGTGATCGAATTTTCATCGTTAAAGCATAGTTAAAGAGTTTCCATATTTGAAAGAGCACTTGATTTGGCGTTTCATCCAGAAGTTAAGTACTCTTAAGCCATTTTTAAGAAAACCCCACCCATTATTTTTGTGGCTGCAATTTGATTAATAAGTCGAAACTTAGTCTTTACTCAATTACTCCCCTCTTAAGCGCGTCGTATTGTCATCTCTGAAGACAAATCAGTTTCTTACAAAATAGTTTTATAAATAGTACTTTTTTCTGTTGGATTGGCAGAACTTATAATTGTTTTTTTTTTTTTGGAACTTTAACTTATAATTGTTTTAGTAGAACAAACGTAAATTTAATATTTTCTTTATAATTCCGGGTGAACAATCCAAAAATATATAATAATAAATTATTATAACAGAAACAAATCAGATAACGTGAATCAGGTAAATAAAGTGGAACTCTCATAACTTATTTTTATTTTCATAATTTAACTTGAAACAGAGCTTAAATAAATAAAAAAATTATCATCAAATTTTGAACTTGTGTTTTAATTTACCTAAACTTTTTTTGTAGGACACTAATTGAGTTATTGACAGTCGTTGTATACTTGTATTACAATTTTTGTAATGATCTTGAGATACTAAATATGTTAAGTTTGTTTATACCCAAAAGTTATTACTGGCAAAAATATATTAAAAGTGTTTCTCGTACACGCAAGGAGGCGCGTGAAGAAAATGAATCTTAAAATAAGCAGAAACTGAAACGTAGACTCCTCTCACCTTCACAGTAAGCAAATGTTTAAAAAGGGCAAAAGCCTATTGCTTTATGTTAATGTCATGGAAGATTTAATGGAAATCCTGTAAGTAGAAAAAAACAAGGCTTATGGGGTTTAATGGCAGTGTCAAGTGGCTTAAGCTTTGTTTATATGAGTGGCTATAAGAATGACAAGCATAAGATCACCAATTAGATATGTGCGGGGACCTTAAGATATGAAGAAACACACGCATGTGAATATGTGATCCCATCTCTTTTTTAAAAAAAAGAATATGTGATCCCAACAACTAGTTTTTTATTTTTTTATCAACAATTTCTATGTTTTCTTTTATAGTAAATTAAGTTAATGGCAAAAAATTAGAAGTATATAAGTAAATGATAATTATTTTTCATCTATATTTTTTATCGACGTTTTATGACGTGGGTTTATAACTGATAATCCAAGTAAACTAATGAATAGATTAGGCGCTCGACTTTCATATAAAAAAAAAACATAGGTGCTCCACTTTCAAAGACCGTATTACAAAATTTGTGGCATATAACCATTACGAAATTTGGGGGCGGGGAAAAAAGTGTGTGTTATGGATAACGCAGGCCAAGAATCCAATAAGATGTTGTAGTACAACCACATGTTCCAAGTTGTCCGATTGTTTTTCTTTGGTTGTTGTTGCATTGGACCCATCTTAATTAAATCTATACTTGAAGGAAAACAATTTTGATTTATATATTTTCTTTTTTGATACATTAATATATATATATTGAACATGGTAACATTTTCGAAAGTCGAAACATATTAATGGGTCTAATGGATGAACATGATTAGAAGAAAACAAAATATTTAAAAAAATTACTCGGTACTGGAATTTATCTAGTAAAAAGGAATTATTTTCTGGATTATTTTCTTTCTTTTTCACTTTAAATAGTCATGTGAAATGTTTGCCGGTTTAAAAGATGAGGATTTTTGTTTACTCTCATTATCATTTTTCCTCTCCAATCTATTACTCTACTTTCTCTAAATTATTAATCTGAAACAACACCAGATTTTTTTTAAAAGGGGTTCTAAAACAACACCAGTTAGACTCATTGTGATATTACTAACACGATAGGTAAAATGAACTAATCGAATTTTTCATTAAGAAACATTTGTTCCAAGATGTCCAAGATATTATTAGTACATCTGTACATGATTGAAAAGTTTTATCATAGCATCTTTAGCTATATATGCATCAGCCATTGCGTCTCTTGATATTTTCATGAAGCTATATTAATTGCAGGCTCCTATGTAAATAAATATCAGCGAGTGCTTCCATTTTGAGAGTTGTTGGGTAATCTCCGTGTTTTCTAGCAGTTTGTAGAAGTCCGATGAATCACCATAGATTGTATTATTGTGCCAGCGCTAAAATCTGAGCTTTAACTTCAAGTGGTGTGTTCGTTGGATTGATGGCTGCCCAACTTTTTCGAGTTAATTTGTCTTCTTTGTTGTACATAGCCCATTCTGTCCATGCATGTTGAGATGGAGAAATCCATGAGCCATCTACAAATTTAACAACAAGAATCGTTGATTCTTAGTATTGAAATGTCTCACATCGATAATTTGGTTGTATTGTGGATAATATAAATAGTACGTGACAACCTTCCATTTTTAAACTGGCTTTTGAGTGTGAGTTATGTTCATTACTAATATGGTATCAAACTCATGTTCCAACTATTTTAATTGTGACCCATATCCATAATTCACGTTTCCAATGTCCAATCCTAAGCGTGAGAGAAGTTTATTGGAATGTCCCATATCAATAGTTTAGTTGTATTGTGGACAATATAAATAGTATGTAGTAACTCTCCACTCTTAAACTAGTTTTTAAGTGTGAGTTAAACACATTACTGATATGTAGAATAACTTCTTAAAATGTATATTAATTACTGTATTATCTTCAGTTTTCTTCTTGTGGGTTGTGGTAATTGTTTTTGCAATTGCTTAGCTCCAAAACTATCTACATTTGTCCCTTCAGACACTATATTAAAATCCACTACTGCTTTGTTGATTATGTCTGAAATAGACCATTTTTGTTTTAAGAAACCAAACTTTTGGATGAAGACGTGCGACTGTCACCATTGTCATCCAGCTGACTAGGCGTAGAAGAGTTTCTTCATTCATGGAGGAAACAGAGGCAAACACTTTCACTAAATATTTTCATAAAAGAATTAATTGATATAAAAACTATTCCCCGACTTCTATAGTAAAAGAAAGTATATTAGCTAAAGAGAAGATCGATAAAATAACTTGGGCCGTGTCAGCGATGCCTTTCTCCAACATGAGATCATTGTGTGATTACTCTACTAACTTCACGCCTGAAATAAACACAGACAACTGGAAAATAACGATGAAAATGCTTGGATTGTTTTAAACGCATTTGACATTTGAGACATTTTTTATACATGAAATCTTTTAAGTTTGAGGAGGACATGTAGCCTCGATTGTTTCAAACGGATTTCTGCGTTAGCGTTTGTATTTCACAATTTTTAACATTCTCGGGTTTTCAATATATAATATTCTCCAAAATGCAGTGCGTTTGGCGTTTACATTAACAAGTAATAAAAACTTTTCTTATAATTGTCTAAAAGGTTGTGGATTCAACCAAAAAAGGTTGTCGATTCATTTGGATTAGAGAAAAAAAAAATAGTAAACGTAAGATGACCGAAAGTGCTTTTTGAATGTACTTATTAGGAAGAAAACCGAAAGTGTACAAATTTCAAACTCGAGTTATAATTCTAAATGTTCAAAAAGAAGAAGGTATAATTTTATATGATTTCGACGATTGATGAGTGACTCTAAGTTTTATACAGTCTCGTTTATTTTTGCTGCGTTAACTGCATTTGGAAGATCCTGTTTGGTGGCAAACACCAACAGAGCGAGAGAGAGAGACCGATGTATATATTTCCTCGGCTTCCTTTTCTAATTTGCAGCGACATGACATGCTTCATAGTTTCACATGCATGTTTTCGAGATGACCCCAATAAAATAGCGTACTGAAAAGTTTACCATTTCGAAATTATGGATGACCCCACAAGATGAAGGTTTATTTCAACACCTTCCTCCAAAGGATGTAGAACTTGGGGTCTGAAGAGCTTGTGGACTGCGTGTTGTTTTTTTCTGGTACGAGATGAAGAGTAACAAACATGCCGTTTTCCGGCCAAGTTTTACGCTGGATCTAAGGCCTCTTTACGTACAAGTGGATATCATGCAAAGGCCCACAAATTTCTAACCTCAGGGCCACACGCCAAAGATACTTTCCGGTCTGATTCCTTGTTGAGATCAATAAATATAATTAATTGGTTTTACTGTGAAGATTTATAATTGTTTATGTCGTAAAAGACGGAAAGTGGTAACAAGAAAGTAAAAAAAAGGTGATAAGATAGTTTTAAATGAATAAATTACACAGCCAGCGTATCTGTTTTGGACTTTTGGGTATAAATGACATTGGTTCAAATCCTATCATCCTTATTGTTATGGTATTTAGTATTAACTATTCAGTTACAAAATTAAAATTTCCTTTTCATTATTATCATTTTAGCTTCTAGTGTGACTTTCCATGCTGTAATTTTCAATTTTATAGTATTTTTGAATTTATCCCCATATATACAGTTCCTATTGAATTAAATATCTTAAAATTTCTGTAAAATCTATGGATTTTTAACTTTTAGTATATATCCTTAAATTTCTATGGAAAATGATTTTACTCCATAAAAATTACTATTCTTTTGCCTTTTGCTCATCTTCTAACTGTTTTAAAATATTATTTATTTCCAAAAACTTTATACAGTATATGGGTTTATGGGACAAAATATTATCTATGGCAAAAAATGAAAAATCTATAGTCAAGGAATGTTAAGCATCATTGAATACATGGAGTAATGAATATCATTTTAAATTATTCAAATTTCCTTAGATGAAATTTATTTTCTGTAAGTTTAAAATGATAAAAAAACTAAAAAGGTATATTATCAAAATAATTGAATATTTTGGATGATATGTGTAAAATTTTGTTTTTGTTATCATCTTTGACTTATTGGTCACTGTTTTGGAGTTGAACCTTGTGGGACCTACTACATTTACAGAGAGAAACTGTGGACCCCATGCACTATTTCGAACCGTTAGATTGACATTACAACACCAAAAAGATGATCACACGGCTAGAAAAAACGATGCGGCTTACATGTCCACCACGTGGCAGTACATGGTGGAGAATTTTTAGCAAAATTACAAAGTTATACAAACTACCTTATTAAGTTATAACGACTTCATGATTATTACATGACAAAAATTAATGGCCATTTTACCCTTGGACCACAAAATTTACTTTTTTGCCAAAAGTTAATTTTTTCTAAAACAAGTTATCAAAGGCTAGATCTTTGCCAGCTCACTCTTTACAATTTCTCCTATATATAAACTCTTAATATTTTACCCTTAGCTTCACTTCTCCCAGCTTTTCCTCTTCCTTAATTTCATTTCATTCACCGTATTAATTTCTTCGGCATCTTTTATTCGCAGTGCAATTAACTGCTTTCTTCTTCTAAATCTTCATGTTCTTCACCAAATCATTTCTTCTTTAAGATCTATTGTTTATTTTTCTTTTTCTTTTTTTTGCGTACTTTACTCAATTTTTATTTTCATCTTGGTTTAGTCCATCTTTTTTTGGTTCGTAAGCATCATCGTATGGAGTTCGAGTCAGTGATCAAAATGCATTACCCATATCTCGCAGCCGTTATGTACGATGACAATTTCACCTTAAAAGATTTTCATCCATCTCTTTCCGATGATGTTTCATGTATACAAAATGTGCATCATAAATCTTTCCAGATAAATCTCGATAAATCGCATCTCCCACCTGATTTGTGTCACAAAAATCTTGCATCAAAGGTCTCAAACACAACCTCCGGTCATATTCAAAATCTAAACACTGTTCCCTATCACTTCGATATGCAGCTTCACACATACGAAACGACTTCAAAAGATACGTCTAGGGGGATCATCACGCCTTCCCCATGCAGCGAGGCTTTCGAGGCATATCTTCATGGCATAGCCAACGACCAAGATCGCTTCGATATGGCCTATAGCAGCACCTCGCTAGCTGTTCAACCCACCATTTCACATGTCCAACGTGACAATACTATGTGGGGTAATGATCAAAACCAAGGAGTCATCTTTGGGACCGAATCAATCTTCAATCTCGCCATGGTTGACTCTAATCTGTACGATGCGTCTAAACCATTGGGTCTCTTGAGTGCAAATGAAGATGCCATCATGAGTCGACGTCAAAATCATCAAATAATCATCAAAACCAATCAGATCAAGAAGAACAAGAGATTGCAGATGAGGAGAGTATGCAAACCCATAAAGAAAGTTAGCATCATCAAAGGGCAATGGACTTCCGAAGAAGACAGGTAAATTCAACATTTTTTTTTTTTGGAATCTTCATAAATATTCTGCTTGTATGATATATATGCTTATTATATTTTTTAAAAATTAATTAAATATATAAGCTAAGATTTTTTTTGAGGATTCTCTACCTAAATTTAGGTTATTGGTGCAATTAGTGGAGCGTCATGGGACTAAGAAATGGTCTCAGATTGCTAAGATGCTTCAAGGAAGAGTTGGAAAACAGTGCAGAGAAAGGTGGCATAACCATCTCCGCCCCGATATCAAGGTTTCTTAATCTTTACCTTCTTCTTAGTTTTTTTTTATATATTTATTTGTGTGATTTACACATAAAATGAAGTCTTGTTATACATCACGGTGTGGCAATAGTAATACATACATACATCTGCACATATAAACATAATTTCATCTTATGGTAGAAACGAAAATTCAATTGAACGTGTTTATGTTGATTTTTATATGATGATGAATTTTGAAATATTGACTGTATAATATTAACTACAAAAATACAAATTCAGTGTTTTTTTCTATAAATAAAGATATTATACTCGATTTGTTCAGATTCATGAGTGATACATTTCGAAACTTCTAAAAGAGCTAAACAAACTTTTTTCACATTTGTCAATATGTATACGGTTTCAATATTCATGCATGAATACTTTAAACTTTTGTTTGTATATACATATATGTCTATGACATTTCTTTTACGCATTTTGTCTTGTTGCATGCGGACAATAAGTTACAATTGGTAAGCATTTATACGAAAGTCATTTTCACTTAGATTCTCTCATAACAACGTAACAGACATAGAATAATAAAGAAATATATATATATATAGGTATATAAAACTATGTATATATAATCACAATATGTTAAATATTACAGAAAGATGGCTGGAGTGAAGAAGAGGATAGGATACTAATTGAAGCTCACAAGGAGATCGGTAACAGATGGGCTGAGATCGCTCGGAAGCTCCCTGGACGCACTGAAAACACGATCAAGAACCATTGGAACGCGACTAAACGCCGACAACACTCGAGGCGGGCAAAAGGAAAAGACGAAATCTCCCTTGCACTTGGCAGCAACACTCTTCAGAACTACATTAGATCTGTTACCTACAACGATGAGCATGCCCTCGCGACCGCAACCTCTAACGCAAACGCAAAGGTCGGTCCAACAAAAAATATGAGAGGTAAAGGTAAAGCTGTAGCTGTAGCGGTCTCTGAGTACGACAATGATGATGAGAATGATTGTAAGTATATCGTTGATGGTGTGAAGAACTTGGGTCTAGACGATGGCAGAAGAAAGGGGACGTATGTGTCTGCTGAGACTTGTGCGTCAGGATCAACCTCCACTTCTGGTTCAACGTCTGGTTCAGGGAGTGGTGTAACCGTGGAGTTTGACGAACCGATGACAGATAGCTGGATGGTGATGCATGGGTGCGATGAAGTTATGATGAACGAGATTGCTCTCCTGGAGATGATTGCTCATGGCCGTCTTTAGGCCGCAATATGATCAAGCCAAACTTGATTATATATCTTATATATATATTATATCTATCCTATATGTGAAATTAATATTATGCTTTTTTATCGAAGAAATGGACATGTAACATATATTCTGGTTCATTAATGTATTTTTCCGCCTTCTCTTTTTTTCTTTTAACAAAAAATATATATTTGTCAATTATCCGTCATTAAAACAAAAGCCATAAACTAGTGCGTTATAATTTTTAACAAACCAGAGAGAATACGACAGCGTTTTAATTTACTTTATAGACTTTACTATAAGTAGTTAGAAACATATATGGGCCTTGTAGATGAGGATGTGTATTCTTTTCCATTTTGGAAAGTTTTTTTTGATTTAGGCCTATATAAAGTACGTACGAGACGAGACGAAACGACGACGTTGGTGAATCAGACGTTGAACGAAACGGAGGAGGTCCCACCTGTCCTTCTCTCCACCCTGTGCTTGTCTCCGACTTCTGGGATTCCGTGGCTCACCGCCATTCGGAAGCTTCTCGCATTTATACGAATCCCATTAGCTTGCAAGTTTCAATTTGACTTCTCTCCATCACAATCCACGATACTGTAGAACTATACTGCAAGACGACGACACTTCTACATTTCTTCTTACATTTACGTAAGTATTAAGCATCATTATCAATTTTGGTTTCCCCCTGGAGAATTCATGTGTAGATCATAGCATAATTCTTGAAAAACTTCGAAGTCTCGTGTTCTTCAGAATCGGAATTTGAACTTCTTAATTGTAAATTTCTGTTTCTGTAGGTGAATCGATCAATTGGATTTTAAGCTGTACTTGTATTCCTCTGATTTTTTTTGATCTGGTTTCTCAATTCGGCGTTGATCCATTGGGTTTCGGATCTGAAGATCCGAATATTCAGACGGATCAACTGTTTATTGGATCGCTGGGAAAGAGAAGAATGGATTTCCAGAATGTTTCGGCTTTAGCCAGCTTCGATTACTGGTTTAACTGGAGAGTGTTTCTCTGTGCGGTATGGGTTTTGAGTCCCATGATTGTTGCTTTGTTCGTCATATGGAAGTACGAAGATGGTTCAGTGCAAACTCAGCGACGAAATGGTAATGCCACTGGTGGTGGTGATAGTGAACACGACGATGACCTATGCATTGACGATGTTTGGAGACCGTGCTTCAAACAAATCCACCCGGGTTGGTTACTGGGTTTCCGGGTCATCGCCTTCTGCTTTCTTCTGGCGAGCAACATTGTCCGGCTTGCGTTTCGTGGATGGCGTATATACTACTATTACACTCAGTAAGCTTTGTTCAGAATCATTGATGCTTTGAGATACTTAAGTTTATGTATCTTTGTTAAAGTTGTTTCTATCTTGTTAAAGAGGATATATTCTTGATAGGAATTGAGATTTATGAGATGCTGTTTGTTTCTTGGCAGGTGGACATTCACGTTGATAGCAATCTACTTTGGGGTATATTTTGATCTCCATGTTGTGAATTTGTTATGTCTTATAATGAAGATAGTGATGACGAATGTGTTTGTTTGAATATATTTCACCACATGTGTATACCGTAGATGGGATCGTTGCTTTCAGTTTATGGGTGTTTTCAACACAAGAAGCAACGGAGCACGAGAGTAACGGCTGATCAAGTAGGTAATGATGCAGAGAACGGATATCGCGTGCCCCTTATCAATGGGGAGAACATGGTTTCGCTCGAGAAGAGAAAAACTTTGGACTCAAAGGCACTACGGTCCTGTGTCCATCTTTTCCAGATTATATTTCAGGTAGACATAAATCTTTTGGATATGTTATAGTTTGTAACTTTCGGATTTCTCAGTATAGCGTTGACGATTGTTTTGGCATTTTGCGTTTTTGGTTTGTTTGAAAACCAGATGAGTGCTGGAGCAGCTGTGCTTACAGATAGTATATATTGGACCGTGATTTTCCCGTTTCTGTCTTTACAAGACTATGAGATGAGTTTCGTAAGTTTCGCTCCTTTTCATCAAGAATTTTCCCCACCATATAGTATGATAGTAAATTTATTTGAATCAACCTTGACCCTCTTGAAAAACTCAGTCTCAACTTTTCTACTTTGTGTTTCAGATGACTGTGAATTTGCATACGAGCAACCTCGTTTTGCTGCTTTGTGACACAACTCTTAACCGTCTGGTAAAAACACCTTTTCTCTTTTTGCATTTAAGATGTAACCAAGCGTTATCTTTACATTAATGTATCAACGTGAGTTTTTTGTTTGTTTGTTTGGGTGTTACCCGCAGAGATTTCCGTTGTTCAGGTTCTCTTACTTCATCTTGTGGACCGGAAGTTTCGTTATTTTCCAATGGACTCTCCATGTCTTCGTCTCCGTAGGGTAAGAACTATTCTTTGTCCTTTCCTCTGTCATCAGATATTACACTTAGTTTTTTGATCTGTCTTGCGTTTCTATTCCTTGATTGATTTCAGGTGGCCATATCCATTTCTTGACCTGTCAATTTCAATGGCTCCGGTGTGGTAAGCCTTCAAAACATTTACGCTCTGTTATGTCAAAATGCTTCATTCCCTAGACTGATTTTGCCGATCCTTAAATAGTTTTAATTCATTCATCTACAGGTACTTGTTGGTAGCACTCCTGCATCTTCCTTCTTATGGCTTCTATGCATTATTTGTCAGAATCAAACAAAAACTCACCACCTGAAGTGATTTCAAATGCAAGAATTTTCATTTCATTTCAAGGGGTTTCAACAATGAAAGAAACACAGTGCAAACATAAGTTTTTTACCCAGATGTCTCAAAACTTCAGAAGTCAGAACAGATCAGTATATATAGTAACCACGGTTTTTAAAACATCGTCAATCGTTTTGTCATTGAATAAATCTTTATAGCTGATCCAATCTGGCATTAGAAACCTTCTAACGCGACGGCTGTGATCTGTTGCAACCAGTTTTGTTGTTGTCTCCAGAGATCATCGAATGGTTAAAGTCTTGTGCAAACAAAAATGCTTCATCAGCTTGCAAGTGAACGCTTTGTACTAGTCTTCCTTTGTTGGACCAGTTTTGTCAAAGCCATATCGATCTGACCAAAAACTTCCTCTTTCGAACAATTTCCCTTAATACTAACCGTTACATCTCGGTACATGGACAACACATCTCTCACATTTCGGTTATGAGTCTTTAACCGGAGTTTCACCTTCTCTTCCGTATCATCAAACCGTTGAGTGAGCCTAGCAGCGATCTCTTCGGTCTCCGGAGGAGAATACTTCAAGTGGTATATCTTCCCGGTGACGGGATCTAATCTACGCCCGATTACTCTCTCGACAAGAATATCTTCAGGTACTTCAAGGAGAATGAACAAATCAGGCTCGAATCCAAATCTCTGAAGCGATGCTGCTTGCGATGAACTCCTCGGATATCCATCTAAAAGCCATCCGTTTTGCTTCGACAAAGCTTCTTTCACCATCGTTCCAAGTATTTCATCAGGAACCAGTTCTCCTTTCTCCATGAACTCTTTTGCAAGCCGTCCGTTTTCGCTTCCGGAATCGATCTCAGCTCGGAGCAAATCTCCAGCTGAGATATGGATCAGACCATATTTCTGAGTGATGAGCTCGCATTGCGTACCTTTACCTGAAGCTGGAGCTCCTGAAATTATGATTCTCATAGGCTCTGGCTCTTCTTCTTCCGCTGCCGCCGCCATAACCTGAGAATTAGCGGCGGTTGGTTTCCGGCGAAGGGAGACCACGGCGTTGTTTCTGGTGGACAAAAAAGACGACCGTGAAGCTGACTTGCTTAAGCTCATGCCACAGCTGAGTGCTTTTGTCGGAGAGACACGTGGCGGGCATAGAGTCATCGCCGGAGAATTCACACACATCGCCATTTATATTCCCTGAAAGCGCCACAAAGTTAGTTTTCGCAGGCTGAAATTGTTATGGCATCGACTTTTTACTCTGTTCATCCATCATTGAGGATCTGAGCAAGAAAATTTGAGCTAACAAAAGATCTAACGGCTGGAAATGGATCCGACTCACCAATCTAGGGACGCAAGATTGAAAAATCTATACGGTTCGATAACAACTGACAAGTACACTCAAACAAAGCATTGGAGAACTATGTAATCTCTTCCATTAAAAAAATTGAGGAGAGTAACAGAGAGGAGATTTACCACTTACAATAGTCTCAGAACCTGACGAGGAACAAAAGAGCTTCGCGGTGACGATTACCGGCGGAGAGGGAGAGGGATAATTTTTCCGGTTTATTGTTCACAGCGACAATGTTAAATATTTATGAACTTACCCCATTAAAATAGCGTATTTAAAATTAAACCAAACTTCGACTCCATAAGTTTTTCAATTTTTCTAGTAGGCCCAAATCTCTTATCCCTCCTGATGATGTGGAGGCTTTGAGGAATCTGAGAACCGCGCGGCGTTTGTATAGCTTGAATTTGAACTTGCAATTTGAACTCACTCTCACTTTCTCTCCATCTCTCTCGGATCGCTGCTCTTCAACTTTGGTCTCTCAGAGGTTTTCCGATGCTGATTTAAGGTGAGATTGATTGATTATCTCTGCATTTCTTAATCTGTATTTGCTCGATTCGTGATCGGTTTCACTGGAGTGATTGCGAGTTTCCACAACTCACCATTTCCGTAACTTCCTCACTCGTTTTCTCTGAGATTTCGCTTGCGTAGTCTGTTTTTAAGTTTGAATTTGGCGATTAGTTCTGAGATTTCAATCGGTTTCCGAAATTTGTGGATGGTGAGGGACAATCATTGTTGGTGTTTCCGGTGTACGGACATATTTTTGAAGTTATCGCTATCCAGATTGTGATGGTGATACTTTAAGATTTTGATATTACGCTTTTAAAATCTGCAGATCGTCGAATTACAATTGGCCATGGATACACACACGCTGAAATCTGTCATCGATTTGCCTGGAAACTTCCGTTCAGCTTTTAGTTTCAGGTAATAATCCCTTTTATAGCTGAGACTTGACGATAATCTAATTCTGGCTTCAGATGCATTTCGCTTTCCCAAGGAATGGTCGCATGATGATGATTTGCTTTTCTTAAGTCCTTTTTCAAACACTGTGTGTGTGTGAAGCTAAAACTTTCCTTTGTGTTGCTGCTTCTCTGGCTCGTTTGTGTTCAGATACTTTAACTCGCTGCAGAGCGAGTGCTTTCCACTTTGCTTTCACTCCGATATCAACATGGTTGTTTCAGCGCCCACGGGAAGTGGTAAAACCGTACTTTTTGAGCTATGCATTTTGAGGCTCCTCTCGAAGTCTATCTCTAAGGAAGGAAGGTTTCTCCATGCGAAAGGAGCTCTTAAAACAGTAAGCTTTTTCGTGCATGAGACTTTTTCTGAATGTTTAATAATGCCTTCGTTTTCACGATAAATATTGGACTGCTGCTATTTATATGTTTATTTATGGTTTCTTCTAAGGTTTACATATCACCCTCCAAGGCTTTAGTACAGGAGAAGCTGCGTGACTGGAATCAAAAGTTTAATTCATGGGGAATCAGTTGTTTGGAGCTGACAGGTGATAATGAAAACTACAGCACAAAGAATATACAAGACGCAGATATTATCTTGACCACACCTGAGGTCAGATAACGATTTCTCTTTGTTTTCTGTATTTACTGACTGGAACTTGTTTACAGCTTCTGATTTCATTCCGTATTTACACAGATTACATACTTGTATCTCCTCTACATTTTTTTCCCACAGAAATTTGATGCAGTGAGTCGCTATCGCGTTACCAGTGGAGGCTTAGGCTTTTTCAGTGATATTGCGCTTGTGCTCATTGATGAAGTTCACCTGCTGAATGATCCGCGTGGAGCTGCTCTAGAGGCGGTAGTCAGTAGAATAAAGATTCTTTCTAGCAATCATGAACTCAGGTCAAGTCCTTTAGCCTCCGTACGTCTTCTGGCTGTCTCAGCTACTATCCCAAACATTGAGGATCTAGGTAAAATGCAGCTCACAATTCTAGTCATATTCTGCAGATTCTGTGACTTGTTTTGTACTTTGTTAAGTTGCATCAAAGCAGCTAAAGTGGTAATAATACTTGTTCAAAATCTGCAGCGGAATGGCTCAAGGTTCCTACCGAAGGAATTAAGAGGTAACCTATGGATTGCTTTTCAGAGAAATATACCCTTATTTGGAGAAGTGGTTACATTTTCTTCATTGTTTTCCTTCCCATGTCATATAGGTTTGGTGAAGAAATGAGGCCTGTTAAGTTGACGACTAAAGTTTTTGGTACCTGTCGCATCTCAAAGTCAATATTTTGGCTATTTACTTATACTTTTGCTGTTTTAAATGTTAAGATGCTCGCCTTGATGATGGATTTGGTTAGCTAAGAAAATGTTGTCTTTTCTGTACAGGTTATGCTGCTGCCAAGAATGACTTCCTATTTGAAAAGGTATACAGTTTCTGCATTTCAATACTATAGCCCCTCTTGTCCCTTTCGTAAATACGGGAACTAAATCAAGTGTTGTTTTTCCTTTCTTTGATTTACTCATATCCAGCGCCTCCAGAACTATATTCATGGTAAGCGGCCATGATCATGATATTCTTTTTTTATTTCTGTCTTGCTTAGGTTGTAACTTACACCATTCTGTTGAGGAAATCTATGAGTTTGCAGACATTTTAATGCAATACTCCAAAGGAAAATCTGCCTTAGTTTTCTGCTCCACACGAAAAGGCGCTCAAGAGGCTGCACAAAAGCTTGCTCTGACTGCCATGACCTATGGCTACTCAAATCCATTTGTTAAAAGCAGAGAACAGCTGGAACGGTTAAGGGAGGCTTCGCCAATGTGCAGTGACAAACAAATGCAATCTTATATTCTCCAAGGCGGTATGGTCTGTTTCATCTTGTAGAGTTTTTGATCGTACCTTTGATTCAGCAATGTTATGCACGCTGAATAGCACCGAAATGTCCCAATTAGTTGGTTATCACAATGGTGGTCTCTGCCAAAAGGACCGCAGCCTCGTAGAAGGGCTCTTCCTTAGTGGAGATATCCAAGTTCTTTGCACGACCAACACTCTTGCTCATGGAATCAACCTGCCTGCACACACAGTCATCATAAAATCAACTCAACATTTGTATGTCTCTAGATGATTCCATTAAGAATTTGGAACTTCAAAGTTGATATCCACTGACATTGTTTTCCTTTCAGCAACAAGGAAAAAGGTCACTACATGGAATATGATCGTTCCACACTATTACAGGTATGCTATTCAGAGCATTTGTAGTTGTGTACATGTAATATTGCATTCAGATGATCCGTGCAAGATACTGGACAAATTATATTTCTAGCAGGAGAAGTAATCTCTCTTTTCTAGATGTGTGGCAGGGCTGGACGGCCTCCATTTGATGACACGGGAATGGTTATTATTATGACAAGAAGAGAGACGGTTATATACTGAAACTTTTCTTAATTTGTGCCTGAATATCTTACTTTAATTTTAATTTCCTCTTATGCTATTTCTGGCTGTGATTTATTAATTGATTACAGGTCCATCTCTATGAGAATCTTTTGAATGGATGCGAGGTTGTTGAATCACAGTGCGTATTTTGGCTGATAAACTTCTGTCTTTGGAACCCTTTGCTTTTTCACACATTATTCGAAAGCTATTTGTTGACTTTAAAAAAACATATACTTCTGTTGTTTTGTTGTTTCAGATTGCTGCCATGCTTGATAGAGCAC